CACCTCTATGTTGGCGGCATTATGCATTCCAACCAGGACATTTGCAATCTCATTTGGATCATTTCCTGAAATTGGCACCAACTCGTAACTACCTCTACATTCTTCAGACTTATCCAGAATTTCCCTCAATTTTCGGATGAACAACACCACCTGTAAGTTACATGGAAGAAAGGTTTCAGTTAGACTGCATTGTTTTGTGTTGCTCTGTGTTGTATTAAAACACTCGACAAGCCATGTTGGAGGCAAATCTGAGAGGCAGTAAAATCACTTCATATTTGATTAAGCAGATAACCAAATAAGGCATACTGTAAACAAACCACATATCTTAACATGCATCTGTCCACAAAAAATCATATCCAAGATGGCCAGTCACAACATTCTTTATAAATCTTTAGAGAAATCAGATCATAGTCCTCTATCATCTTAAAAAAAAAAAATCAAAGGGAACATACCACACATTATCCTACCTGATGATCCCGCTCCTTGCGACTTAAGGGGGCGTCTGCATGCTGAGACATATCATAAAGGGTCATCAGAGATGTGGCATACTCCAGAATAAAGTGGTACTCATCCATCGTTCCATCTGGGCGGGGCATCTCTATCTTATGAACCGCATGCTTATAAATTCTGTCCTTAATTCCACCCCTACTTATCTTAAGCTCTGGCAGATTGCCCGCCCATTTTACTCTGGGATCTGCGTCAACGATGTCAGCATGGGTGAAGCACGTTTTGGGCAATAAAATAAAAAGCTTTTTCTTTTTTATCTTGTATCGAAATTGCTCTGATTTGGCAATCTGATCTTTCAGATGCGGCAGCACCAGCTTCAGATAACCAAAGTAGTAGCTCCAAGCCAGTCCATCGGCCACGTTCTTATTTTCTTTTTCGTTCAAATCCGAAGTTTCCACAGGAGAGAGCTGTCGAAGACCCACAAGGAACAACAATTGCGGAACCACGAGACAGTTCACTGAAAACAAGATGGCGAAATCTGAACGCGAGAAAACCTCGTATTGTTCATACAGCTGATAACACAAGATTAAAGCAGAAAACATAGCGGTGAGTGAAATACACCCGCCATGGTCGAAAGTGAAAGTTGTCTTAAAAACACTCTTCCACTTTCCTTGGTGTCGCGTGTGTTTGTGTTGAATCTCTTCCGACACCAGGGACAATCTTCGTAATAGCTCCCCGAAAGCGAAACTGAGGGTAAGCAGGGCTGCTGTAAATACCAGGAAGTGAGTCTTCTTCTCTTCCTCTTTCACCGCTAAGAATAGCATCGCGCCACTACTCACACCTATGATAGCTGAAGTGATTGCGGCAGTTCTTCCACGACGCTTGAAAAGTGGTCCAAAGCCATTATTCTCTTGCTGAGCTAAGTCATCTCCTCGGGGTAGAAGATTCTCAGCCATGGCGGAAAATAATATATTCCTATCTATCGCAATACTTATGATACTCTTGTAGATGTTCAAGCCGAAATGCGCAAATTGGGTAAAGCAGATTGATTTAATTCGCGACACAATTTACTTGGGGAATCCCCTAGATAAAAGACTCCGGCTTGATTGGCCAGGAGCCGAGTGTCCTTGGCCGGGAAAAGTCCCCAGTTAAAAGTATTTGTTCGGAATTTGAAAGTGCACTCTCAGCAATTTTTAGTTTCGAAAGAAGTTTTCCATAGGATTGAGAAACCGAAAGGAAAACGCTTTCCTTTCCTACCCTACCCTGTGTAAAGCCCCCACAGGTTCAAAGTCCGTCGAGCCTGACGTGGTTCACGTGATGTGCTCACGTGATGTGCTAGCTATCAAGATTCTTGACTGATACTATTAGTAGTAACATTAAGATACAGATTGTTTTTCCAATAGCTACCGATTTGAATTCTGAAGGAGTACCGGCGTAGTAGTAAAAGTGTGTACACGATGGATTACTGCTCTCTCGGCAACTTTCAGTTTCGAGATGTCTTTCCCAGCAGAAAAGTAGTGGATAAAAGAAGAGCTATCACGATTCTTAACACATAGTATTAGTAGTAACGTTAAGATTCAGATTGTTTTTTCAATAACTAGAGATTTGAATTCTGAATCGGAGTACTGGCGTTGTAGTAAAATTATTAATAAATAAACCTATCAAGTGGAAAACATTTGGCTTATCAAAACCAGGGCATTCACTTAATCACAAAGAAGGAGCAGATTTCATAATGCTTGCCAAGAAGGGAATTAGTTTGTTTACCTGATCAATCTTCTCTTTGGGGGGAAGGAAGCACCTTCATGGAGAGACAATATATCATACAGGGGTATTACAAAGACTGAAAACGTATTGCAAAATTTATTACTCTTGGTGGGCAGGGATCTTGACATTCCTTGTGTACAGCTTATTTCTGAAATTAGCTGAATTATTAATTCCTTCCCTGTTGAGCTTATGCAGTGGAACATCACTGACCCAAGGTAACCTTGAGATCTTCATCAGGGGACTTGCACTGCCACAGAGTAAAGTTGAACTTAAAACCTGTCCACTGTTTGTGACTCCTGGAAATTTCCCTACTCATCCCTTGAGGGTCACTTGGAATGAAATCTCTTTCCAAGGATGGGGGAAGGGGGAAGGGGGAAGGAGATTTCAAACAAAATTTCCTCTGTGTTAGGAGTGGGAATAAAGATAATTCAACATATTCTACAAAGAAAAAAAATTACTTTCTGCTCTTTCTGGATTTAGAGTGGATCTCCCTATGCCTTCTCTCAAACCAATTTTACAATTATAAAAGCCACTTGACCAGTAAGCCCTACTCTGAGTTTTCTTCTTTCTTTGCTGTTACTTATTTGTAACTTTGACTTAAATCCATTATACAATCTGGGTTAGCTTAACTTTACAATTGAAAAAACTTCTGGCTTGAAACAAAGAAAAATATTAAAGCTGCAGCAAAGTTTGAATATTCAATGGTGAGACTCTCCTTTAAAGAAACACCAAAGTTGCTGATTAACTTTTTTCAAACTTAATGTACTGGTATGGTTCAATTAGCAGGGTCAAGTTAACCCAGGGTTAGTGTGGAAACTGATTTAAGATCTGAAAGCTTTAAAAGAAACTTCAGTAGTATTCTTTTTGTCTACAAGTTGATAATTGGATGCTCCAAAAAGAATAGGGTAAAATTATCCCAAATAGGCTTTTGAACATGAAATAAAGAAACCCACATTAAAATTCATCCTTGGGTTAGCACTAATTGGCCTTCAAACAACTGGGCCCTGGTATACTAATATGATTATCTGACCACACAGTCAAAGTGGACACACAGGTGCTTTGTGGCAAGTTTTATTTTTACTTTCTTTAAATCCCACGAGTGATCAGTATCTAATTTTTTCTTTATAGTAATACTGTTGAATCATTCTGATTCATTATAAAGACCACGAGAATAAAGGAAATGATGGCCAAACTAAGAAATTTGAATGTGTATTCTCCTTCTCAGTACCAAAGAAAATATTTAATAGAGAAATATGCATACAGATATGATGGTGTAAATTTAGGGTTAATTAATACTTAAACAGAAGAAGAGTATGTCACTGCTCTCAATGAAAGTATTTCACAAAGTTTACATAATCAAATAATTTAAGGCTCTCTCAAAGTTCACACAAGATCTTTATCTCAAGATCAAGATCCTTGGTTCAAGATCTGGATCTGCCGCTGGTTACATTTCTACTCTATTGCTTAGTTTGCTCATCAGTCTCGTCTTCTAAATCTATGCTGGCTGCACCATGCATTCCCACGAGCACATCTGCAATCTTGTTTGTGTCATTTCCTGAAATTGGTACCAATTCATACTTTCCTCTGCATTCCTCTGAGTCATCCAGAATTTCCTTCAGCTTTCGGATGAATAACACCACCTAGGTTACAAGGAAGAATAAATTCAGTGGGTGCATGCAAGCATCAGCTCAAGAAAAAATGAATTAAAAATCACATGAAAAATTAACCTCGAAAAGAAATGAAAGAAAAGATATCAGACGTGTTATCATGAATGTAAAATCACACAACGGATAAGGCTAGTTCACCTGATGATCACGCTCTGGACCAGTCAAAGGGGCCTTAGCATGATCTGACATTTCATACAGGGACATGAGAGGCGTAGCATACTCCAAGACGAAGTGGTACTCTTCCACTGTTCCATCTGGGAGGGGCATCTCTATGCGGTGTACCGCATGCTGGTAACTTCTCTCCAAAATTCCAGCCCTGTTAATTTTACTCGCGGGGAGTTTACCTGCCCATTTTACCCTGGGATCTGCTTTAGTTATTGCATCAAATGTATAGCACGTTTTTGGAAGTAAGATGAAAAGTTTTTCGTCTGTTATCTTATGACGATATGTATCTGATTCGGCGATACGATCTCCAAGCTTTGGCAGCACCAGCTTCAAATAACCAAAGTAATAGCTCCAAGCCAGCCCATCGGCCACATTCTTGTTTTCTTTTTCGTTCAAATCCGACGTCTCTACAGGAGACAGCTGACGCAGGCCCACAAGGAACGACAACTGCGGAACCACGAGACAGTTCAGGAAAAACAAGATGAGGTAACCTGGACCAGAGAAAGCTTCGTATTGTTCATACAACACAAAACACAATGTCAGAGCGGAAGAGATAGCAACGACTAAAATACTTCCGGCATTATCGAAGGTGAAAGTTGTCTTAAGAACCCCCTTCCAGTTTCCTTGATATCTAGCGTGCCTGTGTTTTAACTCTTCAGAAACCAGGCAGAATCTTCGCACAAGCTCTCCAAGAACGAAACTTAACGTAAGCAGGGCTGCTGTAAACACAAGGAGGTGAATCCCTTCGCTCGTTGCTTTTTCCTTTCGAACTGCCAACAAGAGTAACGCGCCGCTAATCACAAACACGATAGCTGAAGTTACCGTAGCAGTATTCCCGCGACGCTTGGAAAGTGGTCCAAAGCCATTATTTTCTTGCTGAACTACGTCAGTTCTTCGAAGATGAGCGTTATCAGCCATTAAGGATAAAAGTTCTTTCTTTCGCAGTATTTCTTTTACTCGTGAAGATGATCACAATGACATGCGCCAATCTGGAGAGAGCAGACCCATTCGATTCGCAAAGGCATTTAGTGGGGGAATCCCCCAGATGAACACTTTGGCCCTGATTGGCCAGAATATCGTCAGAATGTCGTCAGGGTGTGCCCCAAGGGGAGAGGTAAAAAAGCTTTTGCAGCAACTTTCAGTTTCGAAAGATTTTTCCCATGTAAATAAAAAACGAAAGGGAAAACGTTTTCCATAAATACACCTTTTGGAGTCCTCACTCCTTGTAAGTCCATCGAGTAGAAAAATTGCGCTTTTAACAGGAAGGCCGCATGTCCGTGGAGAAAATTCAAACAAATAAACTTTATACTTCACACAGCTATTCTTGCGTAAACTTACCCTTAAAAATGGGAAGGCCAGTAAAAGATCGCTTCACCTTCGTTCAGGCCTGGCTCAAAGAGGAGCATCAAGGAGCATCAAGGGGCTTTAAGTGCTGGTACCAATTCCACATAAACCAATATCACCCATTTGCGGTGAAATTCCACAACCTTTCAGCTTTCTTCTAGGTCATGTGTCAAGTTGCTGTACAAAGAACGCATAAGTACCTTTTGTTTTCTTAAAATGTAGCCTTGTTTCGTTTTGATTGCGTGGTTATGAAATATCCTTTTTAGGCTAGCCGCACATGTTTCAGTTTAGTTTCTTTTACGTCATAGAAGTATATAGGCCTTTTCTCACGCGAACATTTTAGTTCTAAGGAGTTGTCCCTGGAGCAAATAGGAGTTTTTTAGGAGTCTTTCGGAGTTTTTTTTACAACTTGGAGTTTTCTCATCCCCGGAGCCAAGATCAGACGTAATTCGCGATCATTAGTTGTGTTTTCTGTCGTCAGATTTGTAGTTTAGCTCGTTTCCTTAGCTTGGAGAGATCGTGCATTCCTTTTTAGTTTTCACTGCAAGTGTTGTAACAAGTCGGCTAGCCTGATTCCATGATTTAGTCCAATAAACTTGTGTAAGAGTCTGCTGTCCGTCCAGTACTTCACTGTGGTTGACCTGGCGAACCCAATTACGCTGCACCCCGTGTCTGCCGTGCTGGGAACGCGACATCATGCAACAAGAAATTTAACCAAAGCCATGGTGCCCAGTGACTATATGGGAAAAATCATTAGCTGACGAGGGACTTCGAGTTGAATTACACGCGGAAAACGATATCTCTCAAGAAATAATAGGGGTTTTATCAACTGAGTTAATGATAAAAACTAGCCACCGTAAAGAGTTGTAAAAGCTGACTTTTCGGGTGTTAGCCCTTTGTCCATTCGCTCTAATGGCCAACCGGCTCGAAACATCAGCTTTTAAAAATCTTTACGGTGGCCAATTTTCATCATCAACTCAGTTGATAAACCCCAGTTGCCTTGTTACTCCCACCGACGCTGCACCACAGTTTCTTTAGAAGCTTGACCTTTTCTTCGTTTCTCTTAAAAAATTCTTCGATAACCAGTTAGAATACGATTGTATCAGAAACTTCTAAGATCTGGATGAAGACTGAGCCAGGTAATGTTTTGCTTAAAGAAAAAAGACTGGAAATTTTTTAAAGATAATCTGGATAAAGGATTTAAAACGAAAATACTGTATTCCAAGAATTTACAAATGACTTAGAAAACATATGATAGGAAAAATATATGTGCTTGAAGATTTAATACTTTGTTACGTTATCAACATCCCGTTAAAAAATTCCAATCATTTCATTTTGTTGGGGGGATCGAGGAGAGTTAAAACTCCACTGAAATTATCTCGAAAATATTTGAAAATTACTGCTGTTTGATGACTGGGGTGTGAGATTTCCTCTCTCAATTCATGGCAGTTGCCAATCTGCAACCAGTCAACTAATATTTGGTATTCAGAATAGACGAACACTAATAAGAACTAATCTTCTTTATTCTCGTAACCACAGAACACCCTAAACAACAACAGCTTGCTTCAAAGACCACATGTTTAACCTTGGGGAATTGCTTAATCCCCCTCTAAGACCAAAATGTCATATGATCCTGCAATAATGCTCTAGAACTGTCACGCAAGGAATGCTGGGGTAACCCACCACAAATGCATGGTCTAATCTGAGTGCTAATTTGAGTGGTCCATACGGCAGTGAAGGACTTCAGACAATTAATGAAAAAATTAAAACCTCAGCAAGTTTTAGAACTTTAAGGGAAGGTACTTTTAAAACTTGTTTACCAGTAATAAATACCATTGCACACATCATAGTTTTTCATCTTAACAGCTGATGAGACAGAAGGGGGACAAGAGGTGATAAACCTGTAACTTCTCCCTTTAATAATCAAACATTATCCAGCAAACGGGTAATGAGAATACTCAAAGTTATCATGTAGAGGTTATCTTGATCTGAAACCAAATTCTCCCAACTAATTTAGTGAATGTAATAATGATTTGCATGAAATAACAGCTAAAACAAATGATCTACTTAAATCAATTGCTAATAAACACGCACCAATGAGACAAATGACCCAAAAGAAGCAAAAATTATTCAACAAGCTCGGGATAACTAATGCTATATTTAAATCAATCAAAACTAAGCACAATAAGCGACTCAAGAAGCTAGAGTCGCTCTTGGCTATTGCCTCGAGCGACTCTTACGCTTCTTTCGTGCTTAGCAACCTCCCGCGTGCATCCATAACTCAATAGTGTACGCTGTGGTGTTTACCATTTGTTAAGTATAATAGTATGGGGTTGTGCTTATAAAACTAAATTGAATTACCTCCAAGTTAATCAGAACAAATGCCTCCAAAGAATCTTCTTTGCACATACTAGGGAGTGTCCTGATCCATACTATAAACTCTTAGAAATTCTTAAACTAGAAAATATATATAAACTCAAAATGTGTTGCCTTATACATAAAATTGTGAATAAAGCTGATAGCATTCCAGATATCATCTCTGATGTCCTAACCCCAGCATCTAGCATACATAGATATAATACAAGATTCACAAATAAATTCAATTTTTTTAGAATGCAAATATCAACTAATTCTGGCAAAATGTCTTTCAAGTATGCTGGACCCAAGATATGGGAATCTGTGCTGCTTGAAATTAAGCGTCTCTCTTTTACTTCCTTTAAAAAAGGATGGAAGCGTCATCTCTTGGTTGGTCAAAGTTGAATTCACTAATGGTTTGATGCTAGATAAAATAACTCAGTTCTCTTGCTCCTAAACTGTAGTAATTAAACAACAAATCTTACTTCACTTTCTTTACCCTACATAATTAGCATTAATCGCCTCATTCTTTTTATTTCTCATTTTTTTTTCCTTTTCCTTCTTTTAACTTAATTTTTATTTATTTATTTACTTATTTCTCTTTTCTCTTTGTTTACAATATTAATAGTGTATAAATACCTTGGTTAGTGTAAATGTAGAATTAAAGTAAAGTAAGTCTTGTGTAAATGTTCAGATACACCAGTTAATTACACGTGACAGTGGCCAACTCGAAAGCTTATGCTCCTTTGGTCACTGTGCACATTTTACTTTAGATTATTCATACAATTTACTGTTCTTATATATTCTGACTTTTGTAATATATAGCAATCTCTACTGTAACCTCTCAAAATAGTGCAATTAAAAATGAATGAATGAATGGAAATGTGTAACAGGCACAAGGGAGAATAAACAATCAGATCTTGTGAGTTAAAGGGTTGACCTCTATCATGAGTGACCAAGGCAGAATTTCTCCTTACAATATCAGTGCAATATCAAGCAGACAAGTACTGAGAATAAAAGAAACAGATCAATCAAGGAATAATTAAATGATCCAATACCAAATTCTCTGAATTGACTTCAGGGGGGGTAAAAGGACGAAGGGTTCTGCACACATTTCATGCACATCAAAAAAATTAAAAATAGTGCATCAAAAAAATCAGACAAGCAACTTGAAGGTTCACATATTAAGGAGGGCAAAAATTCACAGTCTACAGGGTTTTAATTTTGTATCATTTTCACTGGCCATAACACTTAAAAACACTTACTTCTGTATTATGTAATGACCCCTACACCCCTTACCTAAGTTACAATAAAACAACTTGGAATTATGTTTAGTAGTACATCACAGAAAAAGATTAAAAGCAAAAGCAACAAACAAAGCAAATATATGAAAGCGAGTAGTTCATTGTGATTTATTTAAGTCACATTAAGATATATGTCTACTTAGTTGTCATGCAAATAGTCCACTTTGTTAGGCTGGTCTGTTTTTGAACAAGCCATTTATCAGTCACAATTTATAAGATGCAGGCTTTAAAACTAATTTTCTCAAAAGAAATGAATATTGTGCTCAACTATAAGTAAAATGCATTAATTAAGAAAAAAGAGAGAAATGTTTTACTTAAAGGTAAATAAACCCTTCCACTCTAAACACAAATATATCAATTCTCCACTCTGTCTGCAATACATTTTGTAAGATTTTAGTTTGAGAATTTGGTTTTAGATCAAACTAATAATAAGTTGATATTTTTCTTCTGCCTCATGACCTAAAATACATAAAATTAAAACAAGAAATTCCTTCCTGTTTTTTGTGAGCTATTTGATTGAAAAGAGTATTCACTGCTCTTATCTTCACATTGCAACAATTTAAATTTTTGATTGTGTTATTTTACAGAGTCCCTCCACATTTAATTAGCATAGTGTTGTTCAAATCAGTCACTGCACTGGTATGCTCAATTCTTCAGATTCTTCACCCACCTTGTTGGCATTATTATGCCGAGCAATCAGGATGTCTGCAATCTTATCTTCCTCTTCATCAAATGAAACTAATTCATACTTCCCTCTGCAGTCATACTGTCCTTTGCAGTCTTTACTCTTCTCCAGAAGCTCGGTCAGTTTTTGCATGAACAACAACACCTAAGTGACAAGTAACAAGAGACAAAGAACCAGATTAAGCCAAATTCAATAACATGATTGTATGACTGTGCAGCTAATATTTGGATGGAATTAAATGTAGTAGGAGAAAATGGCACATCACCAAATGAAGGTGTATATCATGATTTTGTCTCAGGATTTGATGTGTTCTGTGATTTATAACACGGATTCTATTTGCTCTGTGATTGCAGGCCCTTTATCCTATTGGCATTCAGGCTCTGCATGATGCACAGGTGTACTGGTAATGCAAGTTTTCCACATGAAGGCTTCAGGAACAAACTACTTGAAAAACACAAAACATTTGTGCGAAAGAGATCACATTTTTCACGTGTTTTACTCAAGCCTTTCCCCCTCACTGAAAAATCCCAGTTGGCGAAATTTACATGAGAAACAAGTGGGAAAATTTATAAAGACTTTGTAATATGAGTGCCTCAGTGTATGCAAGGATTATTCTAGACATGAAGAGACAAAAATGATCTTGGCAAACTGTCTTCAGATAAATGATAAGTTGAAGAAACAATCAAAATGTTTGTGGGGTTGAGCTCTTTCGCTGTAAAAATGAAATTACGAAGCATATTACAGTGGTCAGATACTGGACACTGCTATCTACCTGGTGATCCCGCTCTGGATCGGTTAATTGAGCGTCTGCAAACTTAGACATATCATACAAGGTCATCAGAGGCGTGGCATACTCCACGATAAAGTGGTACTTTTCCCCTGTCCCATCTGGGAAGGGCGGCATCACTATTTCGTGTACCGCATGTTTGTAACTTCTTTCCTTAATTCCTCCCCTGTTGATTTTACTCTCTGGGAGATTACCGGCCCATTTCACTCTGGAATCCGCATGTTCAATGTCATCACAAGTGAAACACGATTTTGGCAGTAGAATGTAAAGCTTCTTGTCCGTTATTTTATGACGAAACTTCTCCGATTCTGATATCCTTTGTTCCAGTCTTGGCAGCACAAGCTTCAGATAACCAGAGTAGTAGCTCCAAGCCAGCCCATCAGCCACATTGACCACATTCTTGTTTTCTTTTTCGTTCAAATCCGATATTTCTACTGGAGAGAGGATTAATACTTTGAAGTAAATTTTACGTGGCCGATTAAGTGTGCTGGTGCGGTGAACATTGCGCAAGATGACTGAAACCTACGCGGGAAAATGCATAGATGCATACCTGCCCTACTTTGAACTGTTAATTAAAGTTGCGGCAAATAGTACGCCCGTCACTAGTGGGGTACGAATAGGGCACCAGGGCTGTGTACAGTTAGGAGACCTGACAGTAGGGGAGGGTTTGGTAAACATACGGTTCTAAAATAATGAAGAGGAAGTGTTTTGAGTCAAAACTCCAAGGATAATAATACGTCACCTGTAAGAGGTGAAACTTGCCGTCGTACTTAAGCACTGGAAACGGTTTGAAAGTTTCATTACTCAGATAGGACGGACTACTGTAGCTAGCTTACTCTGGTATCTCACCCGTAGCCAACTTGTTCCGTTTCTCTTCTATCTGTCGCTGGAGAGAGGCTATACGTTTTTTCTTTGCTTTCCGCTGTTCCTCCAAGTCTAACTCGGCCAATTCCTGCTCAAGGTCTGTAATTTGTTGGTCGTCATCATCGTCGGCAGCCGTGGCTTTTTGCCTAGTCTGGTGGGCACTTGGGGAACTGCTTTCCTCTCCTTCAGCAATTGGGGTTCCACTGCCTGTCCATTTAGCCGTCCTCTTCTCCGATTGTGAATCGTTTGACATCATAAAAAGATGAAACTAAAACTAGATCTTTCTAAAAAGCTAGAACTAGGCTAGTTAAATGTTAATCGCGTAGTTGGTAACAAGAAATACGCAAAATTTACTTGGGGAACTCCCTAGATGAATACTCTAAACCCGATTGGTTAAGAGCCACATCGTGATGTCGTCAGTGTGTGCACAGCGGGTTACTGCTCTCTCAGCAACTTTCAGTTTGGAGTTGTCTTTCCCATTAGAAAAGTAGTGGATAAAAGAAGTGCTATCACGATTATTGACAGATAGCGTTTAGTAGTAACATTGAGGTTGAGATTGTTTTTTCAATAACTACCGATTTGAATTCTGAATCAATAAACCTCGTCAAGTGGAAAACGTTTGGCTCATCAAAACTAAGCATTCACTTAATCACAAGGAAGAAGCAGATTTCATAATGCTTGCCAAGAAGGGAATTAGTTTGTTTATCTGATCAATTTTCTCTTTAGAGGAAGGGTCAGCACCTTCATGGAGAGACAAGATATCATACAGGGGTATTATAAAGACTGAAAACGTACTGCTAAATGTGTCACTCTTAGTGGGTTGGGATCTTGACATTCCTGGTGTGCAGCTTATTTCTGGAATTAGCTCCATTATTCCTTCCCTGTCGAGCTTACACAGTGGAACATCACTGGCCCAAGGTAACCTTGAGATCTTCCCATCAGGGGACTTGAACTGCCACAGAATAAAGTTAGACTTAAAACCTGTCCACTGTTTGTGACTCCTGGAAATTTCCCTGCTCATCCTTTGAGGGTCACTAGGAATGAAACCTCTTTCAAGGGATGGGGGAATCAAGGGGGAAGGATATTTCAAACAAAATCTTCTGGGTGGGGATAGGGATATTTCTGTCAACATATTCTGCAAAGAAAAAAAATTACTTTCTGCTCTTGCGGGATTTAGAGGGCATTCCCCTATGCCTTCTCTCAAACCAATTTTACAATTATAAAAGCCACTTGACCAGTAAGCCCTACTCTGAGTTTTCTTCTTTCTTTGCTGTTACTTATTTGTAACTTTGACTTAAATCCATTATACAATCTGGGTTAGCTTAACTTTACAATTGAAAAAACTTCTGGCTTGAAACAAAGAAAAATATTAAACCTGCAGCAAAGTTTGAATATTCATTGGTGAGACTCTCCTTTAAAGAAACACCAAAGTTGCTGATTAACTTTTTTCAAACTTAATGTACTGGTATGGTTCAATTAGCAGGGTCAAGTTAACCCAGGGTTAGTGTGGAAACTGATTTAAGATCTGAAAACTTTAAAAGAAACTTCAGTAGAATTCTTTTTGTCTACAAGTTGATAATTGGATGCTGCAAAAGAATAGGGAAAAATAATCCCAAATAGGCTTTTGAACATAAAATAAAGAAACCCACATTAAAATTCATCCTTGGTTTAGCACTAATTGGCCTTCAAACAACTGGGCTCTGGTATACTAATATGATTATCTGACCACACAGTCAAAGTGGACACCAAGGTGCTTTGTGGCAAGTTTTATTTTTACTTCTTTAAATCCCAAGAGTTATCAGTATCTAATTTTTCCTTATAGTACTACGGTTGAATCATTCTGATTCATTATAAAGACCACGAGAATAAAGGAAATGATGGCCAAACTAAGAAATTTGAATGTGTATTCTCCTTCTCAGTACCAAAGAAAATATTTAATACAAGAATATGCCTACAGATATGACGGATACAGATATATACTTAAACAGAATAAGAGTATGTTCCAAGTTCCAAGTTTTTATTTCCAAGTAAATATCAGGTGGTTATTACTATGCTGGCTTGCAAATAGCGAAGAGCTAGTTGCAGCAAGCCAGACAATTGAAAAGTAATTTTACTCAATTTTACATAATAATATTCACATACAATTACAACATGAGAGCAGAAAAAGGAAAACTACAGACTTAGAAAGAGACTAGCGACTAAACAAATTACAGTTAGAAATTAACCTTTCATCAAGTATTAATTTAAGTATCTATTTGACCTTTCTAGGAGTCGACTACAGACTAAACATAATTACAGTTAGAAGTTAACTTTCATCTTATTAATTAGAGTATCTATTTCAACATAGGAGTTTTCAGTTTCTAGAACTTCAATTTTGTTCTAATGGATTTTTTAAAAGAGTTCTTGGATAAGTTTTTAAGACTAGTTGATATCCCATTCCAGATTTTAATGCCAATACGTGAAAAAGCCTTACTTTGAACATTAAGCGCAGATTTTTTAGTATAAAAATGCTCAAAAGTTGATGAATGTGTGCCGTAAGAGTGAACGCTGGAAATTTTAGAAACAAATTCGAAATATTACTTGGTGCAGAAGTAGTATTAATGTCATTCATTAGATTAGCAATTTTTTCATAATATCGGAATTCTAGTGGAAGAAGTTTTGCTTTTAAAAAAAAGGGTATTGCATGCTCCCTTACTGGGGCAAAGTGGATAAGACGGAGTACGCGTTTTTGTGAGACAAGAATACTATTTAACAAGGTCTTAGATGCAGTTCTCCNTGGTAAATCTAGATTTATAGTTTTCCCCTTCTAAATTTGTGATTTGTGAAATGAAATTTTTTTTTCTAATTCCTGCATGAAACCTGATCACGACCATTCCTTAATAGTGCCTCGAAAAAACATTATTTTTACATCCTCACAACCATTATTTTACATCAAGTGCAATCTTTTATGCTTGAAATAAAGTTTGGGATATTTCTGTCAACATATTCTGCAAAGAAAAAAAATTACTTTCTGCTCTTGCGGGATTTAGAGGGCATTCCCCTATGCCTTCTCTCAAACCAATTTTACAATTATAAAAGCCACTTGACCAGTAAGCCCTACTCTGAGTTTTCTTCTTTCTTTGCTGTTACTTATTTGTAACTTTGACTTAAATCCATTGTACAATCTGGGTGAGCTTAACTTTCACAAATGAAAAAACTTCTGGCTGGAAACAAAGAAAAATATTAAAGCTGCAGCAAAGTTTGAATATTCAATGGTGAGACTCTCCTTTAAAGAAACACCAAAGTTGCTGATTAACTTTTTTCAAACTTAATGTACTGGTATGGTTGTTCAATTAGCAGGGTCAAGTTAACCCAGGGTTAGTGTGGAAACTGATTTAAGATCTGAAAGCTTTAAAAGAAACTTCAGTAGTATTCTTTTTGTCTACAAGTTGATAATTGGATGCTCCAAAAAGAATAGGGTAAAATTATCCCAAATAGGCTTTTGAACATGAAATAAAGAAACCCACATTAAAATTCATCCTTGGGTTAGCACTAATTGGCCTTCAAACAACTGGGCCCTGGTATACTAATATGATTATCTGACCACACAGTCAAAGTGGACACACAGGTGCTTTGTGGCAAGTTTTATTTTTACTTTCTTTAAATCCCACGAGTGATCAGTATCTAATTTTTTCTTTATAGTAATACTGTTGAATCATTCTGATTCATTATAAAGACCACGAGAATAAAGGAAATGATGGCCAAACTAAGAAATTTGAATGTGTATTCTCCTTCTCAGTACCAAAGAAAATATTTAATAGAGAAATATGCATACAGATATGATGGTGTAAATTTAGGGTTAATTAATACTTAAACAGAAGAAGAGTATGTCACTGCTCTCAATGAAAGTATTTCACAAAGTTTACATAATCAAATAATTTAAGGCTCTCTCAAAGTTCACACAAGATCTTTATCTCAAGATCAAGATCCTTGGTTCAAGATCTGGATCTGCCGCTGGTTACATTTCTACTCTATTGCTTAGTTTGCTCATCAGTCTCGTCTTCTAAATCTATGCTGGCTGCACCATGCATTCCCACGAGCACATCTGCAATCTTGTTTGTGTCATTTCCTGAAATTGGTACCAATTCATACTTTCCTCTGCATTCCTCTGAGTCATCCAGAATTTCCTTCAGCTTTCGGATGAATAACACCACCTAGGTTACAAGGAAGAATAAATTCAGTGGGTGCATGCAAGCATCAGCTCAAGAAAAAATGAATTAAAAATCACATGGAAAATTAACCTCGAAAAGAAATGAAAGAAAATATATCTGACGTGTTATCATGAATATAAAATCACACAACGGATAAGGCTAGTTCACCTGATGATCACGCTCTGGACCAGTCAAAGGGGCCTTAGCATGATCTGACATTTCATACAGGGACATGAGAGGCGTAGCATACTCCAAGACGAAGTGGTACTCTTCCACTGTTCCATCTGGGAGGGGCATCTCTATGCGGTGTACCGCATGCTGGTAACTTCTCTCCAAAATTCCAGCCCTGTTAATTTTACTCGCGGGGAGTTTACCTGCCCATTTTACCCTGGGATCTGCTTTAGTTATTGCATCAAATGTATAGCACGTTTTTGGAAGTAAGATGAAAAGTTTTTCGACTGTTATCTTATGACGATATGTATCTGATTCGGCGATACGATCTCCAAGCCTTGGCAGCACCAGCTTCAGATAACCAAAGTAATAGCTCCAAGCCAGCCCATCGGCCACATTCTTGTTTTCTTTTTCGTTCAAATCCGACGTCTCTACAGGAGACAGCTGACGCAGGCCCACAAGGAACGACAACTGCGGAACCACGAGACAGTTCAGGAAAAACAAGATGGGGTAACCTGGACCAGAGAAAGCTTCGTATTGTTCATACAACACAAAACACAATGTCAGAGCGGAAGAGATAGCAACGACTAAAATACTTCCGGCATTATCGAAGGTGAAAGTTGTCTTAAGAACCCCCTTCCAGTTTCCTTGATATCTTGCGTGCCTGTGTTTTAACTCTTCAGAAACCAGGCAGAATCTTCGTACAAGCTCTCCGAGAACGAAACTTAACGTGAGCAAGGCTGCTGTAAACACAAGGAAGTGAATCCCTTCGCTCGTTGCTTTTTCCTTTCGAACTGCCAACAAGAGTAACGCGCCGCTAATCACAAACACGATTGCTGAAGTAACCGTAGCAGTATTCCCGCGGCGCTTGGAAAGTGGTCCAAAGCCATTATTTTCTTGCTGAACTACGCCAGTTCCTCGAAGATGAGCGTTATCAGCCATTACGGATAAAAGTTTTCTTTCCTTTCGCAGAATTTCTTTTACTTGTGAAGATGGTCACAATGACATGCGCCGATCTGGGGAGTGCAGAACATTTGATTAGGGGGGAATCCCCTAGATGAATACTCTAGCTCTGATTGGCCACACGGTCGCCAGAATGTCGTCGGCGTGTACCCCTTGGGGAAAGTTTAAAACTGCTTTTGCAGCAACTTTCAGTTTCGAAAGATCTTTCCCACGCAAATGAAAAACGAAATGGAAAACGTTTTTTTTTTAGAAAAATTGCGCTTTGAATAATCTATCAGCTTTCTCTGGATCGATAACATTTTTGCTTTCTTCTGGGTCATGTAACAAACAATTTAACCAAAGCCATGGTGCCCTGTGATTCTATGGGAAAAATCATTACCTGACGAGGGACTTCGAGTTGAATTACACGCGAAAACCGAGATCTCTAAAAAAATAATTAGGGTTTATCAACTGGGTTGATGATGTAAATTGGCCACCGTGAAGAGTTGCAAAAGCTGACTTTTTGGGCGTTGGCTCTTCGTACATTCGCTCTGACGAATGGCCAACGCTCGAAACGTCAGCTTTTAAAAATCTTTACGGAGGCCAATTTTCATTATCAACTCAGTTGGTAAAATCCCAATTACCTTGTTACTCCCACCGACGCCGCACCACAGTTTCATTAGAAGCTTGACCCTTTATTCATTTCTCTTAAAATAATGCTTCTATAACCAGTTAATAATAAAAATTTCTATCGCGCAAATTAACATATGGATATGATCAAATGCATATCACAACGAAAAACGTATTCTTTTCAGAGGACTTTGGCCGGACTGCGTCAGTCGTTTACAATCAATGGAAGAAAACTTGTGATGATGTCGCCTCCCCCCCAATCCCCAGTAACCAGGCGAGACCACATCACTGTAAATGTAATCTCGTGGGTGGGTTCTTTAACGTCCCCTGCCTAACCAAACTAATTAATTAATAGATGCAGGAGACGGGACCTACGGTTTATTCGTCCTTATCCGAGATGAAAGGAATGTCTATCTATTCCTTGATATTATAGAAAGGTACTAGCACATTCTCCTCAGTTATTTTAAGACCTTGAGTCTGGATGAAGACTGAGCCAGGTTGCCAGTTAATGTTTTGATTCAGAAAAAAAAGACTGGAAATTTTGTAAAGATAATCTGCATAAAACGAAAATACTGTATTCCAAGAATTTACAAATGACTTAGAGAACGTATGACAGGAAAATATATATGTGTGCTTGAAGATTTAATACTTTGTTAAGTTATCAACATCCCGTTAAAAAATTCCAATCATTTCATTTTGTTGGGAGGGAGGACAGTTGACTTCACTCCACAGAAATTATCTCAAAAATCTCTGAAAATTACTGCTGTTTGATGACTGGGGTGTGAGATTTCCTCTTTCAATTCATGGCAGTTGCCAATCTGCAACCAGTCAATTAATATTTGGCGTTCAGAATAGACGAACACTAATACGAACTAATTTTCTTTATTCTCATAACCACAGAACACCCTAAACAACAACAGCTTGCTTCAAAGACCACACGTTTAACCTGGGGGAATTGCTTAATCCCCCTCTAAGACCAAAATGTCATATGATTATGCAATAATGTTAATTTTAGAACTGTCACGCAAGGAATGTTGGGGTCACCACAAATGCATGGTCTAATCTGAGTGGTCCACACGGCAGTGAAGGACTTCAGACAATTGGCGAAAAAATAAAACCTCAGCAAGTTTTAGAACTTCAAGGGAAGGTATGCCTTTAAAACTTGTTTTACCAGTAATAAATACCACTGCACACATCATAGTTTTTCATATCAACAGCTGATGAGATAGAAGAGGGACAAGAAGTGATAAACCTGTAACTTCTTCCTTTAATAATCAAACATTATTCAGCAAACTGGTAATGAAAATACTCAGAGGGGGAGGAATAGGGGTATGCAAATCCGCCGATCCGCTACGATTTGATGACCAAATCCGTCAGTCCGTTAAAAAAAATTGTTAAATCCGAATCCGTTCGCTACTTGCCTCGTAAAAAGGTGAAAACACACCTTGAGCTGTTGTGTGTTAGCTCGGCAATGGCTTTCCCATCGAGCGAATTGCAATCGGTGGGGTATAGTGTCACGGATAAGGCCCGGGGGGATTCCCATATGAAACAAACGTGTATGCTCGTCGGAAATTTTAAATTTAACCCCTAAAGGAGACCATCTGGGCGTGGCTCAAGCAAATTTTGACCCCTAAAAGAGACCGCTCATGTTCATGCATTGTCTCTTTGGCACTTGGTAAAATAGAAAACTTGTTAATGTTGAGGTAATACGGTAAACAAAACAAGTTAAAAAGAAAATTTTACTTCTGTTTCTCTTCGCGTAATTCTGTATTTCTTCGCGGAACCCTAAACGAGACCTTGGTGGCTTAAAATACTGGCGCTTTGCCTGGAACGCCCTAAGCGAGACCAAGATCCAAAATTTACACTCCTAAGCGAGACGACGAGCATCCCCGCTTGTTTAATATGGGAGTCCCCCCCGGGGGATAAGGGCGCGAACACATCAGACGTCCCAGTGCGTTACTGTTTCCCTGATGCGTGACATGCAGAGAGTCTCGTCCGTGACAAAAAAATACACATACTCAGAAAACAACGCATTTCTGACGATCGTTCAGATCCACAATCCGAAATTCCTCACAAGCAAAATCCAAAATCCGGACCTAAAAAATTGACAAAACCGCAACCGTTGCAATTTCAGAATCCGCAAATCCGTTAAAATTTTGCTCTAAATCCGAAATCCGGGCAAAATAATTCTCAGAATCCGTCGATCCGTTAGCCTATTCACCCCCCTCCTCAAAGTTATCATGTAGAAGTAGTTCTCCTGATCTACCACCAAATTCTCCCAACGAATTTACATGGAAATGTGTAACTGGCACAAGGGAGAATAAACAATCAGATCATGGGAGTTAAAAGGTTCGCCCCCATCATGAGTGACCAAGGCAGAATTTCTCCTTACAGTATCAGTGCAATATCAAGTAGACAAGTGATGAGAATAAAAGAACCAGATCAATCAAGGAATATTATTATATGATCCAATACCAAATTCTGTAAATTGACTTCATTAGAAGTGTAATGCAGAAAGTAAAGAGAATTAATAATGAGATATTGAGATTGACAGGGTTTAAATACTTATAATTTGTCTAGCATCACCTGTCTTCTACACCTAAGAGGGGGGGAGGGGGTAAAGGGATAGGGGATCCTGCACACATTTCATGCACACCAAAAAAGTAGAAATGATTCAAATATCAGATAAACAACTTTAAGTTTCACATATCAAGGAAAGTAAAAAGTCTTAAGTCTACAGGGTTTTAATTTTGATTTTGTATTTTTCACCATCCATAAAACTAAAAAAAACTTGCTCCTTTATCAATAATGACCCCTTTCCCCCCTCTCTCTCCTAAATGACAATAAAACAACTTGGAGTTATATTTAGTAGTGGATCATAACTTAACTTAACTGAACTTTATTTTTTAAGGAGGGAAGCACAATAACCTTTTACAGTTTTCTAACCTATGGCCCTCACACCCACCCACCCCACCCCAGGGGAGGACATCTACCACACGGTGATCTCGTGCGTGGCAAATTAACGTCTCCTACCCCTAACCCTGCAGGAGACGGGGCCTACGGTTTATTCGTCCATATCCGAGAAGACTAGAATATCTATCCATTTCTTGATATTATAGAAAGGTAGCACATTCTCCTCAGTTATTTTAAGACCCTGAGTGTTGGTCGGGCGGGGGCTTGAACCCTCAACCTCCCGCACAATAGTTTGGCACTCTAACAAAAAATTAAAAGCAAAAGCAACAAACTAATCAAACATTATATGAAAGCAAGTTATTCACCATGAGCAATATGTCACAAGATATATGTCTACTTAGTTGTTGTGGAAATTAGTCCACTTTATTAGGCTGGTCTGTTTTTAAACAAACCATTTATCAGTCACGACTTATAAGATGCAGGCTTTAGAACTAATTTTCTCAGCACGAATTAATAATGTGCTTGAGTACAAGTGAAATGCATAAATTTTAAAAAACAAGAGAACTTCTTTACTTTATAAAGGTAAATAAACATAGTTTTGTTCACAATAGTCACTGTGTTGGTATGCTAACTTCAGCTTCTTCATCCACCATTATGTTGGCATTATTATGCAAAGCAACCAGGATGTCTGCAATCTTGTTTTTGTCTTCATCTCCAGAAAATGGAATCAATTCATACCTTCCTTTACATTCTTCACTCTTCCCCAGAATTTCTGTCAGTTTTCGGATGAACAACACCACCTATGTGAAAAGTAACGACGAGACAAAGATTCAGATTGAGCCAAATTCAATAACACAATTATATGACTGCGCTAATAATATTTAAAAAACAAATCTGCTGTGCGCCTGTCTTCAAATTAATAAGCAGAAGAAGAAATTAAAATGTTTTTGGGGCTGAGCTCTTTCACCGTTAAAACCAAATGACAAAGCATATTCAAGCGTTCAGATGCTAGACACTGTACTATACCTGATGATCCCGCTCTGAACCGGTTAATTGTGCGTCTGTAAACCTAGACATATCATACAAGGACATTAGAGGCGTGGCATACTCCACGATAAAGTGGTACTTTTCCTCCGTCCCGTCTGGGAAGGGCATCACTATTTCGTGTACTGCATGTTTGTAACTTCTCTCCTTAATTCCTCCCCTGTTAATTTTACTCTCTGGGAGATTGCCGACCCATTTCACCCTTGAATCAGCCTGTTCAATGTCATCACAAGTGAAGCACGTTTTTGGCAGTAGGATGAAAAGCTTCCTGTCTGTTATTTTATGACGAAAGTACTCCGATTCTGATATCCGTAGTTCCAGTCTTGGCAGCACCAGCCTCAGATAACCAAAGTAGTAGCTCCAAGCCAGCCCATCAGCCACATTCTTGTTTTCTTTTTCGTTCAAATCCGATGTTTCTACAGGAGAGAGCTGTCGTAGACCCACTAGGAACGATAATTGCGGAACCACGAGACAATTCAACAAAAACAAGATGGCAAAATCTGGACGAAAGAAAACCTCGCGATAAGCATACAACTGATAACACAGCATCAGAGTGGACACGGTAGCGACACCTAAAATACACTCGACATTGCCGAAAGTGAAAGTTGTCTTGAGAACAGCCTTCCAGTCTCCTCGATATCTCGCGTGTTTATGTTTAATTTCTTCAGACACCAAGCACAATCTTCGTACTATTTCTCCAAGAACGACACTTAAGGTAAGAAAAGCTACTGTAAACACCAGGAAACGAATCCCTTCCCTCATTTCGTTCCACGTCACTGCTAACAAAAGCGTCGCGCTACTTATCACAACCACGATGGCTGATGTGATCGTAGCGGTATTTCCACGAAGCTCGGAAAGTGGTCCAAAGCCATTATGTTCTTGCCGAGCTACATCATCTCCGCGGAAAGGAGAATTATTAGCCATTGCAGATAAAAGTATTCCTTTCTAAAACAGGATACAGCGTTGCTGGTATGGTTGGCCGTAACAAATGCGCCAAACTGGCGGAAGCAAATTCATTCGCCTGGAGAATCCCCTGGATGAATAGTCTCCACCTGATTGGCCAGGATCCACTTTGGATGTCGTCAGTGTGTACCCCTGGGGGGAGGCCACAAATCTCGGCGGGTTAGTGCTCTTTCAGCAACTTTCATTTTCGAGATGTCTTTCCCAATGGAATAATAACCGAAAGGTTATCACTTCCCTTAAATAGCTCTTGTGGTGTCCACACAGGCTTTAGAATTGATAAACCCCACCTAGGCCCCATGTGGAAATTCTTTGGTACTCACGTGACGACTTTACTGGTTCGAACGGTATCCGGTCGTTTCGCCAACGAGTTATTTCGCCAAAGTCTCGTTCGCCAACGTGTTAGGTTGATTCGCCAACGTCCTATGTCGATTCGCCAACGTCCTACTGGTCAATTCGCCAACGTCTCAATAAAAGTTCACCTTCACTTGTGTGTGTTGTTATTTATTTTCCTGCACGTGCTTCCCAAGTTTCTACATGGCAAATGCTCGATCGGTCAGGGACAAACTGGACGAGTTGACTGCCCAGCTTTTAACGTTTCACATGGATATTGCAATTATTACGGAGACTTGGCTGCATGACTACATCGATAATAACATCCTTACCATTCCAGGTTACAACATCGCGAGACGTGACCGCCACAACCGAATAGGGGGTGGCGTGTGCGCGTTCGTGTCTTCAGAGATACCTTTCAAGCGTAGATCTGACTTGGAGTCTCCAGAACACGAGTGTTTGTGGCTATGGTTACGCCCTCATCGTCTACCACGCCCACTATCTGGTATTATATGTGGGGTGGTGTATTTTCCTGTGGCCTCTGCCCAAGTGCAGCGAGATCGCACAAAGTACATCATAGAAACACTAGACTCCGTAAAGACTTCTTATCCAGACTGTGGCGTAGTGTTATTAGGCGATTTTAACACCCAGGACATCTCAGACATGTTAGCCAATCATAACCTAAAACAAGTAGTTATGAGGCCCACTCGGGGCAATAGCATACTAGACCTTATTTTAACGGATTTTAGTGAATACTATAGCGAACCAATTGTCAGCGCGCAATTAGGGTCTTCGGACCATGGCTCCGTTCACTGGAATCCGCTTTCAATGAACCAACTAAACCCGCTGTGCGTTGAAAAGAAAAGGATCCCGATGCGTCGCTTTCCTCAGTCGGCAATAAGCGCTTTTGGGAGGTGGGCGTGTTCACACCGTTGGTTCAGTGATTTAGAAGTAGACGGTGACTCACCATCAGTTGACTCTCTCACGCCCCAAACTTGTTGGATATGATGCACAACTGGTTGTCCTCTATTGACAAACCAGGTATGTGCTTAAGGGCCTGCTTCCTGGATTTTAGTAAGGCTTTTGACCATATTGACCACACTATCTTAGTCAATAAACTCATCCACCTTGGGGTCCGTGGTTTTATTATCCGGTGGATTTGCAGTTTTCTTTATGGCCGTCGCCAAGCTGTTAAGATTAAGAACATTATATCCCCTTGGTTGCCCGTGCACGCTGGAGTCCCGCAGGGCACTAAGCTTGGCCCCATCCTGTTCCTCCTGATGATTAACGATCTCGCGATTGAAACTCCATTACTATCGAGCCACTGGAAATATGTAGACGACCTAACAATATCCGAGGCCATCCCATCAGGCGGCACATCGTCCCTTCAGAAAGACCTTGACGCCATTGCACAGTGGTCGTCGCGCAATAATATGAACCTCAACCCAAACAAGTGCAAGGAACTTGTGATTAGTTCGCCCAGAACACGGCCAGATCTTGGCCCTTTGTGCGTCAACGGACGTCCCTTAGAACGGGTCTCCTCACACAAGGTCCTTGGAGTCACTATCAGCGACACTCTTGGGTGGAATGAGCACGTGCGTGAGATTGTCTCCAAAGCCTCAAAACGTCTTTACATCTTAAGAGTGCTCAAGCGGTCCGGAATTCCACCCGAAGACCTTATTAACATATTTTATGCCTTGGTACGATCGGTCCTCGAATACGCCTGCGTCACTTGGTCTACTAGCCTACCAATTTACCTCAAGGACATGATCGAAAGAGTTCAGAAAAGAGCTCTGCGTATATTATTTCCGGCGCTGAGCTACAAAGACGCCATTGTGGCTGCAAACTCCACTCGCCTAAATGTGAGAAGAGACGAACTCTGCAAGAAAGTTTGGGGCGGTATCTGTGTGCCTGGGTCACGGCTGTACCACCTTATTCCACCAAAGCGCGCCGATTGCCACGTTTATGAGTTGCGCAACAAAAACCATGTATCACTCTTTAAATGCCGGACCGAGAGATTTAAAAAATCTTTCTTCCCAACAATGGCGTCTAACGCCCAGTTCTTGTAGTCAAGCAAACCTAAGCGTTTTTCATTGGTATGTAACTGCCGATTCTTGTAATTCCCAGTCCCTTTAGACTCTTAATTTTAAAGTCAAATGTAAGATTTTCGTATTTTTTAAATATTTAAAGTATACTTGTAAATTCACATGTATTTCACCACTTGGGTGCCATTTTTGAATACTTTTAATAAACCTTCTATCATCATCTTCAAGAGGAAACTCGGTGTTTACGAAGGCAATTCTCTTGCAATGTTGTGTTGTGGCATTTTATAAAGAAGGTGAGACTTTTCTTCTTTGAATGGATAACAGTCAACAATCCTTGTTGAAATATACTTTTAAAAACATGTCTACTAGTTTTTGCTGACGCGCGTATTATGGCACTCCTTGCTTCTTTTAATTGAGCGCGAAGCGAAAACTGTCATATATTTAAAACGAATTCTACTGTTTACTGGCGGCATTCTAATGGTAGGTGCGACTTAGGCCCAGTTCAGACGCCGATCTTTTCATGAGCCGAACCTAATTTCTTGAATTAAGTACATGAAAAGATCGGCGTCTGAATCAATTTGGAACGGCTATTTCAATTTGGAACGGCTCACCCATTCTTCCCGCCTGACTTGGCCGAGAATTTCGCCTCTGGAAAGCCTTTGGAACGGCTTTGATTCAGACGTCGTACTTTTCATGCGCCGATCTTAATGCATAAACTATTATAATGTATTTTGCAAGTAATGTGATTGGTTTTACTGGAACTGTATTTGGAACGGCCAAAAAGAACGGCCTTTGAATCAACAGGCGTACTTTTGTTAATTTGGGTCGGTCCAAATTCGAATTAAGTTCGGCTCATGAAAAGTTCGGCGTCTGAATCAGGTCTTATGTTAGTTATTGTTGTCCGTTTCATAACAACTTAGCGCTTTACTGAAGAGATGCTTTTGGACGTGATCCAAACAGCTATTTAAACACGGCAGCGAATGCGAGCGACAAACAAACTTTTTTCCCCTTCCCTCGTTTTCGTTAACGCCATTTATAACCTACCATGCGATAATAAAAGTCAAGGTCTCATTCTGCCGAGAGCGGAATAAAGAAGCCCAAAAGAAGCCCAAGGAGTGCACAAGGCTAACTTGGGCAAGTAGACTACAGTTCGGTGACTTACCGCTGGGTAAGTCCCGTAAAAAAAAACAAAAAAAAACGGCTCCTTCAGGAGCTACCACAATCTGAGAAAGAAATGACCAACTTGCAATTGTGTGTTACTCTGTTCTTCCACCTTACTCTTTTGCAGCCACTTAGTCCTGTCCGAAAAGCGACATCCCTCAAAAGTAACAAGGTGTGAAATCACACTTTCTTTGTTCCTGAAGCTTGACAACAACAGCTTTGTTTCTTTTACAATCCTTGCGTCAGTGGTTGAAAAAAGACACGCACGCAATTTTCTTTCCTTTCTTTTCATAAAGAGGAAATTTCCAGGATCAGTTTTTTTTACCTGCCCTCAGTTTATTTTATGTTGGTTAAAGTTTAACGAGACAAAGCCTAGCTGGGGGCAATAATTATTAACATTCTCTTTTTAAAGACGCCTTTACCTTTGCAAATCGTGCAAATTGATCTGAAGTCAGTCAAGCGAAACTGGCAGTGACTCAAGGATCAGGATTGCATTCTAAACATCAATAAGCACCCTTTTTTTTTCGTTAGTCTTGGATAACTGACGTTGGCGAATTGACCAGTAGGACGTTGGCGAATCGACATACGACGTTGGCGAATCGACATAGGACGTTGGCGAATCGACATAGGACGTTGGCGAATCAACCTAACACGTTCGTGAACGAGACGTTGTTGGCGAAACAACTCGTTGGCGAAACGTCCGCAATTCGTTCGAACAGATGCACTTTACAATCAGGCTTTTCAAACGGTTATTCAGCGTTTATTCAGATACTGTCATCGTGTGAAAGCCGGTAGAAATTTAAAACTGGTAAGAGTACCCTAAAACCCCATACATTAATTATGCATTCAGACTGGTAGACTTTGTTTTTAAAGTTTTGTCGTGAAAGACAAAGAAGTGGAAAGCATAATAAATGTATGGGGTTATATGGTACTCGTTCCTTAAAACTTACTATAATAGAGTCCTAAAGTGCTTACGTCACGTTTCCATAGCACCGGAATTCTGTGGTCTAAACAAAGGGCTTGACGTAGAGAGGAGCATCGAGGAACATCAAGGTTCATCAGGGGTCGTTTAAAGCCAGTGCCAATTGAGATAACACTTTGACGTTCCTCGAGTAAATTGATATACCTACACAAAACAAGCATGAGGGAGCATGGTTATGTTGCAGATGTAAATGGCGCAAAACGAAGTGATTGTTATAAGTGACGAGGAAGACTCTGTCAACCAAAAGACATCGGAGATAACATCAATTGTTATCAGCGATGGGGAAGATGAAGTCGTCGAATCAATGAAAACGAGGGGCGATGTCATTGAAAGAATCGTAATAAGCAGTTCAGCTAAATCTGAGCCCTGTCGTCCGTTAAAAAAATTCAAATTTAGCGAAAATGGTGTTAAGAAGCTACAAGCTCAGGTAAAGCTCATCGACATTGGAAACTGGAAGAAACCACTGAAACTGAGTCCAGTGAAGAAGGAGACTGGCGAGGGAGTTGCAACCAGTTCAGCCGAATGTGAGGAAACCAGTTCTTCGGTAGATCAGGTGAGAATTAGAATGGAAAGATTCCTGTTTTTCCCTATACTTATCCTAAAACAAAGCTTCATGGTCAATCTTTTGTTTTGCCATTTTTATTCTTTTTCTTTAACTGCTGTATGCATATTGAGGTGTTAGGGTTATACGAACATCTTGCTTAAGCTCTGAAGAAAATTGAATTTCTTGGAACAGAATAAACTTTCACTATATCTGTTAGCATTCAGTGTAGTGTAAGCGTGTAGAACACAAAATTGGTTTTTTCTTTATGAGTATCCCTAATCCTAAACTAGTGACCAAGCGCTGTCTTTAATTGTGCTTTTAAAACCACAAGGAGGCTAATAATTTAATATCGAGGTGGCTCAATATCATGATATTAAAATTCTTCAAAGTTGATAATGTTTTAACTCACGACAGGTTAGTCTTGCTAACCTAGTGGACAGTAAGTACTATACTGGGCCTTCTCCTGGCATCTGCTGCATAAAATTACCAAGACAACATGTATTACTTTTCCTGGACAAGATGCTGGTTTACTGCAGGTTATCATATGCTCGCTCTTGCCCAAAATTGATTATTGCAAAGCAGTTCCTCTTGCTGAAAAAGAGAAAAAAATTCGAACACTTGAACTTTTGTGATCTGACTGGTACATTTTCTAAATGTTTCCTAGCTAGATTAAGAGCTTGAATCAATCTGAGTAGATAGAAGTCTTTTTAAAAGGGGGGACACTAGAAATAAGGTTGTGTCAAAACTCTCATCAAAAAGGCTTCATCGAAAAGTTTGAAATTTTCTTGAAACTCTTCTGCTGTGTTGGCTATGATTGGGTCCTGTACAAAAATATTGAATTGACTTTGACTCCACAAAAGTTGGTAGATGTATTTTAACTCCTTTGGCAGTCATTGAGTGTCACTAACAGTCTATTATCTAGGGTGGAGAGAGGCTGTGTTTGAGTTAAGTGTACTAACTTCATGTACAAGGCCGCTGTGTGTTTTCTGATGTCTGATTCCTAATTCTCTTTATTTTCCAGGTCAAGACTGAAAAGGATGACAAAATTGTTGGGGAGTCACGAATGAACCTCTTTGAGAAATTCTGCTCTGATAAAAAAGAAATCACTGGCAAAAAACCTGTTAAAGTCAATAAAAGTTTTGATGGCTACAAACACAAGAAGTCTAAAAGCCCTTGTCAGTCTCCGTCTTCACTAAAGCAGGGAAAAATTACTGCGGAGAGTTTCTCCCCAAAGAAGAGGCCTCCTTTACATGGGATTGTGAGAGATGAAGAGCTTTTGCTTTACACAGTACCTTTACATTGCACAGTTCCACTGAAAAAATCAGAACTTGTGAGCAAACAAGAAGCAAGCTTGAGCAAAACCTTCACTGAGAACCAGTTGAATTCACTGGAGGCTCTTAAAGAAGAGAATTTCCACAAGACCTTCCTGACAACTGTCACAAGTTTTATGAGTCCGTGTCGCAAGCCCCCTCCATCTCTTTTATTTTACCTGTTCAAGAATATCTTGCTCTCCAAGCAAAGTGGCTATGGAACAGAATGTTTTAGAATTCTCCTACAGATTCAAGAATTGCATCCTGCTCAGGCTGCACAGATGTTACGGCTGAAAATTACTTGGGAGTGTGTTTCCATGATAGTAAAACTAGCAGGATGCTCACAGTTTCATACAGTGGAAAGTTTCAAACAGAATGCCTCCATGGCTTTGTCTTTTCTCATAAACGTCATGGAAAAGGAAGTGGAGAAAAAGAAATTCAGCCTTGTCAAGACAAATGCACACCAATTTTTCTCAGTGGATAGATCTTCAGGTAACATTCATGATGTTGTAGAGTGGATTCAAAAGGCTACAGAACAACACTGTGTTGAACGATTGGACCAACATTGTGGGCATAATTTCTGTCCTCTATATTTATTACAGAGAATGCTTCAGTTGTCAATGTTAGTCAGTCAAAGACCAGAGGACACTGCTGTAAGACTAGCAAATGATTTAGTCCTGGCTTATGTAGAGTTACCATCTGTCAAGTACAAAACATTACTGCTTCAGTCAATACAGTCGCATTTTTTGAAGACAAAGCTGATTGAAGTTGTAATGAAAAACTGTTGTGCTATTGATAATGAGTCAGGGGCAGAAATAACAACTAGTTTTGGATTGAAATATGTTGTCTTTAACTTCAAAAGATCTCCACCCCTCTCTAATGGCATTGTTAGCACTACAAACTGTGAAGAATTTGTTATGCTGCTTGCGTATTGGTTGCAAAGCTTTATTTTCTGTCGAAAGAGGACTCTGATGGCAAAAGGGAAAGATTCACAGCGAGTTATGTCCCAAGATGATATAGAGGTACTGAGAGAAATTGAACAGGAAGTGTTAATGTTGACAGGTCGTTTAGAGGCGTTATGTGGTTCGTCACTCTCCCCAAGAAGCTACCAGTTATTGCAATTAATTGTGTCCCTAAAGAGTTTTGCAGAAATTCTGTAGATGATGGTTCTGCAAACTGTACAGTGAACAGAATACCACTTATTTTGTCAAGTAACAAGGGTGATTGAAACGGTTTTGTTGTACTCAAGTACACTGGTCTGTATTTACAGTTGAGAGAAAATCTCACACAAATCATGATGTCCTGTGCTTCTGTTGGAAACTGAAAGGAGCTGGGTGAAGATGGAGTCAGGTTGCTGTGGAAAAGTGAAGGATTGTGCACATGTAGTGTGAAGTAATTAATTGATATATATATATATATATATATATATATATATGTATATCACAATTTTTGGCAGATAGCATTTTATTAATAAATTCCATTCATATCCAGATTACATTCTGATAGTAAGTTTGTTCCTAACTATTTAATATCTGAATTATGCATGGATTTATGCATGTCGTGTGAAGATCCAGATTTAGAGAAACCCAGGGTATTACCTTTTCTTAGCCACTGGAAAAAAAATCCCAGATATGAAAACAACCTAAAAAAAGTGGGCATAAGAGGCCTTCAATTATTTGATTTTTTTCATGTTGATTAGAGTTGAATATTGTGCATGGAGCCAATCCTATCATGATTTTCATCTACTACATGTATGTTCTGTATGACCATGACACAACACAGCTTTGAAAAATACTGTAGGTTACACCTACAAAAATGACCTTTTACAGTTACTACCAGTATGTATTATTCCTTCTTCCTTCCCACTCAACCCTTAAATTACCAGGAGTGACTAAGACACAAATTCTCCTTACAATATCAATACAATTTCAAGTAGACAAGTGATGAGAATATAGAAAAATATGTATTAGGGGATTATTGGGTAATCAAGAAATTATATAGTATACAGTAAGGAGGGTTACTGATGTCAAAGTGGAAATATAAGGGAGTCAGAGTTGAACTTATCATAACTGATCATTTTCAATTGCCTATTTTGAGTGAAAAACTTTCAGTCTGTTTCTCATTTTCTTGGGAATCTATGCTTAGCTGATCAGACCTATTTGGTGTGTAGTATTACTTATCATTATCCAACTGTAGAGTACAGATAACACTCAAATCAAGTTCAAATATCCTGCAATATGATACAGTTGGTTGTGTTTTACTATATGCCTAGAAGTGTTATTCTGTTGGTTATGTTAGAGAATTAAAATAATTAAATTTTAATAGTATTTAAGTTAGAGAGGGAGAGGACTGTATGTGAAAGTTAGAACTTATTTATTTATAAGGTTGTATATATGCTACATTGGAGAGAATACTGTTTCTCCAATATGTAATAAGGATAGAACATAAAGATTTTTTTTTAATTATTTTAATAAAGAAAGTATTAAATTGTAATTTATCCCAACCAGATCAGTACTTAACAATGCCAACAGGGGATGACAGAAGGCCAACATTTGAGGGTGAGCGTATCTTATTCTCATTGAGGAGGCAAGTTTCTAAAGAAACTGTGGTGCGGCATCAGTGGAAGTAAGAAGGTAAATTGGCCTCCACAAAGAGTTTCAAAGCTAATGTTTCAAGCGTTAGCCCTTCATTGCTGGAAATGGAGGGGTTGTGTGTGCATGTGAGGGTTGTGTACACACAGCCCTCAATTCCTCCATTTCCTCTGACAAAAGGCTAACGATTGAAATGTTGACTTTGAAACTCTTTACAGTGGCCAATTTACATAAATCTCATAAAGGACACTTTGCTTCTGAAAGTGGCTTGTAATCTTGCAGCTATAATTTCCCAAGTGAACTAGCAGTATGCTGGGGAAAAGGTGTAACCCTCCTCTTGAGACAAATCATGTACTTAATTAATGGTGCACCTTTTGCCTGAGTGTTGTAGCACCAAAATTAAAGTAACCGCAAGGGTTAGTCAGAAAAAGGAAAAGTTTCTAACTCAGGCAGTGTTACATTTTGAATTGTGGGGTAGTCTGCTCACAATTTTTTACCCAACTGGCCATTTTTAATTTATAGCTAGAGTGGACAAGGGGTAGAAAATTGAAGAGACATTTAATGCCTAACCCCCTCCTCTTCCCTTAATTTATAAAGTCACTCACCCCCTTATTTTTGCCTCCTAGTCAAACTCAGTATTTACACATTTTCACCACATACACTGTCGTATGTGGATGTAAACACTTAAAATTGAAAATTGGAATTTCCTTTTGTCTGCTCCCCCTCATTACTAAACACCCCATGGATGATATTTGACTACTGGCAATAAAATTTGTCTCGAATTTGCAAGTCAACAAAAATTTGACCTCTGATAGAGCAACAGAACAGTGGGGATCTGTTTTGTTAACTGTCTTTTTGTCTACAGGAAAGCAAGCTGTCAGTTTGTTTGACATCAACAAGAGTCCATTACTCTCCCATATGAGGACATCCACCCTAATTTTCTTTGGTGTCCACTTAAGGGAATAATTCTTGCAGGCAGACAATTTTACCAACACACACTTTTTCCAATTCCTGATGCTGTCTGCTAACAAGAGAGTTGTCTGTTGTCAGAAGGGAGGAATTACCTTTCAGATTGAGATACTTAAAGTTATACTCAACTTTAGTAATCTAAAACAATTTCCATTTCTTTGAATAGTAAGTTTAAAGGGTTTCCTCAGGACTGAACATTGGTGATAAAACTTCTGGCCCTAGCTGTTGGAAGGTCGGATAACGTTATCCACTAGTCAAAGATCTCCCTTGAATAACGCTCTATGTATTGATATCACTTGTATGCTGGATAGCGATTTCTTTGTCAGATAGCATTATCCCACCCCCTTTTCACAACTTTCCCCTAGCTGATGATTCTTGTTTACTATAGAATTATGATGTACTATGTTTCCTTGGCAAAACCCACTTCAACTTTGGTGTTGTAAGACAAAAAAACACATAACTTTAGTGTGAGAAACAATTTATTTTGAGGATCTGAAATGTACATCCTTTACCCAACTTTCAAATAAAAATACTTGAAAAAGAATGACTGAAGCCTGCCAGCGGCTTTTCTTTCGATACGCAACTTAATTCATGTATTTTTAAAAAATTGTCATCTCTTTCAGTTTGAGTTCATTAAACCATAATTATTTACCTCCATGGCAAGAGCATTAAATATCAGTATAAGTACTTGACAAAGATATTAACAGACCCAAAACTGACAAGGGAGTGAACAAGTTCTTTGTGCTTGAAATAAGCTCATGGCAAAAACTGTTGGGTACATGTAAAGCTACACTCCCCAACATAAATGGTTGCAACACTTTGCTCAAACAACTTCCATAAGGTTCTTTTGTCCCTCTTACCTTTCCAATGTTGTTAACTGCCAGTGTTTCTATGCTATCTTGAAGACCCACAACGAGAGAAGCAGGTGAAGGAGACTGTGTCCCGAAAGATGTGTTTGGGAGTGTGGTGAGGTGTAAGCTCGAGCATGTGACTTTGCCTTTTGAATGGAGCGTAATTGAGGAAAGATAAAGGCTAATTTGGCTATGGAACTTTCAAGGTATTAAGAAATTCAGCCTTATTCTCCAGGTTGTCATTTTCAGTCAGTGTGTATCTTTGCCAGCTTCAAAAAAATGTAAATACAATTTTTTTTTTAAATGTAACTTAGCTCCGAGTTAGGTTTTTCAGTTCCCACCATTCACTACCATTGGAATATCCATGAGTTGACTGGGAGTCCAAAGCAATGACCATTAAGCCACTGGGTCACCCAATATCAATCAGGGTGTGGTACATTTTCTCTTCTCCCCCCCATCCCCATGTATGGGGGGGGGGGAGGGAGTACAGCATTGCTTTAATTCCAAAGATAAAAAACATTACTCTCCCAACTGACTACAATACACCCCTCTATAACTAAGTAATTTCTACTTAACAATATATCCTAGTCATTAATTTTCTTAATTCTCATGAACTGTCTCTTTGATAGAGTAGAGAGAGAGTTTACATTCTGGTCAATTCTGTAGGAGAAAGGGGGTTGAGAAAAGCTACAATGACAGTTTAAAAGGCTTTTTTAAAAGACAGTAATATCACTAACTTTCAAGAGGTTTGACCCAAATGTTTTTAATAAACTATTTTCCATTTTTTAGGAAGTGGAAACTTTTCTTCCATCATCAAACACTGCAAATATTTCAAAGCCACATTCAGGTGTCGGAAAAATTATTTAACACTCAGCACAGATCAATCTCTGCCAGTCAAATGTGACAATGCCCTATGAACAAAATTAAGATGTCCATGAGTTTTAAGAATTACTTTTATTTGATTCATTATTTAAATATGAATCAACAGCTTTCCACAGAGCAGTTATATTGCCCGCTCCGAATCCTGTGGCCCCACAGCGCTGAATAACCTCCAGGAAGAAGGTGTCTTTGTTAAAAAGTGGTCTAGTAAAAACTTGCATCAAATACCTGTAAAATAACAACAAAAGAGAGGTGGTAAATTCACCACAAATGCCTCTTACTAACCGAGTTCTAGGTCAGTGCTGTAAATTTATGAACCAAGTTTGTTCCACTTGGATTTATAGCCCAACCAGGCTGTAAATCAGAGCAAAAAAAATGAGATTGTGTAACTTGAAGTTAGTACAGACTGAGAACTGAAGTTCATAAGGTAATTATGAAATCGCTAGGTTCAGGTAGAAGGGAAGGACTTCAATTCAAATAACCTTTTGAATTTAGTGAGGCCCGATAAGATGGCTTACCAAATCGACCAATAATAGCACACATACTAACTGAGAAATAAAATAAATTATTACATGACTCGGGCAGTCAGAGGGCCAATAACTAAAATCAACCAATCAAAATGCTCTATTGCCGGTCAATATTCTCTCAGTATTGGACCGGGCACTGTCCCGAATGGTCCCGAATGATACCGCACTTGTGTCCCTTTGAACTTCAGTCGTATAATAAATCTGTTATTAACCAAGCTTGCTCAGGACTGTACTGGAAGAATATCGGCCCTCGGTCATTTTTGTACAGACCGAGCTGTGCTCAGTCCGTACTGTCTAGACCTTAGGCCAATATTCTCCCAGTACAGCCCTCGCACTTGGTTAATAAGATATATGTAGGTTACACTTGAACTCTGTCATGACAACCATTTTGGGGACAGAATGCCAAAGTCAGTTGGAGAGACAGCATTATTAACATTTTCAGCAGGAGGGCGACTGGTTCTCACAGGCGGGTCAAACTTTTTGAATTGAACTTCTTTATAAGTTAAACTTTCCTCCCAATTGTCAAACCAGGTGGGCAAAACCGTCCTCACAACCGGTCAATTTCCCCGCTGCCTGGCCTTTAATGAAACCCCTGTATCAAGAATGGTTGAACAATTTGATGGATCTGCTCATTCATAAGCAATTTTCAAAATGTTAGATTCCTCTTTGGAATGTCAAATTAAAACTCACTTGTTGTCAGCATCTTGGCATACATTCATATTTTCCAAACATGAGGCTGTGCTTTCACTTGACGTGAAGCTCTCTGCATCCAACAGAATACCATGTTTCTGGAGAGACTCCACACTCTCTCCTACATCTCGTATTTCCTGAAGTTTACCTTCCTATAAAATGAGATTGATGTTGTCAAAAACTGTACTATTACAAGATTTATTAGTTGCCTTAGGGCTCTTGCATAAAAAAAACTGGATTGCCCTGCTGCTAGAAACTTTTGCAGAAGCTTAGTCACACCCAAACACAAATCTCCCTAAGAGCAACGTTTGTTGGCTTTGGCACCATATCCCTGCTAGATTGCAGCACTGTTCCACTCACTACATCAAAGATGAATTAACATGTGACAAAGAAAGGGCAATCATGATGCTGCTTTCAAAGAGATCAGATAGTTCCAATAACAGGTCAGCCCTAGATCATGAAGTCCACCAAACTGTCTGTGTCTGGAAAGCAAAACAAGAAATTGGATACCAAGATTCCATTTATACCTCTGGGACAGACGAAAGAAGTAACTCTTTCACAGAAAAAAAAAAAAAAAAACAAAGCTAAGCCAATGGGTATAATCAAACTTGAACACCTCCTAGTCAAGGTTCCCCAGCCTTCTATCCTAAATTGGTGATCACTGTATAACTTGCACACCTCAGAATAATAAGCAGATGGAGGATCAATAAATTTGACTCCTCTGTCCTTTAAGGTAGCAACAGCTTCAGCTATGTTTGGTGTATGCAGGCCTATGTGCTGTATACCTGGTCCTCCATGTTCTGTTAAGAATGTCTGTACCTGGTTAGGGCCTACAAAAAAAATTCAAACAAAGTGACATTTTTGTAACAAGTTTTACACCAACCTTTACAATATTTTCGACTGAACCAAAAATATTCCTTACCCCCCCCCCCCACAAACATACACAAAGTACTAGACGGCATGATCCTTGCATTTATTCCTTTGACTTACAAGGTGACCAAGACAGAATTTCTCTTTACAAAAACAATACTACATCAAGCAAACAACTGATGAGAACAAGGAAAAATGTCAATTGGGGGATTGTTAGTTGATTCAAAACCGAATTCTCCAAACTGGCATCATATGAATTGTATGGCAGACAGCAAGGAGAATTACTAAGAGTGATAACCCTTTTAATTCCGACAAGATGCCAGGTTGCCAAGTAGCATTTAAAACAGTAGCTTTTGTGTTCTACGTTTCAACACATTTGAAAAAAAAAAAATTAAAGCAAGGTCTAGTATGATCTTTACATTAATGTTTGATTAAAGCCTAAGATGAAAGTCATGAGGTAAAGGAGCAAACTCCACCTTTAAAATTGGTGACCAAATAGAATACAAGAACCCTAATTTTGGCTTGAAATAAGTAGCTAATAAGCCTCCATCCCCCCTCCCCTCAGTAATAGGCGTTTTTCTCGGAAACAGTACCATATAACCCCATACATTAATTATGCATTCTACTTCTTTGTCTTTCACGACAAAACTTTAAAAACGAAGTCTACTAGTCTGAATGTATAATTAATGTTTGGGGTTATATGGTACTCTTGCCTTTTTCTCTTAAAAGCCCACTACCTGGAAGCCTAAGAGGCTCATATCCACATGTACATTGAATGACTTTGAATGATTCTGTCATTGTAGCGAATGTGTATGTGCTAACCTTGTCCCGGTAGTGGTTCTGCAAAAACAAACTTGACACCACCTCCTGGTTCATCAGTGTTTATTCTTAGCTCTGATTCCGAGCAAAACCAATACTGCATGGCTGTCAGCTTCATTCCAATGCTCGCTCCTTGTATTGAACTCTGCACAATGAAGCCCTCTGACTTCTCATCAGAGCTGATATTAAACCTACTGAAGCCAAAACATCGCTCATACCATTTCATAATCGACGGAGAAGTCCCTAACGGGCATGCAAACGTTATGTGATCAAAGTGTGTTAAAAGACGATCGCCAATAACTGAATTCTTGTTAGTCGAGTTCGATGGGGTTACATAATCTACCCTTTCGGGTAACGCCATCTTGTAATTGTCACTTTCATGAAATCCCGGCAAAAACACACCGTTGTAACTAGAAGCATTTAACAATGTGTGAACAACGTTTCCGACAGGAGTTTGTATTACAGCGGATTCCACCACTCCGTTACGATCAGCGAATGTTTCTGGTCTTCTGATTATTTTACCGCTATTTCTTTCTACGATATCCACCACTTGTTTCACATCTTTGACTTCAAGGGCAACGTTGTAAACGGTGTCTCGTTCACTGGCGCCTTCGCTCAAAACAAAATTTATAGAGTCCCGGTTCAGAGTGACCCGATTGGGAAAGGAAGACGAAGCAAGCACTCTAAAGCCAAAGTTTCCGCAGAATTTCCTTAAACTTTGCTGAAGATTTTGACAGAGTACTTCAACGTGATGCAAACGAACCACCATGTTTCTTCCATGAAAAACTAGTTCCAGGCTACACTCATGAGAACAAAGTCCATTTAAGCAGAACCAAGAGGGGAGGGGTAGTCACGATGAAATGTACCTCCAGTAGTAGTGCAATGAAAATTGCTCATTCTGGGTTCGTTGCCGGTGGTATTGCTCTTAGTACCGCAGTTTTACAGGCTGCAGCTTGCGGAGTAGTCTCGTAAGAGGTGAACAGAGAGGCGCCTGGGGCAGGGTTTATACGCACGGATCGGGTCCTAACACGTGAAGCGTGGGTGTCACCTCGCTAAAGCGCGGTACCACTGGAACCTACTGAATAATCCCATACTTCTTGTATTCTTTATCTTTGCAGCCCAAAGTTTTGTTACTCGTGTATCAGTCAAGTGGTTCCCTTTCCCATGGACAGAACTTGAAAATAATCAATCTTAGGGACCAAGCAAGTCGCGACTCTAGTAATGTTCCCTTTAAAAAACTAAATATAAAAATATGCCGATTACACCCACTGCTACTTTTAGAAAAAGTGCAAAAAGTATGCTTTTTTTCCAAATTATGCCAAAAGTTATGCTAGCACAATCGATAATGGCCTGGCGGCATTGGAATTCTCGTACGCTTCAGGAATTTTAGTCGACAACTAATAGAAGAGAAAGTTAATCGAGCGCCAAAGGCCTGATCAAACGATACTGCAATGTCTTCTCGGCATGCAAAAATGGGCGGGAGATTAGAGAGGGCGATGGGACTTTTTGTAGGAGAGGACTTTCTTAATTAGCTGTTGGTCTGATAGAAGTTGTTCGAGATAAAGAGGAATAAAAAGTCATGGGAGCAGTTTGATTTCTTCAGTGCCCGTCCCGGCCGCGCGTCGTCTTGGCTGAACTTTTCTCCGAGGTCAATTTACCTTTTAAAGCCACTCGAAACAGGAAAAAACTGTCCAAAATTTTCATCAGAATCGAAAAAACAAGCTTCATAAATCGGAGAGTTATAATCCGAACGTTACTGACACATCCTCGTTCCCAGGGTCTGTCATCTTCCCGCCTTTTCTCTCGCTCCAGGGTTCGGGTCTGTCATCTTCCCGCCCTTTCTCTCGCTCCAGGGTGCGGGTCTGTCATCTTCCCGCCCTTTCTCTCGCTCCAGGGTGAGACCTTGGGAATGAGGTCTGATGCTAATGATGAAACACGAGAACTGGCTTTTCATTGGTGGATCGAAAGGGAAAAAAGAGTGATAAGATGGACCTTGCAACAGAATGAAGCTAAAGCGTGATTATTTTAACTGTCATGTTTATTTTCAATAACTAATATTACAAATCAAAATGAAACAGAGGAACTGGCGAAGAAAAATCATAATGAAATTAGGTAACTCAAAACTTGAAAGTTCACAATTTTACAAATTTGATGTAACAGAAATTTGACAAACATAATTGAGGCGATTACGTTACTCTTCTATCCTTAGTGAAGTTGTGCCATGACTTTCTACTTAATGAGACCCGGTCTCCATTTCTGTTCGTCTGGTTAATCATCAGCGCTGTTATGGTTTCATTGTAAAGAAAAGTGACGGATGTGGTCAGAAAGCCACCCAACATAACCCACAGCGTTTGAATCGCTGTTAATACAGGTGGTGGAAAAAGGTAATAATGATATTCAAAAAACAAAAAATAAAATAAAAAGAACAAAGGAAAGAAAAAGAACGAAAAGGAATTGTAAACTAAAACTGAATTACAAAATACCTAAAATACCCTAATCAAAATTCAAAATGCTTAATACCTAAATTAAAAAAAAAAAACTAAAAAGGCTATCTGCCTAAAAAATCAAGATGAAAGAGTTATGAAAAAAAAGGAGAAAAAGAAAAGACAGAAAAGAAAAAGACAGCGGCGCCAAAGGCGAAGTATTCAGTTACGTGCAGTGACTCTGTGACCGCTTACGTCACCCTCGTTACAAATGATTCTGTATCAGCACATCTGATTGGACGAAAACAAAGCCTACAGATTGAACCACGCAAAAAGATGACGTCACTTTAGAATTATCTAACTTCACCTTATCGAAAAAAAAAGATAAAAATATCGTAGTGAAAAGAAACTCTTCCTTAACCTAAACTTAATGTATCATGATACAAAGAAGTACTGTTACAATCATAAAATGATTCCGGGCAACGAATAACGAAAGAGAAAACATGAATTAATGTTACTTACGACAAAAAACGAAAGTACTTACAAGAATACAATCATATAAATTCATAGCAGTTATGTACATGAAAGAATGTTCGACAAATGAAGTAATCTTATGATTCAAAGATAACATCTGAATAATTCTCTCAGAATTAGAACTTAACATTGAAAAATGAAACTGCAGGCTTAAAGCGATCTCAGAATTTACAAATTTACAAAAGATTTTGTGTCATGTATAAACATGGTACAACACAGCTCAGACCAGAAATATGGAAATGCTTTTGAAATCGAAACTATAAAAAGGAAGCAAAGAACAGAATTAGCCAATGTTATCCGTAATTAATTCATGGTATGATTACGTAAGAAGAACCAAAGGTCTTTAAATTCAAGAAAATGCACGTTTCCGTTACTTTTGATGTGGTTTGCCATTCAGGCCATGTTGGCCAACTTGAGGATAAGATCCAAGACATTCTTCACCTGAGCCCTGTGTTCTTTTGTTTTCTTCCAACCTACCGCAGGAAACGTAAAAGAAAATGACTCACCATATGATGAAAGGCAAGTCAAAGATTGCAAAAAACACACAAGCTTGGGTTACGAAGATACAAGAAATAGCTTTACAGAATGGGTTCTCACTTTTGACTTCAAGCAGACATCTCAGGTCTTCGCGCAAGAATTTCAAACACATCTTCGGGTTTTCTTGTTTGCAACTAAATACAAAAAGGACTAAAATTAAGGCACTTCAGACATGATAAACTTTCAAGTAGAAAATACAGTATGAATCATCAACTTTCGCTGATAACGCACTGAAAAATATTGAAGAACAAAGTGCCTGACGAACTCATTCTGATAAAGGAACGTTCAATCGTTTGTGTCGCGATGTCGGTAAAAGTAAGGCTAGTCAAGGCTGTGGGTGTTATTGAGTTTTAGTGACCATCTCATATTTGGGCTTATTCACTTGTTCCAAACTGTCGGGCATGACTTGAAAGAGCTTCATGGCGTCAGCATGTACTTACAGAGCAAAAAGATCTTTTTTCCTTTTGTCGAGTTCAGTACGGAACTTGTTAAGCGCCAACCAGTCAAGCGATAAGCTTTGAAACTCGGCCTCACAATCTACAAGCGGTAAAGAAGACTGCATCTAATTTGTGTTCAGTTAATAGACATGCATCACCCGCTATACGGTGCAAAGGTGTGACCGGATATTTGTTCGAGGGCAAAACCTCTCTTAGAGCGTAGTGGGAGGGAAACTGAGGGCTTTTAATCCCAGAAATATTCCAGTCAACTAATTTACGAGGTTTAAACAGATTCTGTGAGAGGAGTGTCCGTCTGCCATTTTACAAGGGGGAACACTTGAAAAGAGGCTAGGGATTTCAGTGACTAGCTCTCAAAAATGTGCGTCATGCAAAAAATGGCCGGTATTTCTGTATTTTCATTTGCGCAAAGGATACCTGAAGTTCCTCATTCACATTACAGGAGAAAACTTTGGAAACATCACTTCTCCTCAAAAGGCCACATGAAAAAGTTGAGATAAGCAGTTCTGAATCTCAGGAAATGAGTTTCAGTTATAAAGTTTGGTGGGCCAAATTATCGCCAAAGCGCGCCTTTAGGTTTACCGCTCTAGTTCAGGGTTTTGAATTACATGTAATGTTTTCTTGGCCTATTTTTTCTTTATATTGACTCATGAAAAGAAGAACAAGAACAGGCAAAACTAACCTTTACTGTCCATTGCTTCTTTCATCTCTGATTCCAATTTAGCCATCACCTTTTGCAAAGAAAGCAACTCGCTTTCGACAACCTGAAGTTCTGCATGCGCGTAAATGGCCAACTCTGGGCACCGATTACTTGGATTGGAGGCTAAGGAAGATTTCGAGATAGAATAAATATATGAAAATCATATATTTTGAACTGCGATATTTGATACGTATGATGCACGATCCTCGCAGTAGATAGCGCTATTTAAGCAATAGCGAAAATCAGACCTGAAAAAAAATATCAGGCCTGTACGGGACTCGAACCACTGACCTCTGCGATGCTAGTGCAGCGCTCTACCAATTGAGCTAACAAGCGGTAGAGCGCTGCACTAGTATCGCAGAGGTCAGTGGTTCGAGTCCCGTACAGGCCTGATATTTTTTTTCAGGTCTGATTTTCGCTATTGCTTAAATAGCGCTATCTACTGCGAGGATCGTGCATCATACGTAAGGAAGATTTCAGAAATACACACGCTCAAATGATGACAAGAGAAGGCGAATGTAAACACATTGCGATGAAGTTGACACTGAATTAGTTGAATCTATTAAATCTATCATAAAAGACTGAATGGCATCTGATGCAATTAACAGATGCATCTCCGATGCAACGCTACTGTATGAATCAAAGTACTAGCAGCAATCAAGAATGTTTTGCTCGCGGGAAGACTGGAATGTTCCTAATTACTCTTTTTCCCGGTTAGGCAGATGAAGATGCCTAAATCTCCTCCTCGCTTCAGTATTTGCTGTGAACATATAGTTATAACTTACCACAGTCATCTCCACCCTGGCGCTCTTCCATGGCACTAGCCTCCTCCGAAGCTTTTGCTTGCTTGAGAATTGGTTTCTCGTCAGCATCTTTAAATTCTTTGGCAGTCGAAGCATCGACGTTTGTTGATCTGATACTTGCAGAGTCGTTGCCCTTTTTTGTGGAAGGGACATTAACCGAAGAGACCTCCCTACAAGAAGGGAATGAGTGGGCTTTTAAGTCACCAGAATCCTCTCGGTTAATCTGTGCGTCCTTTTCATTGTTACCAGCCAAACCTTGCTCTGCATTCTTAACGTTTAGCTCTGGTATTGCAGCTGTGTTCACCGCAAACTGAATATCTTCCAATGAAGAAACAGACCACATGTCAGAAGTTTCGGTTGAATCTGAACACGAAGAGCTTTTTCCCCAATCGGTATCATTAGATGGATTTTGTCCAATTAAGAATTCTTCATTCTTAGATTCTTTTCGTTTTCTTGTACGCCTTTTACGACGAGCGCTGGAGGGTTTCTCGCTCATCTCGTCAACATCACTGGATGGACAGTCACTTCCTTCGATTAGATATTCTTCGCTTTTAGATTCTTTCTGTTTTCCTTTACGCCTTTGGCGACGAGTACCGGGGACCTTCTCGCTCATCTCATCAGCATCATCCAATGAATTTTTTTTCATCGGATATTCTTCCCTTTTAGAATATTTTTGTCTCTTTCTCTGCCTTTGGTGACTAGTACCGAATGCCTCCTCGCTCTTCTGCGACGAACAGTCATCATCGGTGGTACTGTTGCAATTTGCAAACGGGTTCAGTTCCTTTGGATATTTGCAAATCTCGTTTGCTTTCTTCTTAACACTGCACGGTCCTTTGTCAACTGCATTGGATGCAGTGCCGCTCTTTTTGCCACGCTGTGTTACAGTTGGTGGAGGGGGGCGAGCTGGACGCGGTCGACGCGGTGGAGCTGGACGAACTGGAATACGACGAGGTGGAGCAGATTGGCATGGACTGGGATGTGATACGGAAGGCCTGTCAGAAGTAGGCGGAAGTGGAGCTTTTCTGTTAACCGTTATTGATCCTGATCTTGTTTTGTTGCTTCGACACGAATCCGCCTTAGGACCATTACCTTTAGTGTCGGCATGGGCCTTCTCTTCTTCCTTTTTCTCATCGTCACCTACGGCTTCTGAAAGTGGAGCACGTGGAGCAGTAATAACCTTTGGGGTGGCCTCCTTGGAACAGGCAGCACTGCTTGTAATATCTCTACTGCGGTTGTCATCCTGGAAGTTTTTTAGGGATTCCGGACGCGACAATTTTCTACTTTCTTCCTTTGTGGTTTCTTTCTTGTTGAAGATACTGTGGGATAATTACGAGGATGTAATGAACTCATGCTATTAAAAGATGCATCCTAATGACTTTGAATAAAGGCTGATAGTTTCGAAAGAAACTGTTTGGGGCTGCGTCGGTGGGGGTAACGAAATAATTTGGATAGATCAACAAAGTTGAAATGGTAAGTTGGCCACCGTAACGATTACAAAGGCTGACGTTTCGAGCGTTAGCCCTTCGTCGGAGCGAATAGAGAAATTGTGGGTTGTGTGTGCTTTTAAAGGCAGAAAACAGAAAACAGCGGCAAGAAACTCACAAAGGAGCTACGCCAGGAAATCGTAACCATGTTCCCACCAATAACGTAGCTCCATTTTCTGCCTTTAAAAGCACACACAACCCACAATTCCTCTATTCGCTCCGACGAAGGGCTAACACTCGAAACGTCAGCCTTTGTAATCGTTACGGTGGCCAATTTACCATTTCAACTTTGTTGATATATCCTAATGACTTTGAGATTAAGAAACGAAAATTTTACTATTTTTTTTTTTTTTTTTTTAAGAACTTGCCTTATCCAGTAGCCTTAATTCCTTAAAAGGTCGTAAAATTTCTCGTTCATTTTAGTACATAGCGTTTCGAAAATTTGTGTAGTTCTCGATACCTTCACACCAGTCAACTTTATTTTTCCTAATCTCAAAAATACTTTTTAGGGCTTTGGTATGTCCACGAGATCTTAAAAGCCCTTCATCGGCTTCTTCAAAGTGCGATTAGGCGATCTTCAGTTAAAATAAGAAACGCTGGTCAAGTTAAAAAATCCTTTTGAGTCACTTAATTTTTGTCCCAGACTGGATGGCAAACTTGGATATTTTCTTGCCTGCGTATGCGTATTTTTACTTGAAACAGCTTATGTATTCTTTCCCTACCACAAAAGTGCAGAGAACAGAAACTTTCTCCTATAAATCTATGACACCTATGTTCATTAATGACACCTTCCGACGAGTGTTTTCACTTTTTTCTCAGGCACTTACCTTTCGTCTTTGGCACATTCCAGAGTTGGAGAGGGAGCCGCAGCTCTGAAGTATAGTTCTCGATGGTTTTTACCTCGACCTTTTTTCTGAATTTTCTTCAAAAAACTCATAATCACTTCCTTTTGGTCACAACGATCAAACGCGTTTCATAGGAATGAAAATCTGCTGTTTACCCATTATGATGTCATGTAGGCATGGCAACAGCTTATCATTCTCATTTTCGAGTGTGCCACGTCACTATTAATAGTCTTTCTGATATTTCACAGAAGAGAACACCATCACATGATTTAAAATAAAGAAGTACTGTAGGTAGCTTTAGCCGTAGAGAAAAACTATCAGTGTTCTAAACTGATGCGCGCGCAAATGTCGTTAAGTTATGCGTGATGAGGATGAGTACAGCAAATAATGGATAATGATAGAAATCATCTCAAAACCCTAAAATAAATGAATTGTTTGCAGTTTGCAGGCTACCCTGGAATGAGTATAAATTAAAAGTCTTGTTTTCAGATGTATTTTGCTCTGGAAACCAGAATTAGACCTAATAGCAAAATGCATTTAGTTCCTGTTGCACGAAGACAACAAATAAATACCGTTTTCATTTTTTCTTTATTTCTTCTTTTTTTATTTGAAAAAAAAAAAATCTTCCTCTAATGTCACTTCACCTTTTTTAATTTTGATTTCATTTTTTGTAACAGGAGAACTGTAAATGTAGAATTGCCAAACAGCCATAGACCGAGTGCCGATGGTTGTGTTCGGGTGTTCCGCAAATGTATTTAAAATTGCAATTTTTTTCCCTCTCCCCTCGGTCCCATTGGTGAGCTTTGTTGTATTCGTGCATGACACGCGTGATCTGATCATTGAGCAAATCATGTTTGGAGACCTTAAAATTGACGTTGAGGTTGACGCGGCCTACTTTGGGAGTTGAGTAAAGGCTTTTAAACTTTTGGTTATCGAAAACTTTTTGCCTTTGCTCTTGTTTATAATTTAAGACTTTTCGAACCAATTGTATTCAATTTGACACGGTTTAGTACATCTTTATTTTAGAGTTTAGAGTCTAGCCTTTTCATCGGGAACTTCAACATTCAGTAGCGAAACATGTGATGGGATCAAAAACGCATCTGCTCTTTCTCTTTCTCGACGGAACGGTATGAGAACACAAGCCATAGCTGCTTCGTACAAAATCTCTCAGACGAACCTCAAGGATTTCTGTTTCGTTCACTCCGTTGTGATGTCATTTACAATGAAGATGATTGCGTCGAGGGTTTGCAATAATTTGAATTTCTCCATAACAATAGAAATAGAGCTATCTAAACAAGGAAAGAGTTGAATTTAGGAAACAAAAAGTGTTCAGGAATTTACCTTACGGTTGCTACACTCGTGCATCTCTTTGTCTCCGTGTTGGTTTTTAAACACGAAGGCGCGCTATAAAAGGAGCCTTAGGTCCCACGGGGCCATTTGTCAATCAACCGTCGTGTGATGTAGAACTCTTGGAGTCAAGTCAGCTTGAGCTACAGCTACTCCAAAACAGTGAACAGCGGGCGCATTCCTCAAAATTGTTTATGTCTTCATCACAATACAAGAATTTTTGAGATTTGTATTTCCTTTCTCCAATGGAAACTATCTTTATTTGTGGCGGTAAATTTGAGATCGAAGTGGGTGGTTCGCACGTTACCTCATGCCACCATGCTGGTGGAAGTAAACAATAGATATCTCATTTGGTCCTTTTGTTCCTCTACCAGCATCTAAATTTGACCTACACACGTCAACGGTGAGTGACAAATGAGCCTAGGTCTTCCCAGGGAAGACTCCCTTATATAGCGCGCCTTCGTGTTTAAGATAAGTGATAACGATGTTAGCAGTTTTGAGTTCCTGCACTTTCTTCCTACACTTTTAAAAAGGAAAAATTGAAGGCTGACATTTTCGCTAAAAAATTCACTTACATTAGTACCCCTTCCCCCTGTTGCCTACAATCAGACCCTCCCCTTTAAAATCCCCAAATTCCTAAGGAGGACGGAGGGTTGTTAGGTGCGATTACTATACTAAACAAGGCTTAATCCTGGCCACAATCGTTGAAACTAAATACAAGTTACTACTTTGTATCTTGGGCATATTCCAAGGTAATGAACCGTTTCTTAGATAAATGTTTACGCATTCTGCCCCAAGAACCACTCTGACTTTTAATGAACGCCAGATCAGGGGCGTGGCTAGCTGCGCGGCACAATTTAAAGGCATTTCACGTAATTTGCACTCAGTGATTTATATGTGTAGCACAAGGAACTGATTTTGTTAGGAGTATGTGAAGGATTGCAAATTTTTTTCGCTGGGGGCTCGATTCTAAATAATGGTCCACTCATTTATTAAGAATTTCACTCGCCTCCATTCTGTTTTCTTTTTTGAACAACCAGCGCCACCTCATAATGCTCCAACCCTTGGACACCCTTACCCAGAAATACGCGCACTAGATGCAGATCTGCAACTGAGCTTTCACAAACCAAACAGACAGTTCACGGTGTTTTCAAATGTTTATCAACGTTGTCGAGAAATATTTATAATACTGATTGAAAAAAAGTTGTTATCAAAAAAGAGAGAGTTTGATGAGAAAAAGTCAAGCACATGGACTTTTCCGTCTCAAATCTTTCTCTTCTCTCCGAATAGCATTTCACGTTCACCCGTTCAGAGAGCAAAGGCCAGGAGTGTGTATCGTGGAAAAGACTGTGATGTATGATTTATTTATCATAAAGTTTTCTCTAATTTTGAATTTCTTGTTATTTCTCCCATGTTGGAACGAACTTCGCCCTAAGGGAAAGACCCTGGGTCGACCCTGTGAGCGAGGCTCTGTACCCGCCCCTCTGACGCCCCCTTTCGGCTTCAGATGTATGCCGGGAATCTGTAGCGGGAAAGAAACAAGAGCAGAAGATTTTTCCAGAGTTGGAAAATTCCGAGTCACAGGTCCACGTGTAATATTCTGGTAAGGATGACTAACTTACAAGCTGATGTTTTTGCGATTTTTGTTTTCTCTACCTTGTCGATTTCACTCCACGGTGCGAAGATAGATTCTTTGAAATTACTTCGTGATACGGAGAACTCGATTTGATAGACGTTCATTTGAAAGAGAATTAGTTCGAGTGCATTGTTACAGTACTAAAGTTCTGTAATTTCTCGATCGATAGCCGTTGCTCGATTTTAGGACTTATATTATCTTAATAGGAAAACGATGAAATTCTTTTGTTTCAAGTGGTTGACGTGAATGTGATAGTACGGAAGACAGGTACCAGAAGGACGTCCAGAAACCGGTGAATGAAATTAAATCACGATTACGTTTACAAACAGATCTAGACGTACAGTCTACCGATACTTTTGATCGAGAATCCTGACGCATAAATTTAAGGTTGCACTACATACTACATTTCATTTCATAATTTCTTAGAAGCTTAACCAAAAGTGCCATTTAAAACTTGATATTTATATATTCAAGTGAGATTGCACCAAGCTGATTACGTGGAATTACGTAGAGCAAGATTTCCGTATAACCCCATACTTCATTATGCATACAATTCTTGGATAAAAGAAAGCAGAGGCAAGACAACAGAGTACCTTTAGATTACGGCTTTGTTTTTTTGATTGGTATGGGGTTATACGGAGATCTTTTCTCATGCCCCTCTGTAATTCATTCATTTCCAAACGCTATTCGACCCTATCACTGAAAGGAAACTGGCGTTCTGAGCGTTCATGCACGTTACCTCATTCCACACAAAGAAAAAGTGATTATTCATTATTCTTGAAATTAACAAAAAATATTCCATAACAATGTCTCTACTGTAAAATCCTCCTCTTGCCCCAAAGATGTATAACATAGGTCAGGGATCAGTGGTACTAGACCAGGGTGGTGGGGTGGGGTGGGGGAAGTGGGACCAGGGTGATGGGGTGGGGGGAAGTAGGCTCTGGATTAGGTTTGTTTGTCTCATCCCCTGTAGCCCCCCACCCTCAAGTAAGAGATGACTCTGTAAATCTTGTCAAGAGGGTTGGTAATGTGAATCAGGAAAATTTCCAACTGGGGGATACTGTCGCCAAATGACCATTAACTTAGCCAACCAAGATATTTATACCCCTTTATGAAGAGAAGTGGCTCTTTGATCTTTGATGTTGAAGAATTAATGACAATCTGATTTCTACTGTAATCTTGATCGTATTTAACAGACTTTGCTTTTTTAAGAATTTGTTACGCGAGTGATGGAAAATGAATTGATCCTACTGGATATATTCTTTTTCCTTTATTAAGAAACATGGAATCTCCAAGATTAGAAGGTGGAAGGATTAATTTGGATGCCCCTCGTTATGACCAGTCAACATTTCTTGGACGTGCAAAACACTTTTTCACAGTTACTGACCCAAAGAATATTTTACGTTCAGCAAAAGAACTGGAGGATGCAAAAGAACTTCTTTTAAAGTACAGGTAAGAAAATTCTTGTCTCAGGTTGTAAGAAGTTCAGTCTATTTATTGATTTTGCCTGATACTGACACAGGCAAAAAAAAGGTGTAATACTGTTAAAACATTAACAAGACAATTAAGGCAGCAAGCTAGTCAAAGAAATTAAGCTATGAGAATATTTTATCATACTGCCCAACTCATACAATGAGTGTTATTTTATCTGACTGATGTTCTTTCTCTTTCTAACTTTTCTGTTTTACCTGATGTCATGTGAGGGTGTGTGAATTTTGTGGTTCTGCCTATGGGGCATTGCATAAGGCCATAATGCAGGGATTTTTTTTGTGGTGCTTTTACATAAAAGCATGCATAGGGTCTCGGTAAAAAAGTTTTGATGTGTATGAAAGGTTATAATCATTAGATAAAAATTGGGAAGAAAGAAGAAAGTTAGAGAGCAAACTTAACTAATCACAGAAGTGTGCACTCTGATTAGTCAATTCAGTGTGTACTGTTTACCTGTTTGCTCACGGCTATGCATGGCCTAAAGTGACTCTTACACTTTTTTTCATGCTGAGCAACCTCCTGCATACATTCATAACCCAATAGTGTATACTGTGGTGTTTACCATTTGTTAAGTAGTTTTTGTTTTATTGATCACTGGTTTATAGATTTCAGAGTTAAGTTAAAAGAAATAAGATAATTCTTGCCTCAAATTGCTGTTCTTTAAGATCTGTCAACATGAGTTGATAGCAAAGCATGCAGTCATAGATTTAGATTATAAGTAGAGAAAGCCAGTAAATTATATACCTGGCTATTCATAAGTCTGTTGTAAATTTTTGTAGACAGAAACAAGAACCTGCTGGAACCACTGATGTACAAATTTGGACTGCTAAGAAAGTGTACGAGTCAGCTTTCCATCCTGATACAGGAGATAAAATGTTCCTCATTGGTCGAATGTCAGCACAAGTGCCAATGAACATGTCAATATGTGGTTGTATGTTGACATTTTACAAGTAAGTATGTCATGTTTTTATTTCTTGTTATAGGGTTTCTGAGGAATATGTCATTCTTACCTTTCAAGGCAAAATGTCAGCTAAACAGATATTTGAGGCTCGTCCTTGTGAATATTGCATAAGAATGGGATACTTGTAGCATCTGCTTGTCGACTGCAACAGCTTATTATCTACAGCATACCAAACGACAACAACGACTTGCATAACGGTCTAGTACATTCTAACTGATTACATCATAAACAATACATCAATCAGCATGCATGGCCATGAGGGTGTAGCTGAAGCAGAACAAGGTAAACAACAGAACATTCAAGAATGAACTAGAACATTCCTCTTTAATGTCCATGTTTGAATTTTGAACTACTATCAAATTAAGAAAATTTGGAAGTTCAAAATTTACTGTATGTTTTTCAGGAGCACATCAGCTGTCCTCTTCTGGCAGTGGATCAACCAATCATTTAATGCAGTAGTGAACTATACAAACCGGAGCGGAGACTCTCTTATAACAAATAAGTGGGTGTACATCTTGGTTGATTGCTTATTTTGTGCCCCATTTATAGAATATCTATATTTATTGAGAAATGCTCCTAGTCATCTACATATAGGCAAAATGATCAGAAGTGAATTCTGTGCTTTGATTGGATAATCCCAAACACCGAGAAAAGACATTTTTGTCCCTGCCTATTTTAGATTGCTTACTTTTTGCCAGAAACAAATAACTTTGAAACCTAAAACATGAGTCTCAAAACATGACCTCGGCTGAATTACTTTCAAGTATTGATGATTGAGTTTTAGTCAAGATACTTGTTTACTTGATTTTGAAGTTTAAACTAAATTTTTCTAGCACTTAACTTATCCATGGAATTGTAAAACACAATAAATAAGTGTCTTGCTCATCATTAAAAAAAAAAAAAGAGAAATCAAGTTGAGATTTGACACTTTTATTTTGCTTTGAAGTGAACTTCTCTACATGATCTTTTCACAATGCGATGACTCCTTTACTGACCAAACTTGATTGTACAATTGGCTTACACTATTTTGCAAAACGAAACGAAACAAAAGCAGGTGAGATCTAATGAAACTAAAGGGATAATACCGATATAATTTATTTTCTAATAAGTCAAAGATAACTTTTGTGAGGATTTTGGAGTAATGGTTAATAAGGATTTTAATTCATTTTGTAAAGTAGTAATTTAAGAGGAATTACTATTTTGCGAAATCGGCTATTTTCACCCTGTGGTGACAGTGCCCTCTTTTATGTCACAAAAATATATTTAAATATTACAAATTAGTATATTACCAGGATTTTGGCCTCCTATTATTTCTTAAACCTTATTAAAATAATTTCACAAAATAGTAATTTTAGAAGAGATAAAAATTATGACTTTGCAAAGTGAACTTCTAGCTTCACCCTTCAATAATGATGTCTTTCTTTTCGGGTTACAAAAATACATTTAAACATTACATTAAAGTATATTCCCGAAGATATATAAAAGTATATTTCTGAACATTGGCTTGCTTGTGAAAGTGAAGTGCGATCATCCGGGTGAGTGTTAAGTCCTGAGAAGGACTCAGTTGTCGGTGGTGGTGACTGATGTTTCGACGACCTGTGTGGAAGTCATGATGATGACTTCTGCACAACCTTTTCCCACTAATAATTTGAAATTCTAGTTGAACTCTGTTTTACAGTGTGAATATATTTGTTATAGTGAGGGTAACAAGGAAAATATCTCAAATATATAACAGTTTATTGATACGTCGTTAGAGAAGAAAATTCCCTGTAGAATACTATTGTAGTCAAACGTCCAACACGCTACATGTTGTTTAATCGGTTTCACGAAATGTACAATGTAAGCGAAAAGCGATGCGAAGCAAGTGGTAGAAACATTGTATGACCAGGATGGCTAGGAACATGAAAATCAAAAACGGAGAAGATGGTAAGTGAACTGAACAAATGAAATGTAGCGATGGCAAGCACAAGTCCACTGAAAAAAAGACACATGCAAAAGGGCCGTAACGAGATGAAATTATGCGAAAACACCTAACAGAATATTGATTACGTAAAGGCGAAAAAAAAGAACACAAAGAATACGATAATGAGAGAAAAAAATGCGTTTACAAATGAGAAAACAAACAAAAGAAACAAATACAGCCATGTGGTGGTAACAAATACATTGTGCCATGATGAGGTGTATGATGAACAAAAGAACAAGAGGCGTTCTTGGGCCGCTAATTACTTTTCTTAGCTCGTTTAGGCTATTATTTAAAAATGTAACTTCTTTCTTTTCTGAATCAAAGCTTGTTCCCTCTCCCCCCCCCTCATTATGCAAAATAGATTGTGCAGTTAGGGCTGTGACTGTTCGTGGTTACTTAAAAAAATGCTACATGGAAGAGTTTGCTCAGGGAAGGAGATTACCTTTTTTTGGCCTTACTTTTTGGTTTGCAGTTTGCATATTTTATGGCCAGTTTGCATATTTTATGGCCATTTTGCAGTCTCAGTTGCAGCCTCTTTCCTCTGATCACCAGATCTCAGTGCCATTGATTTTGCAATCAAGTTCGCTACAGACATCTAGCTGGCAAGCAACGGCATGTGTAGTTCAGGCATTTAGTCTCTAAGTTAAAAGCAATAAGCCAAGCAACCATCAATTTTGCTCCGAAAGTACCTCTTTATTGGCTCTAATCAGCTTCTAACAGAAAATTATCTAACCCTTAACAACTCTTTTTAATTTACTTTTAAAACTACTGAGCACTCATTATTGGAGTCAGGTTCCTTCTAGGGCTGAAAGTCAAGATGCAATTTGCAATTTACATCAATGGTACCTTTTGCTGCCTCAAAAGAGTCAGTTGAGCCACGACAGACTCGACTCAAGTACCTTCCAATATCAGCTTGCAGTACCACTGTTCCATCAGGCTGATTGCAGACTGTAAACTGGGTATAGACTCTGGGATATGTCTTGGCAGCCTTGATGAAGTCAATGCCGTGACGTTATTCTAGACAGAAACTTTTCATTGGCAGCCTCAAAATTAAACTCTCCAGCGAGGAATCTTGTGTGAGCATCCTTGTGGTCTTTTATCATCTCAATTTTGTCAATTCCCCCCTGTGAAATATGGCTGAGATACTTGCCATTGTCACCTTTAAAAGCTACACCAACTGGGTTTAGCTTACATGACTCATCAAAGGACGGCTAGGCATCTACAGATAGTATTTGTGGACATATTAAGATTATAGTATTTCAATTTCTGTTTTGCATTAATCAGTGAGCAAGCAATCATGAAGCATAGTGGGCTAGTTCGAGAAGGGAGGGAAATGAAGTACAAGGGATAAAGAGAGACAGAGAGAGAGCAGACTTCTTGGGGGGAGATGGGGGGCGGACATTTTACAATTTGTAAAGAACGTGATTTGTTCCGTGTTCAAGCCAATTTCAGGTATAATTTAGCGAAAGTGACGCAATTCGGGCAAGTCTGTTCTGACTTTGTGATTATGACCAGTCAGCACATGAAATTCGTTTCCATGGTCGGTCATAGCAATTTTGCCTTTAACGATTCACCTTCAAGACCATCATTAGGAAGAATTGACTCAGACTGAACCTAGTGAGTTGAAATTGGCAAAGCTCTCACCTGATAAGGTAACAACCTAGACAATGATGACAGCAAATGAAACTGATCTTCATGGTGGATGATTCTAAAAAGGAAACTACAAGTGTTACACAAAGACAATGTTAAGAATGTTATCCCACCACCTGAGGCTGGATGAACAATAGTCAGGTAAATCAATCATCTGGCTTCGCTGCATGAGAAGATTTTATCATCAAACTCTTGGTGGACTGATCCAGTACAAAAAACAATGATTCCACCAATCTCTTAAAAATTACAAGTTATCAAATATTTAAATGTATTTTTGCGACCTGAAAGAGGTCACTGTCATGCACCGCAGAGTAAAAATAACTGATTTTGCAAAATAGTAACTCTTCTTAAATTACTACTTTGCGAAATGAATTAAAATCCTTATTATTAATTAACGATTACTCCAAAATCCTTGTGAAAGTTATCTTTGCCTTATTAGAAAATATATTGGTATTATCCCTTTAGTTTTGTTAGATCTCACCTGCTTTTGTTTCCTTTCGTTTCGTTTCGCAAAATAGTGTTAGCATGTACAATCACCATGCATGCATGCATGACTAGGTGTGTGGCATTGTTTGTTTGTGCTTGTTTTTTTTTGGTTTAGTTCTCTTCTGTGTCAAATAAACAATTTCAAATTAACCATTGATGAGTATTAAATAAATATTAATGGTTATCTAGAGCTATTACCTATTTATAAGCATTGATTAATATACTGCTAGGAATAATTTGAATAACAGTACTTTTAAATGCTTTGACACAGACAGTTGGCAATGGGATATGCATTTGCCACAACAGGTGCTGTTGCTGTAGCTCTGGGATTAAACCACCTTACTAAGGTAATTAAGGTGTAACTACAGTAAGTGTTATTATCTATCCGGTAGGTTAGCGGTAAACTCAGTATAATAGCATATTTAAGGAACCAGGCGTTGGCTAACTATAGACTTATTGAAGTTGTTGTTATTTTTGGTGTAGGGATTTTTCAGGTACTTTAATTTACGAGTAGGCCACTCTGTGAGTTTTGCTCAGGCCTTAAAGTACAGTAAATGAAGAGCTTGGATGAGACATTTGATTTCACATTTCCACTAGCTATAGTGCTCCCGTGTTTATAAGTGTTGTAAATTTTTATCTAATTATTATCTGCACTGGTGCATGTTGAGTTACAAAATACAATCAAAAGCCCATAATATATTTGTCCAGAGTGCTCTATATTCCCAGTAAAACAATTCTGAAGAGTAAACTAAATTAAAAGAGAGCTGAATTCATGCCTATAAGCAATTAAGTGCTAATGTTTGGATCTTGAATTGTCAATATTGTGTCACTTAAATGCAATTTATAGGAGGGACAATCATATATTATTAAGAAGATCGTGTAATAGGGTTGAGGTCACTTTTAATAATTAACTTTCTTTTCAGTATGTGAAAATGAATCCGACTATAATAAGCCACCCAGTCTAAACTGTTTTCTCCATCTACCCTGTTTCCCTACTCTAATGTTTAGCTGCTCTTATGTTATTTTATTCAGACTACTTTCTGCTTTCTAGTTTAAAATAAAGATCTCTCCTTGTCCGATAGACTTCCCTGTTCAGGGCTGTCATCTAGCAGCGCCTGGTGGCCCCTGGTGCCTTACTTTTGTTCTCAGATGATTCAGGAATTTTAGTTTTTTCTCAAAAAGCATATGCTGGGCATCCTAGATTTCACAGTTTTAGAGCACTCAGGGCTCCCTTCAATTTTTCTTAAGAGTGCACAGCCTTGCTGTCTGTTAACAAATTCTCCCCTCACTTCTTCCATGAAAAACACACAGGTTGAAGTAATTAAACAACAATCTAGGGGCCTTATCAGTGAACTTGCAAAAGTGTGGCTTTTCAGAATTGCACGGCTCATTAGAAGCCTACTCTACCAGGATTAATCAAATTATGATCAAACTTTTATTAGTCTATTTTGTGTCAACCCGATTCTTTCTGATGTTTGATTTTTGCAGTCAGCTCCACCTTTGATTGGTAGATTTGTTCCATTTGCTGCTGTTGCTGCGGCAAACTGTGTAAACATCCCTCTTATGCGACAAACGTAAGTGCACTCTCCTCATTGCCTTTTATATATGCAATGAATAAATAATAGTTTACATGATTTAAGTAATAAATGATAGGTTTAACTCTTACTCAAATATAACCGTTGTACTTTCACAAACATAATTTAATTTATACTTTTCTGATAAATCCTATTAAATTTAGTGACTTAATTCTAATTGTAGGGAGTTGTTCAGGGGAATACCTGTAACTGATGAAGATGGAAACAAAATTGGAGAATCAAAGGTAAGAATTTTCTTGAATTGCTGTTACTCTGTTTGGATCTTACTCAATATATGAGTCATTATCTTCAAGAAGAGTATGACATTTTTTAATTTTGAGGACATGTTTCGATGTTACGAACAATTCATCGTCAGTTACACCCCTCCCCCACCCCTTTCCAAAAAAAATCATTTTTGCCTAAAAGTTTCCTTCAAGTTTACCATATGTTCTCGGTAAATTTTTAAACAATAACCTTTTTCTTTTTAGTTTATATATTGCAAAAAAGACAATAGATAACTTAGCAACTTATTAATGACACAACATCAGCTATAGTGGCTGTCAATTTGTGGTCTGTTGGTTTACAGCTCGGCTATACTAAAGCAAAACCCTGTTGGTCCAGAAACATCCCTGAGTTGATGGGAAATCTTTAAATGGCAAACAGTCTTGATAGCTTAGACATGACCAGCAGTCATTAACAAGGGGACCCTTCTTCACCTTTAACCAGACAGCAGTACTAGTAGCCCCATCATTTATTCTTTTTTCAACATGTCACATACACCAGTTTTGTAAAAATTCACCATCACTTTGTCATCCAAATACTGTCCACCTCTGTTGAGGTGAGGCCAATGATTATTTTTTATACCTGTCCTTTTCACACTTCAGGCTGCAGCACGGAAAGCCATAGCAAGCGTTGTGTTTTCCAGAATAGTTATGGCATCTCCTGGAATGTGTAAGCTTAATTAATATAATTTTTTTTTCTGCTGATATTTTTACTTAATGGTAGACATTATCTGCATATTATATTTTGATATTTCTTAGTTTAATCAACACTTGCAAATTATCAAGGATTATTTGCACTGCTTGTGTTTTCTGAAGTAGTCAACAACAGTTTACAGTTGTGTAAAGGTGACTGGTAATCTTGCTGAATTCTGTGAGAATTTTTGTCAATTAACTTATGATAATTATTGTAATGATCACCAAAAACTGGGGAAGATGCATAGCTGTTGGTTTAATGTGCACTAGCTGTGCTTTGGTACATCAGGTGGAGCTGTAAAAACAAGCATGCAGCCTTTACAAGACGTTTGGGTTGCTTTAAAGTGCACACAAAACCCACTGGCTGAGCAGGTTTAGATGCTGCATGCCTACTTCTTTTCCTCATTTAACAGTTTCAGTTATTTGGTTGTCAATATTATCTAGGTGGCTAGGTCTTATAGTTTATATGTTTGTAAACTTGTGGAAAGCTGTTAACTGTATCTTTGCATGCTTTGCCTTTTGCTTTCAGCCATCCCACCAATTATAATGAACTATCTAGATTCAAAGCCATTTATGAAGGTAAGTTTTGGTTATAAACATGTTTTTTTTTTTTTTACATTTCTTTTTAATCAAAAAATCTCCATAACCCAGCTCTGCTCAATTTAAAATTTCCATCATATTTTCCGACTGAAATAAGTTGGAATTTTCTTGCAAAGAACTGTGAAGGAATTAATATCAATAGCAATGAATGGATAGTTAAATGAACACATTAAATGAAGAAGTGAACAAAGGGATAAAATAATAATTTTATTTGTTTATTTAATTTAGTTTTGTGAACAATATACCATACCTTGAACTTTTCGACATTACCCCCACAAGAAAGTGGTTTTTGTTTTTTGTCAAATAATTTGTGAATATTTCTGTCTTTGTTTTATAACCTTATAAGAGATGGCCAATTTTAGCTTCTCCAATTCAAGTTGGATTAGTGGGATTGTGGTAAGAATGCTAAGCTAGTGTATATAGATAACTACAGATTGAAAGTATGATATATGAACCAATACTATTCTAAGAAAAGTGAATATTATCAATATCTTTCCCTTAGAATTTAAGAATTTGCATACCATTAATAGTATATATGCTTCAAAATGGAAATATGAGTTGGTTTGCTTAAAAGGATGTCTGTTTCATTGCATCACGTACACCAGTTCAAGAGTAGTCACTCTTTGGATTATTTGTCCTCTTCACACTAGCTATCTGATTGTTTTCCTCATAGCTCTGGTTTCCTTGTAATTGTCAAGGTCCTTGTGATTGTTATGATCTCCACTTGAATGTGTTTTGAAAGGAGTTTTGGTTACAAGAACTTAACAGAAGATTTGCCTTGACTTGTTGTCATTACTGATTGTTTTGGTCTTATTTGGTACTTACAGTATGTTGTCTGTTATTTTTAAGCTTGGTGTTTGCAACTCCCTTGTGTTGTGCAATCTTTCCACAAAAGAGGTTAGTACACTGTATTATAGGGGTGCTTTTCAGTTTAAGTTGCTGGGAGTGGGCACACCGAGACATTATAGATGAAATGGACGCAGGGCGGCCCATAATAAAATTATTTGTTTATTTAGTTTTGTTTGAATAAAATTATTATTGATAAATTATCACTGGTATAAAATATTGCTTGAGCTTTAAATCTAATTGCCTAATACATGGATCAATATGAACCTTCAACACCAACCACCCCTCCCCCCAAGCAAAACTCCAGCATTTGAATTTTTGAAGGTTGGTTTGTTCAAATTCCCACCCACCCCCTGGGGCAGAAATTGTCTTCAAATACCTCTTCCAAGTACCTGATATGATGGTAACTTTTTTTTTGTAATTGGCAAAATCAGTGACCTTGTAGACCTTTTCTTATGAGCCATTATATTGGCTCACATAAATAAATTATTTTTCTTTAAAGAAAACCATAGTCAAAGATATAATGATTATATTTGGCTGGAAAGATTTGACACTTTTGGTTCAAATGCCTCACCCCAACCAGGCAAGGTTCAAGTTCCCCAAATTCCCCAATGGGTTGTGGGAGGGGGGGTGGGGATGTTGAGGCTTTAAATTGATGGGCTTGTAATGTGAAGTGGATGATTGCATATAAGAACGCTATGAAAACTTTGACCAATCAAGGTGTGTTGTGCAAAAGAGGAAAGTGCAAGTTAGCCCGTACCACTTGTGTATGTTTGCTTTCATTCCACACTTTAGACCTTTATCATGCTGCACGCTTTTGGAGTTCTCTGGGAGGTAAAGCATGCTTGTTTAGCTAGCCTTGTAGCAAAGATGAGTTGAGACATGCAAAAACAACTTGAAGCTTTTATCCCGGGGGTTCAAAATTAGTGTCATATGATTAAGGTCTCTGGACCAAAAGTAGAAACAACAGTCTACTAGTACTCCAAAAAATCAGTTGAGCAACTGTGATTGTTTTTAGCTGCTAAACCAGTTGGTTTTTGCCTTTCTACTTGGCAGCTCCATAGCAGTCTCAAAACTTGAACCTGAACTTCAAGAAATCATCAAACAAAGAGGAGGAACTCCACTGAAATATGTCTACTTCAACAAGGGACTTTGAATCATAATTATATTAATTTTATTAGCTAGAGTTTTTGTGCAATTGATGTGTGCATCTTACAGAATACTAACATTATTTTTGTCACCATGTATATCAGGTGAATTTTGGTATACTGGCTTTATGGTTCACTAGCAACAGAATAGGTTTATTAACTTTTACTAATGCTTAAATCAAATATAGTAGAGCTGGTATGTTCCATTGACCTTCTTATGGTTCAATTGCAATAAAATCTTCAATCAATCATAGTAGGGATAGGAGGTATGCTCCAGTGACCATATAAATTTTATCTCTACCTAAATTGCAAGTTTCCAAAGAGTTACCTAACCTTGTGAAAATTGTGTTTGAATGTTCTAAGAATTGAGCTGCCATTGACACCATTTGACGTCCTGCTCAACAATGAACTTTTGTGTACGCAATTTGGCTTCTGTCATTTGGATTGAACTCTGGCTACAGAGTTTTTTTTCTCCAAAATGATGTCTTCCATGATCAATTTGTTTGCGTATCTGAAGACAATTAACTTACATTAATTGGGTTTTGTAATTTTTTTGAATTGCGAATAAGGGTTGTTATTAAATTTTTAAAATCTATCAGATAGTGGAGATAGAAAAGATATTTTTCCACTGCATACATCTTTGATAATACATATCCTAATTTGTGAATTTTCTATTTCATGAATTTATCCTATTTAAGTCAGCGATAAGTTATTGAAAGAAGTATGATATTTTTCATGGTCCCTGTTTCAAGCACCTGGAATTTAGGCAGTGTATTGTGTTTTCTTTTAAATTTTTAAGGGAATCTTAACAAATGGGAATGTGTGTTCTATTTAATCAAAATGTGTGTGTTAAGATTTTAGATGCTTTACATCAATTGGGTGGTAGGGGACACTTAGAAATTATGGTAATTCAGTTTCATTAATTTTGTGGAATTTAGTTTTGTCTCTTAAATTAATTGTGTCAAAAAAGAAAAAAAAAGGAAAACTCTGCACTGTTATATATCCTTGGTGTATCAAACATGATTACACGTCAATCATATGCATAATTATGGAATTTTCCAGGACTGCTAATAAATCACATGACATTTGCTTTGTTGCAATATTCTTTATTTTGTTGTTTTTGAGGAAGTATATCAGAATGGGAGGATAATACCCTGGGAACTAGAGGATTTTTTTCTTTGCAGTGAAGCTTACAGTTAACAGATAGCAGCAAAGCCCCTATTGTTGGCAAGCTTTTTTTTTCTTGCCAACAATTGTGGCCTTTCCACTCACCATTAGCGGCTTCGCTGCCGAAAAATAAAACCTCACTAGGGTAGGAGGATAAGCTAAGTGCAAAAGAAAGTTTTTTTACTGACCTTGAATATATTGAAGGTGAGGGTTCTTGAAACTCATAGCTCTTTCACTCTCAAGCGTGACAAGCATCCAATTTCTCCCTACAAAATTACCCTTGAATCCCACATCAGGTCTTATCACTAAGTTTAGATCACCAACTGCAGAAGTACTTGATTATCAAACAAATTCTTCTTTATGCACTCAAGTGTTATGGCGTTAGGGATTAAGTGTATTCCTGCTAACTCTCCCGATCTTCGCGAGAGACTACAAGGTTTTCATCAAATCTCGCGGTCTCTCGGTTAGAGCAACAAATCTCCCCGAAAATAGCTACCGTCGCTTTTTAATTTAGTTGTTTTTGAGATGTCAAAATGGATTTAATGCTCTAACTTAATCTTGATCGGGAACAGTTAAACAAAGCGATCAAATTACGAGTATGGTAATTGGTAAGAAATCAGCCAATCAAATCACACAATATATGATAGAAATTTGGCGCGGTTCAGGTTGTCGCGCGCGGTGATGCCCAGCATGGATTTCGGTTCATTGCAAAAAATTCTAAACGTCTCCAGATTTTTGTACACTAGGGGTTGGCAGGTATGTAAGTTACTCATTAAAACAGAACAGGATGTCCACATCCTGTCCGCAAAGTGTGGAGTCAGAATAGACACCCAGATTGGTATTTGAAAGAGGTGGAAGAGGCAGTTTACAACAGAACCCACAAATGGGCCCTACACCAAGATGGAATAAGAGAGACATTCAGTGGTTATGGAAGCTTCTATTGTTGTATAGCATGGGAAATTGATAACTAGATGATCATTGTCATTAATAGGATCACAAGTTACCACTCTTATTTCTTCACTAAATGTGTCGATAGTCCCTGTTTTTTGTTTGTTTTTCGTTAGCTTTTTATTGTTTTTTTTGTTGTCTTTTCTTCTGTTTATACTCTGTGGGGAGGTTCGGGGAAACAAAAGAACGATGCTTGGCGGCGAGAGGATTGGACCGTCTCATTCCAAATATGGTATTCTCAAATAGGTATAAAGACGTCCTATCTTCCTTGAGTTCTTTCTTTACGGTCGTTGTGGTTGGAGTGGAGTTAGATCTTAATGACTATGTGATTGTAGTAACGTTAAAATTGATTATAATTTGATAGACGAAACTACCTTTTCTGTGATTCGCTTTTAGTTTTTTCGGTTTAATTTGTACTGTTAACTGCGAAACAATGCTTCGCCTTTGTGCCCGTTCCATGAACAGAAATCTGTTTCTTGTGACGAGATTGTATTCTACTCCAGCCGCTGCGACCAAATATCAGCTCACGCCTGAAGACATTTTCAAGCGAGAAGACACTTATGGCGCCCACAATTACCATCCTCTACCAGCAGCTTTGGCGAAGGGGGAAGGAGTATTTGTCTGGGATGTGACCGGAAAGCGATACTTCGACTTTCTCGCCGCCTACTCGGCTGTGAACCAGGGACATTGCCACCCTCGCATTGTGAAAACGCTTCAAGACCAAGCAGAAATCTTGACGTTAACCTCTAGAGCGTTTTATAACGATGTTTTGGGGGAATTCGAAGAGTTTGCTACGAAACTTTTTGGCTATGACAAACTACTGCCCATGAATACGGGAGTGGAAGGAGGCGAAACGGCTTGTAAATTGGCCCGAAAATGGGGTTATCATGTGAAAGGCATCCCAGCGAACAAAGCCAAAATTGTCTTCGCTGAGGAGAATTTTTGGGGAAGGACGCTCGCCGCAGTGTCGTCGTCGTCTGATCCAGACTGTTACGGTGAATACGGTCCTTTTATGCCAGGCTTTGAACTAATTTCGTATAACGATCTTGGTGCTTTGGAGGTGAGTGTTGTGACTATCATCAAGTTTGTGCCACGTGTTCTTAAACTGCAATTATGACATAGCTTGTAAATTCGTGCAATTAAATTCAATTTGCCAATCTCAATTTCCCATTGTTCATGCTGATGACGTTCATTGACAAGCATGAATTCACCTGTCAGTTTTTGACCAATCTGATGCGAGATCATTAAAGCATAGCAAAATACTTTTCCAAATCAAAATAAACAATGTATTGAAGCGTAGAAGAGGGAATTTCTGCCCTTAATACATAAACTAGAGCGTTAAAAATGTTATTAGATAATTGGTTCATGTGTCAGCTGTGTGTTTATCAAGAATTGAAGTACTTGGGAAGTTTAGAGGACACTCAAGAAGCTAGAATTCCTCTCGGCTGTGCGTCGTGCATCTCTTGTGCATCATTTGTGCTCTCCAAACTTTCCATGTGCTTAATTCCTCGATGAACACACGCTGATGCATTAACCAATAGTTAAGAAAAAAGTGCCCCCCTCCCCTGTAGCCAAGAATCAAAATAAATGCCCCTCAAACAATTTTGCTCTCTCTTCCCCCATTTTCATAGACATTTGATCACATTTGCTTAGATATTTAAGAATGTACTTTTACTATCAGATTTGAACATTTTTTCTTCTTCACGTGGAAATATAAACTATGAAACAGAGTTCATATGGGTCGTGGAACCCTGGAAAGTCCTGGAATTTTATTTTGACATTTTCCAGGCCTGGAAAGTCCTGGAAAAAGACTACAGGTCTTGGAAAGTCTTGAAAATCTTCTCAACTCAAGCAATAAAGTTTTCAGAATTTGTCATTAAAAAATGTCTGTAGACTGATAGGAGAATTGATTTTTGAAGTCTTGGGAATGAAAGGGTCAAAGGTGAATTTGGAGTCCTGGAAAACACCTTGAAATTTGTTTTGTAAAAAAGGAACAAACTCTGATTACAAAGATTACATGGAACTTCTATTCAGGTAAATATGGTCCCTTAAGAGAATGTAACCATAGAAATGTCACAGGGATTGGGAGAGGGACACTTTTGGGACTAGGTAGAGAGGTCCAACAGTAAAAGTAATGATGCAAGGATGCAGCCGAGCCTCCATTCAAGGAATGGTTATTCTGTTTTAGAAATAGTACCTTTGAGCTGTTGTACCCAGAAGTGAGGGCAGCAAATACAACCGTTGTGTTGAACCTCTCTCTTGGGTAAACCCTTTGAACTTGGGTAAGGTGTACCTTGAAAAGATGGAAACTTCAGTTAGGAAACATTTGCCAGACTGGGATCGATATAAATGTGACCTCTCACGCGAAAACGTTCCTAATGGTAGCTGTTCGAACAGTGAACGGAACGGCAAGCAAACGGGTGACGAACGGCTTGGAAAGCCGTTCGAAACGGATACTGTGAACGGATGAACGGCTAATTAAAATTTTCGAACGGATGAGGTCAAACGGGTGAACGGCTAGTGAAAATTTTCGAACGGAAAAGGTCGAACGGATGAACGGCTAATTAAAATTTTCGAACGGACGAGGTCGAACGGATGAACAGCTAATTAAAATTTTCGAACGGATGAGGTTGAATGGATGAACGGCTAATGAAAATTATCGAAGGGATGAACGGCTAATTTTTCGAACACTGAGATGAGCCTCACAGATGAGATCGAATGGACAAACGGCTAAGCAGTCGAAAAAAATGATGGCCTGTAGAAATTATTTGAACAGATGGTTTTGTCAAAACGAATGCCGACACAGGCGTCCCAAGCTCTTGTCTTGAGCCAAAGCGAAGGATTATTTCATGAAAGCGTCACGCGTTGGGTGACGCGGTGTTAAGTAACGCGAGGTATTTGACACAATCTGTGAAAAGATAACTTGAAACGAGTCAAAACTCAATCATTTGAATAACTCGACTTCGCTTTCGGCGCATTCAAATGGATTATAATTAATATTTTTATNCAGGAAAAAGTTGTGATTTTTGCTAAAGAATGGAAGCAGAATTGGGAGCAGTAATTTTTCCACAATCAAACATAATTATTATGTTTGGAATCATTCCTCAACTAAAATATCTGCTTTTGGAATCATAAGAGTTGATGATAAGCAGCCCATTTATGGCATATACACAATGTTCCAGGTTCTTTTCATTGCTGATGAAGTACAGACTGGACTTGGGAGAACTGGAAGGTATATATGTTTTTTGCTCTATTTGTGTAGAAGCACTCAATGTTGCTGTCAACGATTTCTTTGATTGCAGCTCACATTCAACATTATTTCTTCATTTTGACTTTTATTTAGTAAGTTTGTCCATTGCAGTCAGTGTTGATAATCTCTGTCCTCAACCAGCTTTATTCCTTTTTTGTCCACTCTCAGCTCTTCAGCTTTTGCTTACCCTATCAATTGATTATTTTATAGCTTTTTTTCGATTTAATCCTCACATGACTCGAAATGTTGCAACAGAGCTGCAATTTTTTGTTATATTCACTCCCAACTTTGGAGACTAATATCTGACATATTATGTGACTTCAGGCGCTTATGTGTTGACCATGAGAATGTTAGACCAGACCTTGTTGTTCTTGGAAAAGCTCTGTCTGGTGGAGTTTACCCAGTGAGTTGCATTCAGACTTGTTGTTATATCTCATATCCCTGGTCTGTCATTTTTTTTAATGAAACAAATTCATACTAAAAGCCTTCTCAGTTGAATTCTATGTAGAATAATTTTGGGTTTTTTGTGCTCATCATCCCTTGCGTCTGTACCTTGATGTATCATTTTTGTTCCCTATTGACATAGATTTGCTCTTAAGGGGTTACATAGGTGACCTAGTGTTGCAAAAGAAGTTCATGATTGACTCCTGACTTCCTCTAATGTGTTGTGTGTTATTAGGTTTCAGCAGTTCTCTGTGATGATGAAGTTATGCTTACCATCAAACCAGGGCAGGTAATGCTAAAATTCTAGCCAGACATTATAAAATCATTTTTTTAATTTTTTTATTCCAGTATTTTTTCAAAGAATGCTAAACTGAGGTGATTTCTGCTTTCTTTTTCTTTTAGCATGGCTCAACTTATGGTGGAAACCCACTTGGCTGCAAAGTTGCTATAACTGCTTTGAAAGTAAGTTATGAATATTATTGATAATTGTAGTGGATGGTTGGTTTCTTGTTTGATAGCCTGGTGCTTTTTTTTACTCAAGTACTGTTTGGCTAATGTAGCAATCTTTGGAAGGGAATAATTAGATGAACTTGTTTCTCGTTCAGAACCATACATTATGGTTCAGTGTAAGTTACATAATGTATCTTTACCTTTTTTCAAATATTGTGATATACACTGCTTATTTTGTTCCTCTCCAAGAAAGCCTTTCATTATGCCTTAGACTCCTGTAAAATTTTTTGCAAAGTTATATTTGATTAATTGAAATTTATTTAGAAATCATTATGTATCACACATGTAGGTTTTGGAAGAAGAAAAAATGGCTGAACATGCTGCAAAGCTTGGAGAAATCATGGTTCCAGAATTGAAGAAGCTAAACCCAGCTGTTGTAAAGACTGCTCGTGGCAAGGGACTTATGAATGCGATAGAGATAAGACCAACAAATGGTAAGATATGCTAGCATTGATTATCACTAAATCATAAAAGTAAGCTTTGAATCATAGATTGTTTTCAAATGCCAAGCTTATGAAATCAAAAAAAATAAAAAACCAGGGAATGAGAAGGAGTATATGGAAAAAGAACTGAGTGAATTTTTCCCATTGCTACAGCTGAGGTTCAGCTCCATTAGCTGATGTTACTTGTGGTTCTAGTGTGTCCTTGTTTCTTGTCCTTGCCATGAATTTGTTCTCCAAGTTCTTGTTTTCCAAAGGGTATGAAAAATTGACACAAGGAGTTATATTTTAGCTTTGATGCAACACATCATTAATCCCATGAAACTTTAGCTCCTCTTTGCAAAGTGTACATTTTTATGGTTGCCATAGGCTAGAAAATGGTCAGAACAAAAAATCCCTCCAGGTCAGGGAGATGTCTGTGAATTTTATTTGGAGTCGAGGACAAATATGAAGAAAAAAATTGAAAGTATAAGTCATCCTACAACTATTATTGGTTCATTTGTACTGTTTTGTGAGGCCATTTTAACAAATTAGTTTTTATTTGGTGAAAGTACACCAGCAGATGAAAAAATGGCTGTTAGAGAGGGTGAATGGTTTTTTTGTGGTGGAGTATTCTTACTTTTTACAAGGGAGAAGTCAGGGAGTTTGGAAAACTGATGTTTCTTGCAGCTTTATTTTTCTTTTGATTACAACAATTTTTGTTGGCTTGTTTGTCTGAGTGATATAGATCAGATACCTGAGGATTTTTAGAATTATTTTCCTTCCCCTTTTTCAGACTTTGATGCCTGGAAGGTGTGTTTAAAACTGAAGGATAATGGTCTTCTAGCTAAACCCACCCATGATCACATTATTCGCTTTACACCACCTTTGGTGATCACAGAGGAACAGCTCCATGAATCCCTCGGAATAATTAAGGACACTATTAACTTCTTCGCATGAGTGTAATGTATTATGAAGGTTTATTTCTTTTTTTGTGTGAGTGTTTGTAAGTTGACATTTTGAAAAAGTGTTTTATTCATTTCAATTTTCTTTTCCTTTTTTTCTTTTTTTTTTCTTTTGTTGTGGTGACAAAAGTGATATAACTAATGTTAGGGCAGGTCTTAGAGTTGCATCTCCAGATACGTGGAAATTAGGTACTAAAAACTGAACAATATGCAACAATTAACCAATCATGGTTTTGGCAGTGCTTAGTTACACTTAATTTTAGGCTTGTGCAGGACTTTTCCTTCTCCTCTATATCCACTGTTGAGATGATGTTGACAAAATTTACCTGAAAAGAGCTGTGATGTTTGGTAAAAGTCATTTCAAGAGATTTTTTTGTGTAACATGAAAAAAAAAAGAGCATATTTGTTAAGATACTACTCTAGGCTATTTCTGTGAAATTTTAACAATCATAAGATACAGTGAGCACACTTTTTTTTGTTTACATCGATGTGAATGGGTTATCAAAAGGCGATTACCTGCTTGAAAGACTGCCTTAAAAGGACATTTCACCTTTATCATTATATTAGGAAAGTTTGAATGTTTTTGTCATTTAGAATGGACATTCTTTAGGTTGACACCACAGATACGACAGACTAGGGTGAAACCACAGTCACATCACTCATTTCATTCCACATACTAACAGCCTTTCTGTTTACTAACAATGATATAACGGATGAGTAGATTAGATGAGATTAGATAATAGTAACACAAGGAAGTTACTTGTAGCCAGAACAATTATTTGAGAGGATTGTACAGGGTTTCTAGTCAACCAGGCTAAAAGAATTAACAAAATATAGTAGATTATCGCACTAATAGTCATTAATACATTATACCATATTGTGAAGTAGAGCACATTGCACAAACCTACAGCCTTCACGTTTGGTTAGCTTTCGAAAGCAGATCTTACAGTGAATGGTGGAAGAGAAGAAAGACAAAGCCGAATTCAAAAGTCCTCTTAGTGGTTGATAATCAGTTGGAAGTTATCCCCAAGAAGGCTTATTATTTTTATCAATTTTTGACTTTTTTGTGTTTGTTTTTGAGGGAGGGGCACAATCATTCATATGACAGATGACTGAAGACTGAACTAAAAACTTAAGGAATTGATGTTGTTGCATGCCATTTGAAGGAAGTTTCTACACTTAATTACAAACCATATTTACAAGATAAATTTAACTTACCAATGTGTCCACCAGAGAATTTGTTTGCTGCTTCAAGTCTGTGTGATACACCATGTTTAAATATGTGTATGTAACTGCTAAGTTTTGAAAATTTTAAACAGTTCTGACCATAATTGCTAACAATAATAAAATTTCGGTACAGCCCCATTTTATTGTGAAACAAAACCTTAGTTCCAAATGTAATCTTACTGTTGTTTACTTTAACCAAGGACTCTATGCATACTAAAGTATGAAGCTGAGCAGAAATCTTGCACTAGTAGCAAACTAAGTGATATGATAATGGACTAATGCAAAGCACTAATACGACAGTATTTCCCCTGCAACTGGAGTGTGTTGGTGCAGACCCAAAATGCCCACCATCAAGTTAAGGAAGATGATGATGATGAAGATGATGAAAAAACTGAAGTGACATAGTGGTTGATAATGGTGTATCCCACTGGATCTTCATGCTTCTTGTACCAAAGATGCAGTGCTGTGTCATTTGGGTTTTCAAGAAGTGCTTACAGAAACTGGACAAGACAGAAAAGCAAACGGCTACAATGTACAAAAGACTGAATGATGTGTTAGTTATGTGTGGAAGTATTGTAAAATGTGTTACAGTTATCAAGAGATTGTTTTTTGTTTGTTTTGTTTTGTTTTTAAATGGAATTCGTGAATAGTGTGCTCCATAAGTTATGTGTATTTACAAGACTAGTGACTGAACATCGTGAGTGAATGAAATTTTGTGCAGTGCTACAGAAGTGAGGTTCTCCTTGGAAGGATTGTAGAAATCGACAAGTGACCATGACTGACATTACCAAGAAATATTTGAGTTAATAATTATAGGGGTAAAAGGACATCATTGGTTTGACTCCAAAACCAGACTTGTTACTTCACACAAACATTTAGACAGAAACCAGATCAGCAATCAAAGGAGGATGAGACTTTGGTGACATTTTAAATCAACAGCTACCGGTATGTCATGCATTTCAAGGAGGAGTTAAAGAATACCTTCTTCTTATCCTTTGTGTTCTCAGACTGAAATTTTTGGGGAAAAAAAACTGTAGAAGCCTCCAAACAAGACAGCAACAGAGATCAGAAAACAGACAAGACATTGACCATAGAAATGCTTAACAGTTGAAAACACAACCTACGAAAGAAGACACCATACAGAGGGGAGGGGAGGGGAGGGGAGGCAGTTACAAGTTGTACAGCTCTGTTGAAAGAGCGGCAACAGTGAGCAGCGGCAGCAGCAGCAACAACAACAACAACAACAGCAACAGAGTGGAGAGTTGAAGTCATGAACTTCCTCAAAACCTGGTGATAGATTATGATTTGACAAAAATTTGATTGCTATACTATACTTGAACTTTGTAAAGTGGAAGGGAGTGTACAAATGAAAGAGAAAAAAGAAAGAGGAAACCTTCAAATGAAAAGTCAAAAGGTCAACAAGGCACTTGTGAGCACAGTTTGCAAATCGCTCACAACAGATTTCAACGACACACCAGACATGTATCACATTGACAAATTAACCAACTAACAACATGACTTGACTGTAATGAACACGGTGTGTCCACAGAAAAGCAGCAAATAATAAACCCATCCACCCTATTAGTGATCACACCTTGAATTATATTTACAGTTTTAATACTCTGTTAAACAGTCAGGTATTAAGAAGTAAGAAAATCATCAGGTAGGACACGCAGCTTAGACAAAACACTTCATTTTCGTAGTAGTTAAAAAGGTTAATATTCCCATCAGTTGGGAGTTTTAGATTCCAGATTTGAAGAAAATGCATAAGCAAAATAAGGAAACAGTACTTTGCATCTGTTTTTGGTATGCATTGTCTTTTAATGATTAGGTTTCAAGTAGTTAGTTTAATTGTAGAAATGGTTTAATTGGGTTTCAGTGCTTCTATTCAAATGACATGCAAAACATCATCCTGGACAAACGAGACTCCACTGAGACTTAAACCAACATTATTGGTCAACCATTGTATTGGGTTATGGCAGAAATTTCATAAGGGTACAGATATTGGTGAAGGTGGAATGTCCTTTTTAGTGAATTTATTTTGTTTTTCTCAAGCAAAAACAGCGAATAAGGTAGTGTTATAATTGTTAAGCAACTAGACCTCGTGTTTTGTCACTGAGAGTAATGTTATGCAACTTACCTCCAACATAACTGTTGTGAGCTTTTAAATGGAGCAAATTTCCTTTATTTTATTTTATTTTGTGTTGCATTTTAATTCCTTAGTAAAATATATCTAAGTGTTTGTGTTAGTTGAACTGTAAGCATAGTCTAAATTTTGAATATTTACTGCTAGTATAATGACTCCCTGTTCTTTATTTCCATCATGTGTTGATGAATGTTGTTTTTATCTTGACACCCACCCCAACAACTTGTGTCCCAAGGATCATCTATATGGGAAGCTCTAGCTTGGTATGTCTTTTAAATGCATTGAGAAAGCATTTGTATGAATTTTTCTCAGATGCTAAATAATAGGGATATTAAAGGCTGATTAACTTAGTAGTGTAGCTTTGTCATATTAATTGATCAAATAACTTTCTGTATCTCTTCCCCCTCCCCCCACACACACTTCCCTGACACCAGCAAGTCCACTTCCCTGACACCAGCAAGTCCCTTAAGATCCTGAACAAACTTATTGAGGTTTTTTTCCTGGAGCCCTTTCCTCTATAGTAGGTGGAGGTGTGAGAGAGATAAATTGGGGGGAAGCAGGGACACTAATGATGGTAATAATAATGATAACAATATTTATATTACTTTGTTAAACTAATACTGCTTCTGTCCAAGCCACAGTACTACTGTGCATCCATTTGTATGAGATGTAGCATTATTTACCCGTGTCCTTGTAACAAACAGAGAAACACATTCATGTGAGAAAGGCTCCTTTCTTTGAAAATCTCTCACACCAGACATCTCACAGACCTGAATCTTTGTGAGAATGATTGATTGTTCATCTTCTTTTCTCTTTGATTCTTGATGTAATATGTGGAACGGTTTTGATGATGGTGTGACAGTGAAAGCTGGCAATGGTGAAACTGTAGGTCAATGTTCTTTAGGCTCTCGCTTTAATCACACAGGTAAATAGTAAATTGAGAGCATGACCCATCAGGTCAATTGTGATGTTGCAATTTTTGCTTTTGTCTCTGTAAAATGGATTCTCACATATCTCTCTTAACAAGGCCAGATGGGAACTGGATAATTCAATTTCCTCTGATTGTGTGAAGGTACTCTCAAAAAGAAATTCAGTTTTTCATGAGTTTTGCAAGGTGGATGTTTGAATGACGAGGCAGTAGAAGAGAGACAAGAGTAGAAAGACAGTCTTTTTATTTTAGTTTTTGGTGCCATTTATAGTGTTTAAACAGGAACAGTATTTTTGGGAGTAAAGTTTGCCAGGGACAAGTAAAGAGTCCTTCCATGTTTCTAACAAAACTGAAAACAGTAGTAATATACCACATCAACAACATCTATGCTGAATATCGAATTTTACTTCAAATTATGGTTACTGATAAATGTACATCATATGTTAAAAAGATTCTCTCCACTTTATCTTACAAAAATATGGCTGTGGCAAAGGAAAAATTCATTTTTTGTACTGAGACAGCAATGGTTAGCAAATAATTCTTTTTAAAGATCTAATAAAGAGATCTTTCTTGGGTAACACACTAATCAAGATTACAAACGATGTTCACAACATGGCCGGGGGTCTATCCAAAAAGATGTTTTGTCAATTACTAAACCAGAAAAAATTTAATCAAATCACAAAACTTCACAATTTCTGAAAACACTATTGCAAATATTTTCTACAAAACTTTTTCAAAAATTAAGAGGAAAATAAAATTCTACCAAATGCTACCCAACTTAATTGAAACGGACTGTGTGTACGACTGCAATATTATTCATTTAATAAATGCATAAGACGTGTAACCGTGTGAAATAAGCATTCTTTTTTGCTTTCAAAAGGACGTCCTGCGCCCAGTTGTAAAACCAAATAGCAGAAATTGTAAAATACATCGATTCTAAAAGTAAAAATTGTAGGCGAGTCAATGGTCAGCGGTGTATTAAGGAATATTGAATTAAAAAAGGATTCTTGGTGGCAGGAACGAGAGGGCTGAGAACCCGTAGTGGGGGGGAAGGGGGGCAGCAATAGGTAAATGTGATATGACTAAAAGCGTTTTGATGTATTTACAATTCTGGCCAAAAGCGCTGTGTTGCAAACTTTGATCTAGAATTACATGTTTCATGAATTTACTTATACTGGTCATTCTGAGGAGAAAATTGGTGTTAAAATATCAGCACAACTGCAAACAGAAACGATGCGGAAACTTACTGCCTTCTGAACACTAGCTGAAAACTGATCGAGCAAATTTCTAACACGAATTAATGTGAACGTTGGCTAAAGGGATAGAATTTCTGAAGGGATCGTCTACTGGAGGCAGTATACTCTTTTCCTTCTTCTGACAGTAAACTAAATTGTAACCTTTTTTTTTGCTCTGAGTGAAGTTAAGTGGTAATCTGTGTGATTTGTGCCTTTTCGATGTACAGCTAACTCTATACCAACGGATAAATACTCCACAAAACTCTGCTATTGCTTGGGTATCACTACAATTTCCATGACATCCTTACTCTTGTTGTTATACGACTTCCTGATGATATCCACAGCCTCGGAATGTGTAGCATCTTCAAGGCTGTCACCGTCCACAGACAGAATTTCATCGCCGCTCTAACAGGGAAGAAATCACAACACAACATGCATTAGCACGAGACCCGTTTAAATTGCTGATACACCAACCTTTCCACATACGGGATGTAACTGTACGCGGCGAGTTGGCGGGAGATTGGCCGGGGTCCTGGCACTAAACCCATTCTAGACCTCTCTCATGATCTCAAGGCCTCAAACTTCCCCGCGGGCGAAAACACCTGTCGTACTAAAGCGCTAATAATGAGGGGCCCCCGCGACCTGGTTGTAGGCTGGATATATTGTAAATGTGTCTAGGTCTCCTTACCTTGAGTCTTCCATCATCAGCTGCAGCGCCACCAGGGAAAATTTTCTCTACCCTGACTTCGGGTTGCGTCTTGGAGCCTTTTCCTCCGGAAATACTTATACCTGGACAAATAAATAAACTCAAATCAAAGTGATTATAATCACTGCTATCATTCCGTACGATTTCAGGTCCCTGCAACGGGACAGAAAATACATTCTCAGTGCCTATCGCTCTGCTTATTTGTCGCACGCTATCAAGAGTGACAAAATTATATCACAGTAACTGATAAAATTCTACAGGTTATGCTTAAGAAAATCCAAAGAATTCAACAAGGAGCGAATAAACCCTTCTCCAAAATGGTTTCCCAAAAGACTTGGCGCGAGTTAAGCAAATTCCTTTCCGGAATCAGTTCGAAAAGTAACATATTGGTTTTCCCTAAATTTCAGAGGATAAACAGTTCCTTACCTAAACTTGTTCTCTTTTTGGAGAGAAGTATCGTTACCCCTTTGTTCTCATTAGAAACAGATATAACCGGAACTCCCATCGACAAAGAAGACCCAGATGAAGTGGACGCCGCAGGAACTACTTCCTCGTCGTCCTTATACTCGATCGATACTCTGTCGGGAACAAGGAGCGAGTTCGACGCCACGAGTCGTTCATTGTCGTTTTCATCGTGTTTCGTTCCTCTGGACGCCTCACCGCTGTTTACCTGTATCACTGGAACACCAAATGAAGTTGGAGCGATGCTCCTTGTGGTCGAATCTTTCCCAGCGACGGAATCCATTCGATAGTTTTCCGGTAAATGTATGAGAGCATTTGGGTTGTTCGGTGTTCGTGTATGTCGATCGAGAATGCTGCCACCCAGCCACGCTGTTTGTTCTCGCTTTTTTTCCATTTCTTCCTTCTCCTGTTTGATTTTCTCCACTTCTTCCTTCGTTCGTAATTGAAAACTCCCTCTGCTGTCTGTGAATGGGAAGTTACAAAATACCCAATTAAGACGGCAACCCAGGAAATTTAAAAAAAGCTCTTTTCCCCACGATGCTTATTCGCCAAATTACTGATCAAGTTTGTGTGCATTTGCAGATAACAGACTGCTAATAACGAGCGTGGGCTGTACTAACATAAAATAATTCACAGCAGGCACTTCTCGTTACCAAATGACAAAAAAATCATCAACAAGTTAGCAAAGCAAAACATCCCACCCACTTCAATGTAAGATACCATCTTGGTCATTACTTATTTACGGTCGTAGTAAGACAATGCCCCCAACTGCAACAGTTTTAAATTAATAAAAACTTTTTTTTGTTCCCTTCGGCATTCCTATTGAGTTAGAAATTCTATGTACACGATCTTGAAAGAAAATTCGACATTTTTTCCCCAAAGGATCGTTCACTTTAAAAAATGAAAGAAAAGTATAGACGAATTGAAAAAAAAAATGTTCCCGTTGTTGTTGCCGTCGTGATTCTCTTGAATTCCCTAATAATGAGAACCTGCCCGTCGGCTTCCCGTTTCTCTAAAACACTACCTTGAATTGCAGCCACAAGTTGACGTTTCGGTTTCTCAGCAACGGTAGGTATTATGGTTGGCGAACCTTAGAAAGGAGAGAGAACCATAAAAATTACATCAGACAGAGAATTCAAAACCACGACAACACTGATGTGTTAGGAAAAATCTAGAGATTATTTGCTCATACCAGGTACGAATCCACTCAGGTACTCCAGAGCCTCTTTTTCATGCGCCGACACCATAGCATCAAACCTTCCAAGGTCATACGGTAAAACTAACGTTCTGTAAATGAATTTGACAAATCATAATGTACACATTTTCCAAGTAAGCTTTCAGAAAGTGGAATAATATCTTGGGGGAATTTTCATTTATTAGATAGACATGCTTGTAGCCAGCCAATGTACACGGGAAGTGAACATCCACCGATCACTTGCGCGGGCGGTACGCTCTGTTAGATTATTTCAACATGCTAAAAAGATTTCTAATTAGTACCCAAAAGATCTCCAAGTTTTTTTGATAAAATCTGAGCGATAATTCAAGTCCAAGAATCGATTTCAAAGAAATATAAGAATTGGTTAAATTCGCTTCGTTTTAGCTGAACTTCAAAAGATCCCATATTATTATACAATCTCTAAGCTTGTCTAAGATTCGGGGTAATTTTCTTTGGCTACAAACTATTCCCAGTTAAAAATAAGACGAAACTGTAAATGTTATTTTTAAGGCATTAATTTCATTCACGAATTCAATTCGGTTTAATTTCATGTCACTTGTATCAGGAACAAACTTCCATCAAAGGGACAAACATTTTCACAAAAATTCCCCCGACCCCTCCCCCTTCAAATGATGCGAATTGATACAACGACTGGTTGCTTCCTGTATTGGTAGTGAAGATATTTGCAATGACGGCGAAGATTCCTTCAAATTCAAATTTATTTATTTGCCTTTTTTACCTAATATATGAACAATTTATCGATGGTTAATGTATGGCGAGGTGACCTCTAGAAATCACCAGGCTTTTAGCTGGGGCCACCTCGAACGTAACAATACGCTTACATAGATAGTGCTACAAGTGTGCGGCTTTGCCAATTCAGTCATTATTTTACTAAAAACTTTAGCAGTTTTTTCTTAAAATTGGGAAAACTTGACAGAAAAGTAACAGGAAGGGAATTCCAGATCTTTGGAGCTCACCTTATATCTCTCAACAAAAGAGCCTTTTCTGGCTTGTCCAGTATTGCCAGCAGTTTATGTACAAGAGATTCTACTTCAGAATCTTCTTGGTACTACAACGGCAAAATAGAAAGGTTTTGAACAATTCTATCATTCAGAAGGATAAAAATAATCCAAAAAAACCAAAAACAGTACATCCAACAACCCTCTGAAAAAAATTCAAATATACATTCTGAATCCAAAGTAATGCCGAAAATATGGCGCCTGAAGTTTTCAAATTTGCACAAAGGGAAGAAAATTCTTGCTCCGCTCCCTCCCTCCATCCCCACTTATGTATGGTAAAAAGTGTAGGTTTTGATTCGCGGATTGTTGGTATTTTGAAACGTTGCAGAAATTATCAATTAAAAAGGATAATTATTGTTTAACCCTTTCCTCCTAAGAGTGATCAACAACATCTGATTTCTCGCGACAGTATCACTAAATTTCCCTTTTGTACACTGTTCATTGCATGTCTGGGCGAAGTCTCCTAAAAAGCAACATGAGCTAATGGATATAGCCCTGTAGAAATCCTTGAAAATATACCTGTTTGATGTGCCTGATGACAGCGTTGTATTCGTCCACTACCAGAATCTTTTTAGCCTTTTCTTCAATGTACAGCAACATCTGTTGTCTTGTGGAACCACCTAACATTAATTGAGTACCAAAACCCTTCTCAAAAATGGGGGTTGCATGCACAGGGAGTTGCATCTCACGACAGACTAAACACGAAAAAGCAACAAGAAACATGAAACAAAAGCAGACCCAAGAACACAACATTAAAAAGAAAATCTCTGGGTTATCGAGATAGAATTACTATAATTATGTTATATTATTATTATTATCAAAGGATTGTCATTAGAGACGCCCTAATTGGTTCCTGGCGGCAACAAACTCACGAGAATCGTTTCTGTTTTCTTTGTTTCGACTATCTTCTGCTACTTTTTGCGTTTCCAACGCCAAAATTGTCCAAGAATTACGAACGTAGTTCTAATTCTATTTTTTTTTGTGCGCGGGATCAATGCGGGCAATCCCGAGCAAGCAAGATGGGCTCATCTCGCCCGCTCGGGTAACCAATCAGAACACAGGATTCGCTTCATCTTTTGCCACGGGCGCTGCAAGCGAAGATCAAATATTTACTTTCTATGTATCATTAGAGTATTGTTGTGCACTCCTTTACGTCTACTTTAAAACAAACATTCATTGATAAGGCTTAAGTTACTGTAATTTACTGTTGAACTATTTTGGATACTACATGTAATTCGAATATAAAATTTTAACTATCGCGTGCATTTGCACATATTGACTGGTTATCTCGTCTTTTGGGTGAGCATGAAGCCATTATCATAACTTTAACAGATTACCTTACTTACAAATAGCTGATCTTAATCTTGTGCTAGCTTCATTCAAAAGAGTGATTCGTTTGAATTTAGTACTAAGGATGATAAACTTCTAATGTTAGCAAAATTGTGTCACACACGAGTATTAGTTTAGAAATAGCTTTCAACTCATTCTATTATTTCGAATTAAGAACAAAGTGTCATATCTGATGCTCTTTTTACCTTGATGTGTTACCCAACAATCACAACATTAAAAACAAAAAGAAAGGGGAAATAGACAAGAAATGATCTTCACAAACACATAATGAAAGTTAACAAAACGCAAGTTGAGATGCAACAAACTGTACGTACCAACCACCGATGACACCATAAAATGAACAGTTCTTGGTAAAGTTAACTATGCCAACTGAAAATTCTGAAACATGAATGCTTCTGCATGCAGCTCAGAAACTACCTTATTTGCCTTAATGTTTGGTTAAAAACACATCAAATAAACTCCTTGATCACAAGTTGAGGCAAACCAAACTTTCACATAAGATCCACAACTTTCTTAATGAACTCTGCTACAACTGACACAACTGGAAATGAGGTAGGAAAAAAAATTTAACACTTTAACACTGATCGCTAATTTTCTGCCTTACCTCTTTGTTCAACTTTTGGTTTTCCCTTCTTCCTGAAGCTCAACTTGGACTTAATTTTGTCCCCATGTTTCTGAAGGAAAGACTTGGATTTTTTCACTTTTCTTTTATCATTCAGTTCACTGTCACTGCCACTCAAAATGGCCTCCTCCTTGCTCATGCTAGACACTGAATACCTCTTAGCCATTTCCTCTCTACTGCTGCTGACACTTTCAAAAGAATGCGCTGATCGAATTGAATTCTGCTTTTCACTATCATCACCACTGTTAGTTGATGATGTTCCCAGACTTTTGGAGCTCTGTGTTCTTTGTAAATCTGCAAAATCCTGTTTCACTTGAACAACTACAACTTCTTCTCTTGTTTCAGGCACAAGTTCTGGAGGAAGTTCAGGAGGAGGTTGAGGAGTCTGGACACTAGCTTCACGTAACTGTGGTCTAGGACTGGGCGTGTCCCTTGTTGGCATTTCTCCTAAATCAGGAAACTGGGTACTAGAATGACTGAGTTCAAGAGAGGAGACTGGAGAGGCTGGAGCTGAAATTGATCTGGTAAAAGTTTCTTTTCCCTCTAAAAAAAAAACAGAAAATAAGAAAAAAAAAGGACATTGTTAATATAATAATGATTTCTATTTGTCAAACAGTCACACAGTCAAAAGCAGGAGGATACAACTTTTTACTTCCTAGTGAGTTCTATCACATCAGATTACTTACCAACCACAACACGTCCATCAGGGTAAACCCAACTTATTTGTGAGTGGTAATGTTTTGCCTCTGGAAGTCTTCCCACAGCCTACAAAATCATGCATAAAATGAGAAGGCGTATATAAGAACGATCCTTCGCAGTAAAGCACTATTTGAGCAATAGTGGAAATCAGACCTGAAAAAAATTTCAGGCCTGTACGGGATTCGAACCACTGACCTCTGCGATACTAGTGCAGCGCTCTACCAATTGAGCTAACAAGCCAACTGGGAGCAGGCCATCAAATTAATTCGATATAAACCCGTAGATGATAAATCGAACAACAACAAACATATGAAACATATGAGTGAACTGCGGTTATGAGACGTATATAAGAACGATCCTTCGCAGTAAAGCACTATTTGAGCAATAGTGGAAATCAGACCTGAAAAAAATTTCAGGCCTGTACGGGATTCGAACCACTGACCTCTGCGATACTAGTGCAGCGCTCTACCAATTGAGCTAACAAGCCAACTGGGAGCAGGCCATCAAATTAATTCGATATAAACCCGTAGATGATAAATCGAACAACAACAAACATATGAAACATATGAGTGAACTGCGGTTATGAGACGTATATAAGAACGATCCTTCGCAGTAAAGCACTATTTGAGCAATAGTGGAAATCAGACCTGAAAAAAATTTCAGGCCTGTACGGGATTCGAACCACTGACCTCTGCGATACTATTTATCATCTACGGGTTTATATCGAATTAATTTGATGGCCTGCTCCCAGTTGGCTTGTTAGCTCAATTGGTAGAGCGCTGCACTAGTATCGCAGAGGTCAGTGGTTCGAATCCCGTACAGGCCTGAAATTTTTTTCAGGTCTGATTTCCACTATTGCTCAAATAGTGCTTTACTGCGAAGGATCGTTCTTATATACGTCTCATAACCGCAGTTCACTCATATGTTTCATATGTTTGTTGTTGTTAAAATGAGAAGGCTCTCATAAAATCAGCTTAAGGTCATCTACACTGTTCTGATAGTATTGTGATACTGAACATTGCATCAGCAGAGAGATAAAGAGATCAGTACACAAGTGACTTCTGTTAATATGAACCACAAAAAGACTTTAAGCCAACTCACTCTTATAACATCAGGTGTGAGAAACCAGTGCTACCTTCTATGATGGTGTATATGAACATGACTGTAAATTCCTAAAATTCAATTTGCAAACCTATGATTCACTACAAACCTGATCAAAGAATCCCTAATGTATGAGTGATCTGAAAGCTTAAAAGTTAGGTAAATGGATGTCTAGGAAGTACATATGTTACCTTCAGTGTAACCATTATGTGTTTTTGCGATTTAATAAATTCAACGGCCTCATTGTGCTTGAGGTTTTCAAAGCTCTTTCCATTCACTTCCATGATCTGGTCACCAACTTTGAAGCCAGCTTGCTCTGCTAGTGAGCCAGGATCAACACTAAACAAAGAGTAAATGATCTGTTAAGGTCCAGCTTTGTTCTGCATATGGCATCATAAGGTTTCTAAACCTCACAGAAGAAAACAGGATAGAAAGGGAGAAGGGCATAGAGAAATGGAGTGCTGTTTGATTTTGTGTTGTTAGAGCAAAACAAACTTTAATTCAAAGTAGACAATCAGTCAACAAAGACAACTATGAAGTTTTTTTATCTACTTTGTTGAGAGGAACTTGCAAATTTTTTCACATTACAAAGCATAAAAAACAAAACCAATGTAAAATGTAACTCTAGGTTTAGTTAAAAACAAACATGAAAATTGTACTTTCAAACACATCAATTTAACACTTTGGTTGCTACATGGCATTCAATTAGGATTTTGAACTCAATCACTCCACTGTCTTGTAAAAGAAATTTTTATGTCTTGGCATCCCTTTATTCAGAGGAAACCCACACATTTCAAGGCCAACACATATGAATTGTAGGCTGTATGAATTGAAATAACAGGCAACTTTTAGAATGTTTGGGTACTCTCTATTCAGAAAAAAAGGTTTGATACAAAAATTTACCATTATCACTTCAAGGATACTTGCTCAAAAGATAGTGTCTAGATTTAATTGAAAGCCACACATCATGGAATTATATCACAATCATGCAGAGCAAATTTGTTTCTCATGTCTGCCCAGCCAAGAGACAAAAGCCAAACAAAATCACAGATGAGACACAAAAAATTTCAGAACGTCCACGCACAAGTTCAAAGTGTATTCATACATTATGGGGAACCTCTAGTGAACTTTTGTACTTAATTGGATTTTGTAGCGAAATTACAAAACTTTGCCTCAATGGAAAGCACCCTCCCAACAAACTAAGAAAATGATTGTCAATGCTGTCTACATGTATGTTGTTCTTACCCAGACACAAAGAGACCCAAGCCATATTCGCTTCCACCACGAATGTTAAATCCTATAAAACCATTGGCTGTTGATTGTATTTGAAGATTGACTTTCCTCTCATCAGCTTTGTCCAGCAAATGAGAATTATGTTGAAGAGCTATCCTGAGACTGCCACTTCCACTACTTGCCTGATCAAAAATACAAGTAACCCCTTTAACTCCCATGTTCTGATGGATAATTCTTCTCTCTTGCAGTAATAAATATTCTTTTAAATTAGATAAATTTGGTTTTAGAATGTAAATTGGCTTCTGAGTATTGAAGCTGACATTTTGAGCTTTAGTTCTGCATCAGAGCTCTGACGAAAGGCTAACACTCGAAACGTCACCCTAGAAACTCTCTACTGTGTTTTTATAAGCAATTAAAAAGAAAAATTCCTTTTGACAACAAAAAATATTATGTAACAGATACAAAATGCATCCAGAATTCGTATGGTACACAAACAGAACAGAATAATATTAATTGTAAGAAAATCTTTTTAACTGATCTAAAATTACTCTTAGAAGGGAGAATTGGCAACTCAAACTCAAGGGTGGGATATTCAATTTTTATCCCATGACCACAACATGATCAAGGCAACCTTTGAATGCAAAGTTACAATAACTAAATAGTCCCAATGGAGGAAAAAGGAGATGTAACTCTACATCTTTGAAAAAAACAAAATGTAACCTTTGATAGATAAAATGAATAGTTTTAAAACATGACAGGTTTTAAAAGACATTTACCTGTAAACTATCATTTTCACTTATTCCATTTTGAACAACTTTGCCATTCCTGTGACCCCTGGGATGAAAATGAAAAAAAAAAAATCAGTTAAGTGTTAATTATCAGCGCTAATTTTGGACCCAAAAAAAAAAAAAAGCTCTCACTGATAAGCTCGGTGAGATACATGTAAGATTGTGTAAGTTAAACAAAGTATAGTATATAATTTTGCATATTATGGCACAATGTTCATGTACAAGTTTTGCTAACACCATTTAATTTTGATATACCAAAGTTAGTGATGTTCCACCTTATTCAAAAAGTGCTATAACATTTCAGATCTTGCATTAACTTGAGATATGACTGTATGTATACAAACTTAACAAATTTTGGTCATCCTACAGATTAATAGTTAATTCATCAATACCAAGAAACAAAAAGAAACATTTATTTCACTCTCTCTCACAACGGACAAAGCCTTCAATCTTGTTGAAAGTTGCTCTCAGCCTAAACTCAAAAATAATACTTGAGCAATATCTAATTTTAGAGATAAAAGGTGAGAGCTTCAGAAACAACCCCAATGAACTTTCTTCAAGTCTGTATTATGATAATAACTGTGGCACGACAGACTGACACTCTATTGACCAGCTGTTTCGGATTATAAGGTATTGTTGTTCAAGGCGTAAAAACAGAAAACTATATTCATATGAACTGTTTTCAATACTTATTAATTGATCACTTGACAAATTTCATCAATCTAATTTATCACAATGGCTTCCGTCGCTGCTCTAGGCTTGTTTCTCGTCACAGAAGTACAGCTGTTACACGTAAAATTCATACAGGTGGAACGGTAAAAGGCAAATCGAACAATAATATGCCACATCGTTTGGCGAAAGTCATTCCTTAAGTTAGCCTTCGTACACACACGCATAAGGTAAATCAACGTGATAATCATTGATATTGGCTGTAGTGTGCTAAAACGAATATACTAAAAATTTGAAAAGCATCGATGACTTTACTAAACATTTAATCCAAAAAGCAGTCAAGTGCAGAAATAGCACGCAACACGCTAACATGCTGTACAACAGTATCGCAACAGTGGCGGCAATGTTTATTATAGACATAAACAAATCTCTATGTTAATTTTGATGGCAGGTAGTAATCTTCATAGAATTTTGATAGAGCAAGTTGAATTCTTTAGTTTTATGGATGTTTATAATAGAGGTCAAAAATTTGGCGTCAGGTCAAAGCGTAAGTACCTGGACTTTCACGAAACGCTATCATTTTCAACGAGAAGACAACAATTCTAACAATATCACTGTCACAGTGAGAAAGTCGTATGCCACCAACAGATATCAAAATACAACTGTAGTTTTAGCGCGATTTCGTTTAATTGGAATGACGATAAAAATAAGCATAAGGGGGAAAGGACATGATTACAGCTTCGAAGTTTAAAAAGCAACAACTCCAATTTTCGAAAGTAAACAGTACCTAAAATTTGTCGCGAAATTGGCGATAATCATCCCTCACGTCAATATCAAAGGAACCGCAAACCACGACTTCATTTACGGTTTACAAACTTGAAAAAAATTCCATGTCTTTTTTGGCACAAAATTTTTACCTGCAGAGAGGTACATTATTAAAGTTTAAGTGGACGTCATGAACGGATAAACAGAAAAGCCATACGCGTGCAACTTGTTGTGTCTGCCGTAGTGACAATTGTTTTAACGCATACATACTTCTGCAACGGGCAGTAGAAGTCTTTAAGTGGGGCAAACATAAAAATTAATAACTGGGATAATATCAATGAATCAATTACATTTATCTAGATTTGATAGTTTGGTACCTACCAAGAGTCAGATAAATCAAGTTCTGTTGGAACACCAACCGACTTGACGACCAATTTCATTTTACTCATCGTGCCGAGAAGGTTCTCGGCGGAACTTTTGGTTATCTTCTCAAAATCTATTCCGTTGACCTCAATTAACTGATCTCCCTTTTTGAGACCCTGTGTAGCAGCGGAGGAATCATCATCTACTTCAGAGATATACAATGCACTATCAGAATCCCGGCCACCTTTTATTTTGAAACCCAAAGAATCTTCGGGAGAAGTTCTTGTTAAGGTTATCATTCTAAAAGAACCACTATTATTCGGCGAGGAACTCCTTCCAACAGCTCGTAACTCGTTGTTTTTGTAACTGTGGGGCAAACTCTGCGTCTTCCGATGCGGAGCTGCATGATTTGGTGGTTGGAACGGATGCGCCATTTCGCTGTACGGAGCTAAAGTATCGAACCTGCTCAAATGCGCGGATGGAATGAGGTTTCGAATATCCACAAGTAGGTCCTTCTTGCGAGGATTATCCAAGCACGATTTTAGTGCAAGCACCAGCTTTTCCACCGACTTGTAAGTCTGGTATTCTTTAAGTGTATAATGTAAATAATTACGATCATCATCGGATAGTAAACGATGTGCATTTCGCTGAAATTCTTTTACTTGCTCTTTCCGCTGAGAATCCCCAACTTGAGCCATCTTTAACTACTTGAGAACTTGTTTTACGATCAAATATCACATGTAGCGTTATCTTGTTAACGTAGATCGAACATTCGCCGAGAAACAAAACATCCTGTACAACAAAGAATCGACATGACTATCCCACTGGTACACCGACGCTCACTTCACTTATATTCATAATTTATGCATCTCTATGCATCTGTATGCATAATTTGCGTACCTCTGTCGTCACAGTAAACAAGAGGTAGTGTTCTAATAGCAGATCTTCTGTGTACTTTCTTTTTCGTCTCTGATTTAATATCATAGGTATTCATCGTGTTGAATATGAAAAAAGACAAAAAAAAAAAGAAAACTTAGATGATAAAGAAATACTGAAACAAGAATTCATTAGCACTTCCACGAAAGAGATGAAATGGTCGGTGGTGAAGAGGGAAAGGTTTGCTAAGTTTGTCAAGCTAAATTACTAATTCCACATGGAAGTTTAAATTAAAGGGGATGAATTACAAATAAAAAGCTTACAAAAAAATTAAAAAAATTGACAGAGAAAGAAAAAAAGTAGAGCGCTCTGGAGGAAACAGTAAGTGACTGTACCAAAATCTTGCAAGTTTTGACTGCTAATCTGCATATTCTCTAATATTCCAACATCTCGAAGTTGAGGAAGTGAAAGCTCCATCTCGAACCAAAACAAAATAAAGGAATTTAGCTAAGAGACTGAATTATGATAAAATCATGTGTACTCACCCAGTTCCGTTTGTCATTTGTTATGGTCACTGTTTCCCAGACGTTTCTACAGAGAAGGTTTTTTTTTTTCTGTGCAAATATTGAGTCACGTAAAATGGTGAAACTTCTTTTTATCTTCGCTTCCTACCACCAGACGCACACAGGGGCCATGTCAACGACTCCTGCATGGGGTCTGTTTCTCGCCATGTTCAGTAGAATCAAAATTTGAAGGATAGGAAAGCAGGTTCTGGCACCCAAACCAGTCCTCTTTGTTTCTTTAGCTGATGGGGAGTTTATTGTATCATTTTCAAAACTCTTGAAATCCCCTTCTTGAATGAAAACTGAACAGCTTTACGGGCGCGTCAAGTTACCGGGACTTTCGAGAAACGCTGGGGCCCAGTCTGTTTTCAACCAAATTACTCTTTAAAAAGCCCGGCACATGTCCTCCTACTGAGAGGCCGATTGCAAACCGATTCCAAGGATTCTCAGCGATCAAGTTTCGGTATGGGCTCTCAGGTTAACCTAAAACTAAGTACTGCGAAGAAACGGAACTGAATCTTTTAAGATTTGAACCTTAAGAATGAAGCAGCTCTCATTAGAGGTTAACAACATGATAGCGCAATGAGATCTCAAAAGTACAAACATATAAACTATACCATCAGCGCGGGAGAACGCGAGTCAGCAAGTCACGATTGGTTTAAGTTTTAATTTGATCGCTTAGGAGTTTTGCTGAGAGCTTTTTGACCGATCACAGAGCGAAGTAAAACGAAACCAAAGCAATCTCGGACTAGTTTCAATACTCATTTGGAAAATTTCTCTGAACTACTTCCGCTGTAAGAAACGAACAGCTATTGTGATCAAATCTATTCTAGGAGGATTACAGCCAATAAAAACCTCAGTAATAGGTACCCTTGCCGGATTCTCAACTAGTTAGTTAGCATCGCAGTAGAGGAAAACTGAACTCATCTTCTGCACCAGGCTTTCCTACGAGAGATTACAACACTTTTCATCTGAGGACGAGGCGCCCGTTACAACACGTCTTAAAACAGGTTTTCAACCTATCTTATAACTCAGATACACTGAGCGGGACTTGTCGTCAGTGATGCAAATTTCAAGACACCTGTACCAAATTTGTATGGCCCGGGGTCTCCAAATGGCTGGATCGACTCCTATTTAACAAATGGTAAACACCACAGCGTACACTATTGAGTTATGGATGCACGCGGGAGGTTGCTAAGCACGAAAGAGGCGTAAGAGTCGCTCGAGGCGATAACCGAGAGCGACTCTAGCTTCTTGAGTGCTTAGCAAACCTCCCAAGTGGATCCATAACTCAATAGTGTACGGAGTGGTGTTTACCATTTGTTTTATAACATGACATTGATACATTGTAGCTAAAGAGTTCCCTTTTATTTAACAAATCTTACGTGACCAGAAAAAACAAGCGCGCGCGGAAAAATAGTCTTTGCATTTGCTCACGTCAGCAGCGTACACCCATGGGCAAATGGGGGACGCTAAATTGACCAATCAGAGCGCGCGCTTTACTTTGGTTATGTTATAACTCGAGTTCAGCTCAAAAGTTTTGGTATATCTGATGATTCAGTGAAGTATGTGAAACTCAGCTACTTCAGAGATGAAAAAACAGCTTAAATAACAATGAAGACCAATTAAAGCAGGCAGTGTGTCTGCTTCTGCGGCACATTCTCAAAGACAGGTTTTTGCAGGCTTTTACGCCTGGAAAAAATGCCCAGGCTGTATTGTTAAACGGTAAATATAGATATATATCTAATCTGAAATATTGTAAGGGAGTTTCCTTATATCGTTGTTGGGAAAAGAGATGTAAATATCGTATTACTATAAGCCACTCAATAAAAAAAATTGTAATAAGTAAGTTGATTAATTCCTATTCCTTAAATTTTAATTTGATATCTTCAACACCTCTTTCCTTAAGGTGACCTTAAGGGTAAACAACTTTTACTTTTCGTTGTCCGCACTGAATTTTAAATTAGATAACTAGTTGTAGCTATTACGGGGGCTGTACTTGTGTACGCCCTTTCTTCTCCGAATTTTCTGGTGTTATGTATCAGTCTTCTAAGGTTATTTTCTCTTGAGATATCTTTCCAAGTATGATTCTTATTCTGTCAATAAGTTTATCATAATTTTTACATTGCCAATCTCGCTTTCGCTTTATCAGCAATGAAGTTTAGTGGGAAGCATAAAAAATTTAGGGTAGAAAGTCATTTTAATGAGAGTCAACATGCATCCCGAAGGTACATACTTAAAATGCACTAACTGTTACACGTAACTTAACGCTATTCGCTAGTTAAGATGGAAACGATGACGATGCACAAAGATTGACAGCTTGACAAGTGACACCTTTAAAGGTTGGTGCACAGCATTTTAAATCAGATTTGAGCTAGGCTATAAGTTGTACGTGTAAGAAATTAAAGTCAGAGATAAAGAAATTTAAACAGGCTGAGTGTTAGAAAAAGCTTCTAACAGTATTATCAAGAGAACCAAAAAGGGATTCTCAAAAAAACAGGGTTTTAAAGAAAACTCGATTGTAGACGCCAGTCAGCTACCTCGCTCAGTATAAAGTAATCCAGTACAGTAGTCGTTTATAGGAATCGGGCATCTATAGAGGTTTCCCGCATGACGTCACGTTTCCATAGAAACACATTGACGGCCATCTTGAAGGTCAACCTCTCGCGGAAAACATAAGGCGAACCGAAGGGCTGACGTAAAGATGGTCAATTTTTGCTCTGTTGTCGGTTGTTCCAGCCGCTCAAATCGCGACAAGAAGGGATATTATTGTTTCCCAAGTGTTATCGTCCATCAAGGAGAAAAAGCGCGCAATCTTTCGTCTAAAAGACGCAATCAGCCAAGTGCTAGTCGGCAGCCCCACATGAGGGCACGTTTATTTGCGTCTAGCCCTGAAAATTTTCAAGTGGATGGACGATAAATCGAAGTTTGAAAACAAGCAATACCGAAGAGCAAAGGTCTGTTTACACGGGGGTGGGTGGAGGACCCCAGGGAGGTGAGGTAAGGTAACCAGCCTAGCCGTGGTCAAAAAATAGATCCCGAGATATCAGGGTGACGTTTCTAGATGTTGTTAGCGCGTTTGCAGTTGTAACATGACTGCGACCCCGGCTAAGGTGAGTTACCCCTCCTTGAGACGCTTGCATGGCAAAATATGTGACCCAACACGCCTAAGTGGGTTACCCCCGGCCTATCATGCCAACGTGATCAAGATAGATTATATGGATAGGCGGGTTACCCTGCATACCTAGGGTCCCCCACCTCCATGTAAACAGAACCTGAGTTATTTTTCATTATAAAAAACAGGCCAGCCCCTTACTTAGTGGACCACTATCTGAACTAGACCTCAGATGTAAGCTACTAGTGTGATCCCAAAATTATTTCCTTTGCCTTGGCCTTGAAATTCGCTATTTTTTGGTCCACGTTGAATAACGATCTTTTTGTTTGCTAGTTACAGTATTATTTTATTTATATGGTATTTGATTTGCAAAAATAATCTGATCAGATGGATTGCATGATTACCTTAGCCTCTCCAGCGGCGCTGTTAAAGAAGACAAACCACCATGACCAAATATAAGACTTGATGATATCATTGGTTGAAACATTGGATTCTGTAAACTAGATCTAGCCGCCTCCCGGTTAGCTAAATGGATAGAGCGCCGGACTGTTGAGCGGGAGGTCGAGGGTTCTAGCCCCGGCCGGACCAACACTCAAGGTCTTAAAAATAGCTGATGAAAGATTTAAAGATGCCTTTAAACACATTCCCACAGTTTAACCTATCCTTAAATCTCCATCAGTTTACCAAAGATAATAAAGGCTTTCTCGTGTGAAAAGATGTTAAGAGGTTATATTGGTCTTATTTTTATTTATTCGTATTGGTCTCGAAGCTATAATCAAGAAAAGGAAAAACATTCCGATATCACCGACATCAGCTAACTGGACCCCAAGACAAGTACCACCTCCCAATTGTCATCTAAGAAAAAATGGGCTGATTCCCTCAAATCAGATCTACATAGCCCCCTCACCCTTGCATTTTCTGCTCAAGTTTTTTTTAACTGCTCGTATGTTTCTGATTTTCAGACTGATTTTTTTCTTACCTTTCAAGACATGGTCGACAGCAGGAGCCCATCGATTAATGGGCTCCTGCAAGAGAGGATTTCTCCTCTCTTGGCTCCTGTCGCGATGTCGATAGTCATCGCGTTCCATGCATTTTTCGCGCCGTTGCCCGGAACCCAGACCTCCTCAGCCACATCCCTAGTGTTTTTTCTTTTCAGGAAAGCCTGGTATAGAGCGTGAGGAAAGATGGCAGAGAGTTCTGGCGATGAAGATGGATTGGAGACAGATTTCGTGTTTTATCGCGATCGTGATGAATGGAAAGATGTCACTCCAATTGAACAGGATGATGGACCTTATCCAGTTGTGAGGATTGCGTATTCTGCCAAATGTATGTACCAGTTAAAGAGTTAACACGCTCTCGAGGCCTTTAGTTAAATTTGTCTGGAGGAATTTGAATACTTATCCTTACTTCCTTAAATATCTTTATCCCTCGTGTAGTAAAACTACTTAAGAAGTGTTTGTAATAGTTAAGAAAAGAATAACATAATCAGTATCTATTGATTTTGGTGTGCATGTTATTCCTATTTGTTGCACGTCTGCAGTTCAAACAATTAGTTTTGTATAACTTACACATGTTTCTTTCGTGACGCGAATATTTGCATTATTGCAGTCAAGGATGTCTTTGACTACTTCAGGGCAGTTCTGCTGGCTGATGAAAGAAGTGAACGTGCTCTTGAACTCACTGAAGATGCCATCAGCCTTAATCCAGCGAATTACACAGTCTGGTTGGTACAAATGCGTTCCCTCACTTTTTCCTCTTTGTTGATCCTCACAATTTACTTTGTAACATTCTCATAAAGACATTGCCCCAGTTTGTTAAAGGGAGGCTAATACTATCCAATGGATAAAAGGCTATTCAGTAAATCGGTGGGAACAAAACATTCTATGCTATCCACAATGTAGAGATTTATCTATTGGAAAACAATATCCATCATTTAAGTAGTCAAGAAGATGCATGATTGCATTCAAATTATTAAAAGGGTATCAAAGGGACATTTTGTGCTCCAGATGAAAATGGATTGGCCTTTCCACTCAAGTCTTGACCTGGGCAGAAAACCGCACTTCTAATTGTTTCCAAATTCCATGATTTTACAGTGCTGTTTCTATGTTTTCCCACACAAGGCCTATAAAAGTTGGTGACCTGTACTGGTGTTTTTTTTTTTAGCTCTATGCTCATGGGTATATAGATTGACTGCTTTGAAACAGGGAGTACATCACCTAGTTATAAGGGGCTCGTAATATGAGTCTGTCCTCCCCCATGTGTGAGAATCTGTGAAAAAAATCTATAGCAAGTTTTGAGGTAATTTGATACAGTTGGGCAAAGGAGCAATGCCAGGTGAAATAGTCCATGCTGGAGTTAAGTTCGTTTTGATAATAAAAAATGATGGCAATTTTTTTGCCAAATATACATTTTTCTGAATCGCAAATGACTAATCATGTGATGAATTGAGTAGACTCTGAGTGATACCAGAGGTAAGATAAACAGAAAATAAAATCATAACAGTTGCGATTGTTTTTCTCCTTAAAAGGCATTTCCGAAGAGTTTTATTGAAATCACTGAACAAAGACTTACAGCAAGAATTACAATTTATAACAGAGGTCATTAAAGAACAACCCAAAAATTACCAAGTTTGGTAAGTGTAGATCAGTGCCCTGTTTTTCCTTGCTACAGCAGTAATTTAGGGCACAGGAATAATTTAATATATCATCACCTGAAATTTTGTTTTGCACCCTTTGAAAAGAAAACCTATTTCTTTCCTACTTCATGAAGAATAAGATTCTAGCTGAAACTTCAGGGCCTAGTTGTTCAAAGGGGGGATAGTGCTATCCAATAGATAAATTGCTATCCATCAGATAAAAGTCAACAAAATGAGCTGCACTATCCACCAGATTTTTTTATCCAGTGAATAACGCTATCCTGCCTTTGAACAATCAGGGCCAGCCAACTTTAAAAATATATATATATTTGTATGGTTGAGTTATGTTTCATTAGTTGTCACATACAGGTGTATGTACTGCATTCATCCTGATAGTGACATAGTTTTCCTTGCCAATTGAAACTATTTTGAAAATGTCTTCATAAGCATCAGCTTTTTGAACAAGCAGTACATCTCATCAGCAGCTAAAGTTAACCCCTCCACTCCCATGATCTTGTTAGAAATTCTCCTCACCATCTACCATACAATTCTTTGAGATTTTTTTTGAGTTTTTATAGATTTGTACAGTGTACAGGTGAGAGAATAATAGGACATGCACTCCCCTACTGGGTTCACCCACCTAAACCAACCCCATCCCACCCATCCCACCCAAGGGGAGGACATACATATATTTTTTTTTTTTAACGACTTTCTTGGGCATATCAGATAAATATTTAAACGAGGCAAAAGTACAATAAGACAATAACAAATAGAAAACAGAAGAGAAACTGAGATAAAACTGCACCCAAAAGGGAAGGCACGAACGGGACGTAAAGTCCCATGCGTAGTGCTGCCCATTATGAATTAAAAAACACTATGAAATAGAAAATTACAAAAATACAGAATAAATAATTTCAACTTAGTGGCGCGAGCACGTAATCACACAGTAATCTCGTGCGTGGGAAATTAATGTCTCCTACCCTTAACCCTGCTGGAGCTGGGACCTCCATTTATTCATCCCTATCCAACAAGACTAGAATATCTAACTATTTCATTACTTTGGAGAATTTTGAATAGTATCAACGGATAATCCCCTAGTTGATATTTTCCTTTATTCTCATCTTCATATTGTAAGGAGAAATTCTGTTTTGATCACTCATGGGAGTTAAGGGGTTATTACATAATCTCCTTCCTTTAACAAGAGGAAAAACAAATTTATTCTTGTTTTCTTAGGTATCACAGAAAAGTTCTTGTTGAATGGCTGAAAGATTCCAGCAATGAACTGAAGTTTACTGAGGACATTCTACAACTAGATGCTAAAAACTATCATGCTTGGCAACACCGACAGTGGGTCATTAAAGAATTTGGTTTATGGGAGAAAGAGCTTGATTATGTAGACAAACTGTTAACTGAAGATCTTCGCAATAACTCTGCATGGAATCAAAGATACTTTGTGGTCTCCAAAACAACAGGCTTTACAGAAGATATTGTAGATAGAGAAGTGAAGTAAGTACCAATTATAGAGATTTTTCATCCCTGTTCCACAGTGTTTCACTTGTTGTTTTTCATGGAGTAAATTTACAAATGACAGCTCTCCTTTGATAGAATTGTAGTATACTGACTATTGTAAGTTGTATTTTCTTTTTTTCCTGATCCCCTTTGACACACAAATTTCAGAGTACATGTACTTTAAATGGTGTTTCTCGCATCACAAATTTGAAAGGGAAAACTTCAAATCTCACTTTACTTTGCCTTTCTTTTAATTAAATTTGTTAATACTAATTGTGGGCTTAATTTTGCATCATGTGTAAACCCTTTGCCACCCTCTGTCGGGTAGCAATGATGTTAAACGTTATTGTGTAGAATATTCTTCTGTACCAGTAACCTGAAAAGTTAGCTTACTATCCTCTGAATCTGTTCTTTGTAGGTTAACTATGGACATTATTCAGAAAGTGCCAAACAATGAAAGCGCTTGGAATTATTTGAAAGGGTAAGCATCGAGTCTTCTTTGTATCTAAGGAAGGATGAAATTTGATAATGAATTAATATGGATATAACAAATGAAAAGGTATGTTTCACAAGGGAAAGCACTCGCCTCGTTCACTTGCTATGGAAAACTTGGGAAAGTAAGCATAATCTGTAGCTAATTATAGGATATGTATAATGCACAGTACATATACTGCTGTGTGGTTAGGTCATATAGAACACTGGGCTGCTGTGTGAGATGTCGATGGTTACAGCCCCAAACTGGACCAACACTCAGGGTCCTCAAATAGTTAAAGATGTAATTTGGATATATCAACAAAGTTGAAATGGTAAATTGGCCACCGTAATGATTACAAAAACTGACGTTTCGAGCATTAGCTCCGACGAAGGGCTAACACTTGAAACGACAGCTTTTGTAATCGTTACGGTGGCCAATTTACCATTTCAACTTTGTTGATATATCCAAATTATTTCGTTACCCCCACCGACGCAGCCCCAAACAGTTTCTTTAGAAACTATCGGCCTTTAGTTAAAGATGTGCTTCCTTTGCTATGAAATCTGAAAATAGTCAGACATTTTAATCTTAAAATAAAGTAACTGATTGCAGTTTTTTTTTTTTTTTTTTTATTTTTTTTTTTATCTTATAGAGTTCTGGCTCCTACTGGTCTAAGCAAACACCCTGGTCTGAAGGACACTTTGTTGGAAATGTACAGTAATGGTATTGACTCTTTGTATTTAATGTCCACATTGATTGATATCTCTGAAGAAGAGCTGGAGAATGGGGTTGGTGATTCAAACTGTCTGGGACAGGCTTTAGAGGTATGTTGGATTTTATTTGAAACAGTTTGACAGAGTTACTGTAACCACCAGTGTATTATGGACCATCAGAACTTTCCCTTGAAACCTTTATGTGGAAATTTAACAGGCTGTAGAAAGATAGAACTTAAAATTACATGCATAAACTTTAATTTATACTCGGATTTTAGAGTAGCTAATATCTTTGAGCTGAGACTACTTAAAAAAGTAATATATAAATATATATATAATTATACAAAATAGTAATGATAATAATGACAATTGTATTAATAAACGCATAAAAGTAAAATGCTCAATCAAGCAAAAAAAAAAAAAAGAATCCAAATGTAGGTAACATCCTGTGTTTTGGTTTTTAAGTCTCTAAAGGAACTAGTACGAAAAAAGTCTGGTAGTGCATTCCACTACCTAGCTGAAAAGTGAGAAAAGGAGTCAAGACCATAGGTAGTTGTTGTAGATGAAATGTAGTTACCACAAAGATTTTAGGAAGAGGACCGGAGTGGAAACTTTGATTGATATTAAATATTAAATTGAATTTCTAGGATTCATATAATTATTAGTCTAGTACTCTTCCATTGAAACCCAGTGAAAGGTGTAAAACTTGCTATATTTTGTCAATGGACCTTGAATTTATTTGGAAAACATACTGTCAGTGAGCTAATCAAAATCAAAGTGTGTAACTGAATGAGTTTCTTAAGTTTACATATTCTCCTGTTTTCAATTCCGCTTCATCAGAACAGACTGCCTCAGTGAGTTCATTACTCACAGTTACAATAGGGCTTAATTGTTTTTGTTTGTTATGCCAAGTGTATTGTGTTATGTGTAGAATTGAATGAATTTTGTTGTCTCCCTTGTAATTTAGTGTTTAACACTACCAAAGGGTTAAATAAACTGATTAAATTTATTTCTTTATTTATTCATTTATCTATGTGAAGGTGATAATAGTTTGTTGGCATAGTTGGGGTACAAGGGTTGATCATATACGTACATTTATTCAAGACATGTAAATAGGCACCAGAGTCATAAACTTGGTGGCATTTACTAATGAAAATATTTATCTTAAATTTACTATTATTCTAAATTCCAATTCAACCTGGAAACAGTGAACAAGAAGAGCCACCTTGTGGAATGTCCACTGCTAAACCCATTATTTTATTTGATAATTATTTACTTATTTATTTGTTATTGTGCTTGTAGACAGTGTTGATTTTCTTATTATGGCTTAATTCTTTCTTTTTTCAAGTTGTGCAGCAAACTTGCCACAGATGCTGACTACATCAGGAGAGAGTACTGGAATTACATCTCCCGCAGTCTGAGTAGCAAATATGGGCAACCACAATGACACCATTAATAAAATTAATAAGAATTTTGAATGATAAGTGACAGCTGCAAAACACACATCTTCAGTTATTGCTTACGATCTGGTAGTACCAAAACACATCACAAAGAAGTCAGTGGAATATAGAAGAATTTCTTGTTTCCCTAACCTTATCAGTTAGAGGTTAAAAATAGAGAAAAACATATCAGCACAAATTGAAGTGCTTTTTCTTAGCCAAGTTTAAATCAGATTTAGAATAAGCAATAAAATGTCTTAAGCTCAAAGAGGAGAAGCAATGTACATGTTAGACTGCCATAAATTGATTGTGCTCTAGATATCTTTTGAATTGGAGAAAAAGGGAAACCTCATTGGCTTAAAACTTAAATTCCTTTGCTCAATGTTTCAATAAAGAAAACAGATTGTGATTTGATATCTTTGTGGCCTGAAGTATGAGCTAACCTAGTAGGGAGACAGAAGGTCAGACTTTGCAAAACTTGTATTACTTATGCATGCCAAACAATTTATGTTACTTTTGGCATGTAACTTGATTTCAGGTAGAAATAAATGTTTCTTCGTTTCAATTATTGTAAAGTTCTTATGCTAAATATGAATACCATATATTTTTGTGAAGTTAGTTTCATAATTCAAACATCCCCTTTTTTTTAATTACTAGCACATTTCTGTAGCTCGATAGATCTTTGCACATGACATCTGGGCAGCCTGGTATGTTACCAAACCAGTAAGATGGTGAACATGTTGATGTATGAAGCCATTCCTTTCTGGTTTGAACTCTTTTCTTATGTCAAGACTTTCTTTTGATGAAACTAGAGGATCCTTTGTCATTGAACAATTATTCACTCATTCATAATACGCTGCTCAATTGTATTTGAGGATAAGCTCCACAGCTTGTGCCAGATTGTCCACATATCCATCAGGTTTTACAGCCAGGTGATTTTCATCTTCAGGCCTACAACATTTATTTAAAGCATTTCATCTGATGTGAAATTTCAAGGAATTGGAAGCGAAAATTCATGATTCTTATTCTTGCTTCCCAATTAGAGCTTTGAGGCCTACATTGTAGCAACTTGTATCGGTACCTTGAAGGTTTCCCCCTATTTCAAGTCTTCTTAAACCATCTTTGCAATTATGCCCCCTGCAATAACACATGAGCACTCCCACCTTTACAAGTTCACCCCTATAATCTTTCAACTGGTTTCCTTGCAGAAGAACATAAATTATTCTATTGAAGTCATAATATATGGTTTGAACAACACTAAATTTTAGAAATCCAAAGTTGAAGTTCTGATATATTTTATGATAATATTTTAAAAGTTGGGTTACTTGTTGGAAACTCAAATTGTGGTCAGTGTCATTATTTCATGTACAATTTTTAATTGTGGAGTAAAAATCATGGTTTACGGAGCATAGCTCAAAAATACAATTAAAAAATACTTCAAAAAATGTATGCCTAGCATACAAAATAAAAGAATACCTATATTTTCCAGTCCTAACTTGCACTCCTCTGATTCCACATGCCTGAGCCCCACCCACATCTGATACAATGTCATCTCCAATCATAACTGCCTGAAAATTAAAAGAAAAAAGAGAATTATTATAAAAATTCAAAAAAAGTTTAGAAAAGGGAGTTAGAGGTTTTCTGGAATAAGAATATTAAATAATACTTACATCTTCAGGTGATACTTGAATCTTGTCCAAAGCAGTTAGAAAAAAATTAGCTGAAGGTTTGCCAATAATCTCAGCTTTAACATCGCAAGCAAACTGGAAGACATAACTCATCATTAAGATAGTTGAACTATGCTTAAGGGGTATCGAAAAACAGAAATTTTCAAACATTCACTAAACTAATTGAAAGAAAAACAGAAGGAGGTAAAAACTAACTTCTAATGCCTTTACATATGGACCTGCATCTAGGACCAGATTAGAGCCATTTTTGTAATAGCGCCTGAAAACAAAGGATAAAACCATCAGAAAGTTCAATAGAATCTTCATGCACAACTCAAGACTGTATGTCAATGTCTGAGGCATGACTAACTTAAGTCCAGCACGGAACACTACCTTTAGTCTTGTTATAGGAAGGGAAGAGGGTATTTTTTCAACTTGACTTCTCTCTTGTCTCATCTGTAGTCAAATGGAGAGAGCTGTGAGGGATTTTTTGACATAGAAATATACCAGGCTAAGACCAGAGTAAAAATGATAGGAGTTGACTGTATCATGTTCCACATGAGTGAGGCTTCTGTCAGCTTACACAAGTCTATAAATTTATCTGGAGAAATCCCTGATTTTACAAACCCCTGGAGGGTAAATTTACTTTTATTGCCATTCTCCCTTTCTTTAATAGGGATTCTTCTCTACCTTACCCATGTCCTAAAGCAAAAAGAACTGGATCATCAGAAGTTAAAAGTAGTCTAAAGGCCTCATTCATGCGTGCATAAGTAAACTGATCTTCAGCTCCACCAACAACAACACAGTTGGGATTACTGCAATCCATTCCCTGGTATTCGGCAAGTCCTCTTGGGTGAATCAAAAGTAATGGACGTAGCTTACGTTCCTGAAGAATTTTTCTTGCAACAGGAGATGGTGCAAATAGTTCACTGGCTGACAGGTTGAATCCAAATTGTCCAAGTCTATGGACAAGCTGCTCTCTTGTGCAGGTATCTTCATTTGTGCAAAACTGCACCTTGTAACCAGCTGCTTTCAGCCTATGGTAAAAAGTAACAGAAAGAAACATAGTGAACTTAAGTCACCATATGAACTTAACATGAGCGTTAGAAACTTCTATGAAAATTTAACTCAGTCAGTTAAATTAAGTAATTAAATCTTTCAGGAAAAATTTGGACCACCACACTGAACACTGTACCCCTTGTTGAGGGGAAATACAAGTCATTAGTATATGTGATTAGTATATAGTTAAAATAAGTGATAGAAGAGAGCTAGATAACAAGCTCAGTATCAATCACAGTATTTATACCTCTCAGTTAGTACATGTGCTATGGCTGGTCAATTCATGGGCCATATTTTACTGTGCAGCCTGCTAAATTTCAAAAGTGCTGCAAGGAGGAGATCATGCCTGCATCTCACTTCCTGTAGTAACCCTGCTTGTTGAACTCCTGCATCTTTGACTTCCGGACCTCCGACCCCTTAGCACCAAAAAGTACTTATTTCCTCTTAATGCATGTTTGTATTTTGCTGTTCTGTCATTATCAGCCTTCCATCTTTTGTGCCTCTGTCACCTCTTTTTTGTTGGGTTCCACCTCTTTTTCATAGGCTTTTACTCCCCTGAAACCCCTTTAGAGACAATTTTGGCATGTTGCATACCATCCCCCATTCTAATAAATGAGTAATAAAGTGCAACTTCTGTTTTGTTTTTCTGTCACGCACTCATTACCATATGAATTCCCCACTAGAGAACCCACCCCCTACCCCGTCGGGACAAAAGCCCAAACGACTTTAAAAAAAATTTAACAAGCGAAATAAAAAAAAAGCATCTAAAGAAATTCACCAAAAAAATAACACCAGAAATAAGCTGTCTGTCTTTTTTTTTGGCAAGATTTCCAGATAACCTCATACATAAATTACGCATAGAGTGTTGTAAAGAAACCCTTATATTCAGTCTTTATGAAATGGAATGCATAATTAATGTATGGGGTTGTATGGAAATCTTTCCTTTTTTTTCTTTACAGAGGCTATACTCAAAATCGTTGGTCACTTTAGTAGTATAAATAAACTCATAAAATATTCGGAGTGCGCTTAGCTTCAGGAAGAAACCATTACAGAAATACGTTCAATTAGAACGCCATTCAGTTACGATCTATCAACTTACTTCTCAACTGCTTCAACAGATCCAGGAATAGCTTCACCACCTTCCTCACTAGTGTTGTAAAGAACACCAGAAATGTCGAGCAAAATTCCCCCAATTTTCCTTCTAAGCCAGATCGGTCGTTCCGCCATATTGCGATAATGATCGGTATGCAGCGAGACACTATCGACTGATCATAATCTGACGTCTGGTCAACGAAAGTCACCGAAGATTGACGAAGATCAAGTTCGGTGAATTTTTATTTACTTACAAAGACGTATAGCTAGCACTTCGAGTTATTTCAGTTCATTGTACAGAGCAGTTTCGCTCTGCAGGTTTAGCATCCAGATTTGTTCGTTTTTCTATGCAGAGGAGATAGTTTCCAGGCTGCAGTTGTTCGTTTGACAGTTTATAGTGTCTACGGTTTCGCGTTGTGTGTTTTCCCGCGCTTGTGATCATCAAGCAGTATGCCTCTCCGAGATTCACAGGGAAGGTTTTGTGGAACGCTTCAGCGTAAAGAAAGCGATGGACACTGGGACCGCAATTACTTTGTTCTAGACGAAGAGAAATGTTTGCTACGTTATTTTTCCTCGATGAACGCACAGGTCAGTTGGAATATATGTCTCTGATTTGTTTCTCTGCAAACGATTAACTCCCTCTATCAAGACAACCTAATTAACACAGATCAATGAAAGACTTCTTGACTAGAAATACTTCCGTATTCTTGATCACTACACATGCACCTTAATTTTCCATCCGTTTTTTGCCTGCAAATATTCTCTGTTCAGGTAAAGAAATTTCTAGAAAGGTATCTGAAATGGCGACAGTTGACATGTGAGAGCAGATATGTGTTTTGGATAACAGGAAATTAATCGACTATGAGTTTGCTTGGGAATTAAACCATCGGAATCCATGTCTCAAATATTGCTATCTTAGAGGCTCGCGATATGACACAATATAACTAAATTTTCTCAAATTTGAAAGAAACAGTGGGCAGGAGGAAAAGGTTATGTTTATCGCAGCTATTTTTAGCTCTTGATCACGAACACGTTACTGCAATAGCCGACTGGTTAAGTACGGGAAATGTTTTGCTTTTTGATGATAATTAATTTTTTTTTTCATCTGTAAGCTTCGTTACTCTGATTCGATCTCTTCGAGGAGACCATGTAGTTTTCCGTTCACATCTCTCTTTACGTGTACTGGGTTGGAGCCACAGTCATAACCTCTCTTAATATAATTTTCCCTTTAACTTATCTTAGAAAGATCAATTATAATTGGCAGCTATATTTATGAATTTGGACACGTTTCTTGATGCTAGGATTTGTCTAAAGTCGAATACCATCACAAGTTTTGGATAAAATGAAATAGTTATTGTAAGGAATTATCAAAAGGAAATTGAAAGATTGAGCTTGTGTTACTCAGGTTTCATAAATTATATCGTCATTTTTTTGATGACAATACATTATTTGTCAAGGATATTTTCATGGAGTTTCCATGGAAACTGAGTAATCTATGACAGTTGTGTACCACTTAGCTAAGGAAACTTGTCATTCTGTCACAAGGTTACTGACAGATGTAGTAATAGTATTAAAAAACTGTCAGAGGTTTCCATTTCAGCTTTAACATGGGGTTGATGAGGAAGGTTTTGTTACATAAATGAGCTCCATATTAATTTGATCATTCTCAAACAGGATCAAATTATTTCAGTTGTGTCAGGTTATAACAAAGCTGATGCAGACAACATATGCTTTTGGACATTACTGAATGGAATTAATGTCCAAAAGTCTCTGTGTCTCATTAAAAAAGAAAATACAAGAGAACAAATCAATCAATCAATCAATCAATTTTTATATTTGACTAAAGCAGGTTAAAATTACAAAGATTACTAAAGTAATAGTTGCATCGGCAGCTATCAGCTGAAGTGGACCTGCTATGTAAAACTATTTAAAATATATGAAGTAAAATAATTATAGACTAAGACAATCACAATTACAATTGCTCCATATGCCCAATTACAAGAAAGCTGCCCTATGGATTAAATACCTCATAACAGTACTCCTGCAGGCAGGCATAGATTAAAATAGATAATAGATAATAAAAAAATAACTTAATGATGGACTTGATGAATAAATAAAGTTAACAATAAATAAAGTCATCATTCTTGTTTGAAATTACAATTATAGCTTCCTTAGCTGTGTACTAAAAAGCTATGTACTAACTATTTTATTTATAATGTCTAAATTGGTAATCTCGCTTTCAGGCTATTATGAAGATGTTCTTGTCATCCCCTTGCACATATATCTGAGTCAAACTATCCCAGCTTGCTTTTGACTATCATCCCAACTGTTGGTAGCATAAGATGAGCTTCAATGGCAGAGTAATTTCTGAAAAGTTACAATTATATTTACCACCACTCAAAGATTCCTAGAATACCACAAGATGGTTAATGTGAAAATGCCACATCCCATTTGAAAGAAGTCTATATAAAATGTAGCTATATATAAATGTAGATATTCTGTATTAATTATAATTTGATTTCATAATTCTATATCCAACTGTGTGAATTGATATTCAAAATGATTTTTTTCTCTTGTTGATATAGGAAGAAGTTTTGGATTGGGATGATTATGATGGGGAAATAAACATCAGACTTATTACCAAGGTTAGGCTAATAAAAAGTGAAATGTTTTAAAATAATTTTAATATATTTTATAACTGGCAGTGCCTGTAGACAAGATGAAGCAAAACCTGTGTTTGGTTGGCTAACTGAGTGGGCAAGATGGGCTCATCTTGCTTGCTCAGGATTGCCTGCTTTGATCCCTCATGAGAAAAAAAGTGTATGGAGCAGACTTGTGAAGTTTGTAATTTTTGGACATTGGTGGCAGTAAAGTTGCAAACAGTGTCAGGAGGCAGTCAAAACAAAGAAAAAAATCAAACAACCCTAGCTCTTAGAGTTGTTGTGGTGCAAACACAGTTGGCTTAATTTTCCCTCTCTTGAAATAAACAGGTCATTGATGATTCTTATCAAAGCAAAATCTTTTTAAATTATTGCTATATATAATAAGTCCTTTACTGATTGACCATGCAAGCTTGATAGGTCAAGATGGCTGGATATTAGCCTTGTTCTTTTTTTGGCTTTTTATGGACCTTGACTTTGTTAATGCAGAAAGGAGAACTTGGCCAATATCCAGCCATCTTGATGTTAGCTTGGTCAATAACACATATATTTTAGTTTATGCTACACATTAGTTAACAGCTGAAAAGACAAATTGTATGTCAAGAGTTTAATTTCCTACCATCTTTTGGTACATTGACAAAAATAAACCAATTTTTTTTCAATATAATAGTAGTGTACAGTATACCGATTAGAAAACAATTGTTCACCTTGATATCAGTGACAGTGGTGGATATTTCCCTGGCTTGTAGCTTCAAGGCTCAGTAAATATACACCACGATTCACCTCAATTTTGGAGAATAATTGTCATGTATTTATATTCTACCCCCAAAATTTTTTGTGCAATCTGGTAAAAGGTGTTAGCAAAAGTTTTGCAAATGGTTTTTCAAGAAAAAAAAAATCTTTGTAAAAAGATTCAATCAACAAAGTATTTGATCGAGGTTACAATTAGAGCCTGCCAACATGATTTCTCTGGTAAGGCATGCATTCTTGTATTGTTTTGGTTTGATATTTTTCAATACATACATTATATTTTAAAAAACATGGTTCTATTTGATATTTATAGGGATATTTTAAGACCTGTGCAAGTTGTTTGATATTGCCACAATTGCTTTCAACATAACATTTATTTTAAAATTATGATAGTTACTGATTAGAAATGTTTTGTGTTTAATGCTTTTACAACAGATTGAGGACAAGTCAAAAACTGAAGGATGTATTGGTAAGTTAAGTGGTAACCAAACAGAGTGGATAGAGTGCGAATTATATTATTGAGTGTGATTTCAATAATGTAAATATTAATAAAGACATGTACAGTTTAGCTGCAGTAATAGATTGTAATTACCCACAAGTTCACTCAGGCTTGTGAGAGATGCGTTGACCTTGGGATTTAGATGTCTGGGTTCCAGACCTTGCCAGGACAAAGTGTTGTGTTTTTAGGCAAAACACTTTATTTGCAGAGTTCCTCTCTCCACCCTGGAGTGTAAATGAGTACCAGAAAATTGTCAGGGAAACCTGGTGAAATCCAGGGGGTAACCTTACAATGGACTGGTATCCTACCAAGGGGGGGGGGGGAGTAGTAATGATACCCCTAGTTGCTTCATGCTATGGAGACCAGGATAACGTTGCATTGGGCTGGATTGGCCACTTGGTTGAGTGCAGACTTTGCCTTTTTTAATGTACATAAGACATAGGCAACATGCAGTAGCTAAAAAAAATTGTCAGGCAGTTTATGAGGTATCCAGTCATTTGGTTATTTTCCCTTGCTAAGATGTAATAATGAAACTAATTCAAAACTTTTTGCAGGTTGGTCTTTGCTATTTAGTTCAATTTGTTGCAAAGCCTCTGACCCTCTAGCTCCCAAAATATATTAAGATGTAACTTCTCCCTATAATATCCATACATGTCCAGCAAACAGGTAATGAGAATACTCAAACTAATCAGATAGAAGCTGTATTCTTGATCTAACACCAAATTCTCGCAAATTATATACAGGGAAGTGTATAGCAGCTTGAGAGGAGAATTAACAATCAGTTCTTGGGAGTCACACGGGCAAAATGTCCTCTTCACACTTATTGTAAACCTTCTCCACACATTGATTATTTTAAAAGAATTCACATCATAAGCTATAAGGAAGCAAACAGAATTGTGTTGCCATAATTATTATTATAAATTACTTTGTCAGAGATACAAACATGCAGTCACAGATATTACGTACGGGCTGACACCAAAGAAGGAGGAGATGAATGGATCCGAACTCTGCGCAAAGCTGCTGTGAGTATTAACTCATTTGTATCACACACTGTTGGAGGCACGGTGGCCTCATAGTTAGTGCACTTGACTCTGGATCGAGTGGTCCAGGTTTGCGCCCCAGCCGGGACATTGTGTTGTGTTCTTAGGCAAGACACTTTACTGTCACAGTGCCTCTCTCCACCCAGGTGTTTAAATGGGTACCAGCAAATTTAATGCTGGGGGTAACCCTGCGATGGACTAGCATCCCATCCAGGGGGGAGTAGAAATACTCCTAGTCACTTCATGCTACAGAAACCAGAGTTAAGCACCGGCCTAATGGGCCACTAGGCTTGTAAACAGACTTTACCTTATCACACACTGTTAAATATAAATCTTTACTGATTTCATGGGATAATGAATTAGATTTACTTGTTATAAAAAAAGTTGTCAATTAGATTCATTCTCTGAAGGCAACAAATGCAGGGTCTAAAATTGTGACCAGCTGGTCACCAATGCAAAGAAAAGTTAATTATCAGGGGAGGTCGGGAAACAGTGAAATCAGAGTCATGTGGGATTTTCTCGTCATATGAAAACCAGCCCTAAGAATCATATTGTTAACCTTTAAACTCCCATGAGTGACCAGTACAGAATTTCTCCCTACTGTATCAATACAATATCAAGCAGATAAGTAATGAGAATCAAGAAAAAATATCAGTGAGGGGATAATTTTATTGGTTGATGCAAAACCAAATTCTCCAAACCAATATCATAAGATTTGTAGAGCAGACAGTAAGGAGAATTATGAATGAGATCTTGGGAGTGAAAAGGTGAACTCTAAGTGTCACCCTGTACTATCCTTTGCACGTACATTTCTTAATAATGAGTCTTAATTAGGCCAGTCAAAGAGAGAAGGCATAAAAATTCTTTTTGCGAGGATATATTTTGTTTATGTGTTTCTCTCTCTGCCCAAAACAAATCTACAAATGCTGCTCTTGCCTGAGCTCTGTTTATTGGGCACCAAAAAATAACAAACTTAAGTTGGAGCAATATGGCTATGGACAATAGGTCCATAGCTGCTTTTATTGAAACAAACAGAACAAGAATGAATTCCATTGAGGCGTTTGCCCAGTAAAGGTGCAGGCCAAGAAAAATGCCAAAAGCAATGACACCGAAGGTGTACTGCAGTTTCATGAAATGTATGAAAGCAATCCTTGCAGTAATGAACCCTACTTAATATGTCACTTTGTTTCATTATTTGTGAGAATACAAGAACATCTTCATCATATTAATGTCACAGTGATAATTATCTATTGGTCAAACACCTCCATACATCATTGGTGCTTTTTTTAAGGTACATCCTACCAAGAGAAAGGATGACTCCGTCGCTAAGGAAGAGAAATCAACAAATCATTGCACTGTTGGGACTGATAAAGAAAGTTCGTCGGAAAAGACAGAACGTATCGTGTATGAAACAAAAATTATTGGAGGAGTGGCTGTTAGAACCCCAGTGAAAAAGGTGCCACTGTATATCTAAAACACTTTAAACTGAGTTCTTGATATTATTCCCAGACATGTTTTCCTTTGTGGGGAAGACTCGACGGTGGACTAATTATGAGACAGTATCAACTTTACCTATGAAGTATTGTTTATTAATTGCTTTGAACTTTGAAGTTTGAAACACATTTCAAAGCAAAGCTTGCTGCAATTACATTTTAGACTCCCCCCACTTATTATCATGAGAGAAGTTAAAATCAGAAGAAAAAAAATAATAAAAAAATCACAATGTGTTAATTAAAACATAGAGATGTAACAGTACAGTTCATGTTTTATTGGAAGATATTTGTTTGAGTCAGTACCATAATTTGTAAAAACATATTAAATTTGTTCATTTATTGTTACCACTGGAACTATTACAAACAGTTTGTAATACTTTCAATATTATTTGAAGAAGGTGTATGGATACCTAGGTGCAGCACCCACTGAAGAGTAATATTACTAATGCGCTTGATGATTTTGAGAACAATGCTCTTTTTCCCATGAAACTTATTTTCTCTAATCACATGCTTTAAACTTCTTTGACATCTACAAGTGACTAGTGTTTAATTTCTCCCTACAAAATCACCCTTTAATCACACATAAAGGTCATGAGAATAAAGAAAATGACCACCAATTAAAGAAGCTCTTTGTTGTTAATGAAGCAAATTGTCCTAGTCAGCTCCTTAGGAAATGTAAAGAGAACAGTATGGAGAATATGCATACTGATGTTAGGGTATAAAGGTTAATTAAGAGGGAGCTCTTAGACCAATAAGATTCTGGTATTTTTGAGGAACCGTTTTGAAAATTTTGAAAAATATAATTGCTTCTTTCACATAGTCATGTGTTGTATTAATTAGCTACTTGGAATGTTTATTCAGTTCCATGTTACAATATTTTTATTTAATTTGTTATGTGACAGACTACTGATACAGACAGTGAGGGAGGAAGTTTGACAAGTGATTCTCTGATACGATCTGGTTCAGCTGGTAAGACAAGTACAATAAAACCAATCAAGGAAGGATACTTGTCAAAAAAGGGAGCGGTGGTAGGTGTTATTAGGGGCGCTTTCCATTTGACCAAAATTTTCGAGATTTCCAGTCTGAAATCAAATGGAATGGGAAAAGTTCTGAGATAAGTTTTCTAAAATTCAGGAATACGTCGTGAGTTTGCAATCTAGGATACCGTCAGACATGTTCCATTTCGATCATCAGCGAAAATTCTAATATTTTGATCCAGTGATTTTTGTTGAATGGAAAGTACCATAGACTTCAAGAAAAATAAATATAATTAATTAAAAAGAAAAATAAATTAAAGTAAAGATACTCGGCAATACCAACCTTGTTCCCAGGGTCTCTTATCTTCCCGCCCCCTTCTCTTGCTCTGTGGGGGAGGGGGGGGTGAGAGACCCTGGGAAGGAGGTTGCGGCAATACTACACAACAAAATGATTAATAAGATATAAGATATACGTGTTCTCATTACCAATTTCCTGGATAATGTAAGAATATTATAGGGAGAAGTTTTGTGACATTCACTTCTGGAAGTTAAGGGTTTAAAATATTTCCTGTTCTTCTTTCCTTTCATCAGCTCACGTGTAATTCAATACTATCAAAAGTATTAATTAAGTTTCTAATAAGAAGTTATTATAATTATTACAAACAATTTTCCTATCATTTTTTTTTTTTTTTTTTTAACAATCTTTTATTAGGAAGCTCCATCACAATAGTGGTTTACATAGAGGTCCTAATAAAAGATTGTTAAATCTTTGATAATCAAACTTAAGGTCACAAACATTTGCTTCATTATATGTCATCTTTCAGGTCAAGAATTGGAAAAAGAGATATTTCAAGCTGGACACTTTCCGACTTGCATATTATGAAAAATATAATGTAAGCTGTCAGCTGATTTTAATTTGTAAATTTAAGCTGACAAGTTTGCTGCTTTGCCCTTTTATTAGCTGTAATGGAGTGGTTCATGAATTTATCATGTATAAAATGTAGTAATTTGGTTATATCAACTAAGTTGAAATTGTAAATTGGCCACCGTAATGAATAAAAAAGCTGACGTTTCGAGCATTAGCCCTTCATCAGAGCAAATAAAATGTAGCGTTTGGTATTGATTTGCTGTAAGTTGTTTCCATGAAATGGAAAGTCTATCAACAGCTACTACTGAGATGGAAAGAATTTAAGTGAGTTTTTAGCAAGATCATAGGCAAGGAAAGTTGTAGACAATTTGTAAAATAATTTTGTGCAAAGTGAGGGGTTACAGAGAAAAGGCACTATACCCTATTAACTATGTTAAGTTTAATTTGAATTTTCTTAATTTTTTTTCTATTCAGGACAAAGAGCCTCTCAAAGTTATTAATTCATATGAGGTTACTGATGTGAAAGCAAGTCAGAGGTAAGAATACAATTCAGTGAGCAACATTGGTAAAGAGTGCTTGTTTATGTCATTCCCAATGATGACTTACAACTTGATAGGGACTTCAAGTGACAGGCTGATCAATCCAATGTTGACATGGAGGCCTCTTCCACAATTGGCTATCATTCAGATGTTAATTGCCACTTATTGGCCACACCTTGACCAATGTTAGCCACATGTTGGCCACAGGTGATCAATGGTTGCTATGGAAGGGAGATGGGCTTTCGACTTTTCATGTGCTTTTTTTCTGCCCCAGAGGCCTCTATTGCTGCTAGTTTTTCTTGCCTATTCCTGTTGTTGTTAAAATTTTTGGCATGTGTACTAATGTTGTTATTATTTTGTGTTACAGTACAGATAACAATCGAGAACATATGTTTGAGGTGGTAACACCCACTAGAACATTCTTGATCCAGGTTTGTGTCTCCTCTGTATGTTTGATACATACATTACATATACATACATTAATTGACCACTCCCCATAGGGGCTTTTCAGGGCAAACACCCACCCATCCCACCCAGGGGAGGACATCCACCACACAGTAAACTCATGCATGGGAAATTAACGTCTCCTACCGGCCTAATCCTGCAGAAGACGGGGCCTACGGTTTAATCGTCCTTATCCGAGAAGACTAGAATATCTAACCATTTCTTGATGTTATAGGAAGGTAGCATATTCTTCTCAATTACTTTAAGATCTTGAGTGTTGGTCCGGCCGGGGCTCGAACCCTCGACCTCCCGCACAACAGTCCAGCGCTCTATCCATTGAGCTAACCGGGAGGCGGTCGTTATACCTGGGAGTTATACCTGGGAATTAACTTCTAATTTCGTTTCTTTACTTATTCATTGTACTCAAGAATGTTCCCGGTAACTTGATTTCACTTTTTTCATTACAAGTACCTTTGCAATGAAGGGATGCCCAGTTGAAACCAGATCATTGTTGAGGTATCCAGAATATAAGCATCCCCTGAAAACAGCAATGTTGCCGGAAAAGCAATTCTTTTATTCTGTATCTACGATAATTTTCAATGTTTTCCTTAGAAATTGTACCATAACCATATAAAAAAAATGCGGAAGATCCATTGGCCTCATGGTGAGTGCATTGGACTCTTGGTTGAGAGCAGGGCTTTGACTAGTACCCCACAAGCCACAGACTAGTAGAAATTCAGTTTTGGCTAGTGGTTTCGATTTCCACTAGCCAGTTTGGCTAGTAAACAAACTGAAATTGTTCTAACATCTAGGTAGTCACTAGCCACTTGACTAGTAAGTTGAAAAGTTAAGTGTCGAGCCCTGTTGAGAGATCTGGGTTTGAGACCAGGCCAGGCCCCTGAGTTGAGCAAAACACTTTTCTTTCACCGTGCTTCTTGAGTTCAGCTTTTTTATTTGATAATTTGGATATATCAACAAAGTTGAAATGGTAAATTGGCCACCGTAACGATTACAAAAGCTGATGTTTCGAGCGTTAGCCCTTCATCGGAGTGAATAGAGGAATTGTGGGTTGTGTATGCTTTTAAAGGTAGAAATGGAGCTACGTTATTTGTGGGAACATGGCAACGAGAAAAACACGAATAAATTAGTGGAATGAAAAGCGTTCGTTGATCCCTGTGGGGATCAACTTTGAATGGGTGGGAATGCTTTTCATTCCACTAATTTATTCATGTTTTTCTCATTGCCATGTTCCCACCAATAACGTAGCTCCATTTTCTACCTTTAAAAGCACACACAACCCACAATTCCTCTATTCGCTCCGATGAAGGGCTAAAACTTGAAACGTCAGCTTTTGTAATCGTTACGGTGGCCAATTTACCATTTCAACTTTGTTGATATATCCAAATTATTTCGTTACCCCCACCGACGCAGCCCCAAACAGTTTCTTTAGAAACTATCAGCCTTTATTCTTTTTTTATTAGATAGTCAATATGTAAGTTCCATCTTTCTTGGAACTTACATATCGACTATTCACTAAAAAAGCTGAACTCTAGAACATGCCTTCTTAAGAGAGCTAAAGTCTATTTAACTATTGAATGCAGAAAAATGTTATTTAAAATTATGTTAGAATGTTAATGTTTTGTTTTTTTGTTGAGGGCCATTATATAAACTACCAAGCTTTGGGTAATAATGTATTTCACCCTTGATAAATAAAGTATTTGTTTGTTTGTTTGTTTGCTTCTCTCCAACCAGGTGTATAAATGGGTACAAGCAAATTTTCAGGAGAGCCTGATGAAACACCATGGGAGGGGCAGGGGGGAACCTTGTGATGGACTGGCATTCCATCCAGAGGGGAAAGTAGAACTCCTAGTTTCTTCATAAAAACCAGCTCAATTTGCCAGTTTGTAGAGTTTTCTTTTGTATAGATCGTGCTTGTCCTATCTGGATGAGGGTGGCCTAAAATCAACCAAACATCCAAACATCAATGCTCTTTGGTGCAGAAATTTGAAGTTCTTTGAAGTCTTACCTAACGCTTCTGCTTGATTATTGAAGCCTCCGTAAAGAAATAAATGTTTGTCACTGACAGTAGAGAGTGAATGCCATGTTCTTCCGTCTGGCACATTACCTGTTGTTGGAATACTAATTAAATCATTAATAATTAAAGTGTCATTATAAAGAAATTTATGATCATACATCTGGCAAAAAGCAATGAATTATAATTGAGTAATAAATATAATTAGCAAAGACAGCCAATAAAAAAAATTATGAGTTAAGTTGTATTCACCTGCCACTCCACTCCATGGTGTCCATGTCAAAGGCATGCAAATCATTACGCCGTTGTTCCTACCAATTAAAATCAACAAAACACATGGGCCACGTGATTTTTTCTCAAATAGTTGGTAATAGNAAATTTAAGCTGACAAGTTTGCTGCTTTGCCCTTTTATTAGCTGTAATGGAGTGGTTCATGAATTTATCATGTATAAAATGTAGTAATTTGGTTATATCAACTAAGTTGAAATTGTAAATTGGCCACCGTAATGAATAAAAAAGCTGACGTTTCGAGCATTAGCCCTTCATCAGAGCAAATAAAATGTAGCGTTTGGTATTGATTTGCTGTAAGTTGTTTCCATGAAATGGAAAGTCTATCAACAGCTACTACTGAGATGGAAAGAATTTAAGTGAGTTTTTAGCAAGATCATAGGCAAGGAAAGTTGTAGACAATTTGTAAAATAATTTTGTGCAAAGTGAGGGGTTACAGAGAAAAGGCACTATACCCTATTAACTATGTTAAGTTTAATTTGAATTTTCTTAATTTTTTTTCTATTCAGGACAAAGAGCCTCTCAAAGTTATTAATTCATATGAGGTTACTGATGTGAAAGCAAGTCAGAGGTAAGAATACAATTCAGTGAGCAACATTGGTAAAGAGTGCTTGTTTATGTCATTCCCAATGATGACTTACAACTTGATAGGGACTTCAAGTGACAGGCTGATCAATCCAATGTTGACATGGAGGCCTCTTCCACAATTGGCTATCATTCAGATGTTAATTGCCACTTATTGGCCACACCTTGACCAATGTTAGCCACATGTTGGCCACAGGTGATCAATGGTTGCTATGGAAGGGAGATGGGCTTTCGACTTTTCATGTGCTTTTTTTCTGCCCCAGAGGCCTCTATTGCTGCTAGTTTTTCTTGCCTATTCCTGTTGTTGTTAAAATTTTTGGCATGTGTACTAATGTTGTTATTATTTTGTGTTACAGTACAGATAACAATCGAGAACATATGTTTGAGGTGGTAACACCCACTAGAACATTCTTGATCCAGGTTTGTGTCTCCTCTGTATGTTTGATACATACATTACATATACATACATTAATTGACCACTCCCCATAGGGGCTTTTCAGGGCAAACACCCACCCATCCCACCCAGGGGAGGACATCCACCACACAGTAAACTCATGCATGGGAAATTAACGTCTCCTACCGGCCTAATCCTGCAGAAGACGGGGCCTACGGTTTAATCGTCCTTATCTGAGAAGACTAGAATATCTATTCATTTCTTGATTATAGAAAGGTAGCAAATTTTCCTCGCTTATTTTAAGACCATGAGTATTGGTCCGGCCAGGGCTTGAACCCTCGACCTCCCGCACATCACAATCCGATGCTCTAACCAATTGAGCTAACCGGGAGGCGCTTATATTATATTATGTTTCGCTATATTCATGCCTATTGAACATGATTGGAGCAGTTGACTGAATTGGCTGAAACCAATTTTTTTTTTTTAAAGAGTTTGTTTTGGGTCATTGCCCACAAAAGTTGTTCTGAAAAAAAGCATGAAACCTGCAATGTATATACTACCTATTTCTGATGCAGTGAATTTTCTTATACAGAAGAAAGGGTAATTGTGAAGAACAGCTCCCCTCAACTAACCATCTACTGTTGGCCAGCTGTCCCCTATCAGTTAACCAACAGGTTTTTCCAGGGATTTATTCTTCACAATTAATGAACAACAACCATTGATGATAGTTATAATCATTCAAACTCAGATTAATTAGTCTTCGTAACTGTGATCATGAGGGCGAGTGAGATTGCAAAAAGAACTGTTTTCATCAACAATGAGTGGCACTTGCCAATCTTGATGGAAGTTGTCATCCAACAATACATTTTCTTCAGCCCAAAGTGCTAGCATGTTTTCTCAGAAAATCAAATTAAGTCAGAATTTGTTAATATATAAAAGCAGCTTTCATGTTTCCACCCTTTAATACCCAAGAATTGACATTAATATTCAAATGTTATCTTGCAGGGAAAAACAGAAGAGGAAATGCATTCCTGGATTGATGCTATTAAGAGTGCATTGTTGAGAGGGAGATCAGCTAGTGAACCGGTATCATGTTCATTAATTTATTTTTTTTATTCTCAATTTTACAATATGTGAGTTTCTCTGATCTCTCTCAGAGCCAAGATCACTTTTTCCCAACATTAATGATAACATGTTCTTTCATTAAACCTATTTCAAGCTGGGTAAAAAGTCAGGCTCTCATCAATGCTGTGATGTAAGCCGCAATTTAAGCCTGCTAATGTTTTGAGGCTTGGAGAGCATTAGCAGGGGGTTTGTGAGGTGTTGGCAAGGATTTGGTAATAATGATATTGTTGATTACATTTAAAAATGGAGGAACCCAACCTGCCAATTAAGGTAGTCCTAAGTGGAGCTCTCGAACACGATACACCTTTTTCTTGCTTGAATCTGGCATACTTTGCCACTTATGCCGCAGTGCTGAAAAGAAGCTGTTCTAACACAACACTGAAAGTTCTTCCTCTAGGTATTTTTAAGATCTAATTTTTTTTTTTTAGGATACTAAAAAGAGTCAAGAGTTGATGAGAAAAAGTGTAAATTATCAGTATGCAGAGACCACAACCCTTTAGCAACAGAGAACAGTGAAGGAGGTCATTGGTGATCGAAGAGACCTGTTCAAGATAACAATTTGAAATCAGTGACGAATATTGCCTGAACTTTAACTACTTGAAATTGTCAAAATTGCAAAATATATCTATTGCTTTCTCCTCAATGGCAATTGACTGGAAATGCAAATGAGTTCCAAGGAAGCTTAACCTGAGGAAATCACCAAAACTTACAGTATATTCTTATTTTTAATGTTCTTTGCAATTCTTGCAGTAAGTAATGCCTGGGGAAAGGCATTTGAAGCTAATTTGTGTTTAGGAAGAAGTTCTTTGACTAACCAGCTAAGAATGCAATAATTGTGCTAAAATTGTGAAAATTATTTAAAGTACAAGAACTTGTAAGAATTACACATTTTTTTCAATTTTGCAGCTTTTTCAGTCCTGAACATGAGTGAGGCGGGCAGGGGGCATTCACCAACCATGGTCCCTTTGCCCTTCTTTTTGACAAACAGTGATAACTTTTAATGATATCAAAACAACTGGTAAGTCCTCTAAGGTTTTGTAAGTTTTGTTGTAAATTTGCGGGAATAGCAAAGACCTGAGGTGACTGTAATCCATAAAGATGGGGTGAATTTAGTGTTCCTCATTGAAATTGTAAGAGATTTATGGTATGCCAAACTAATCTTTCCAGTTGGGACCTATAGCTATGTTATGTTGGTAAGTTAATTTGTGGTCACTAATATGTGAAAGTCAGTGAAGAGGTAAAAGAAAAAAAACAAAAAAGGGGTTGTTTAATAATGGGGGTTGAATTGAGTGAAGTGCAGTTTGGTCTGAGATTTCAGAATCACAAGGCTTAGGTGTAAGCATGAATTCAGACCAAAATTTTACGACACGAAGTTCAATTACCACTTTGTTGCATCCATTTTGAAATCTAATAATTTAATCGCCCAAACACAGGATTTTACTCAATACAAATATATAATTGCCATTTATCAAAGACTATTGCTTTACAGAAAGACAGAAAAGTTTTGTGGACAAAAGTTGCAATATTCTCTACATGATGGCTGTTTCATCTTTCATTTTCCAGCAATTTTGATTAGTTACTCTAATAAACAAACCTTGAAATCTGATTGCTTGTTTAATTTGTTTTTGTGCCCTTTCATTGGTTTAGAAAAATATGTGATTTAGAGCAAAAAAAATAGTGCAACTTGTGGATAAACCATACTGCTCAGATTCCAAGGATCACCAGTGATTTCAAACTGGATGTAATAAAAGTTAAAATTTCTATATTGTAGCATATGGGTATGATATTTTTTTATAGCACAAATGGTGACCAACAAGAGGCAAAGCCCGTAAGGTTGCAAGTACAAAAGTGGTGTCATTTATAGAATCCTCATGCAATTTTTTTTTTTGAAGAGTTTTAGAACTTTACTCAGTATTTATTAAGACAATTTAACCTTGTAGATGGAGTACACTAGCTTATGCATTAGAATATTAAAGTAGAGGTAGGTTTAGATTAATTGCAAAACTTTAATTATATTTTTGTAAAACCATTTTCGCGTATATTCATATACAGGAACACATTGAGAGACTCTCTCTGATATTGGTGAAGGTAAAAG